ATATTTTCATAAGTAATTTATACATTTGTGTAATGTATATAAAAACATACGTATTTTTTAAATTTTATAGATTATGTTTTTCTAATGAGGTAATGATAATTTGCATTGTATTGTTTCATTCTAACACCATTATTTATTTAAATCGATTATACCTATTTAATAAAATAAACTGATATTATGATTCATCACTTTAGAAGAAAAATTTGTCATTATTAACTATTCTTGATTTAATAAAATTCAATTTATTTCCTAAGGTAATGATTTTTTTGAATGAAAGTAGGGATGATGAAATAACATAACCATATTAGTGTAATTTCTATGACAGAATTATTGCTCTTAAGCCAATAGATGAAGAAACAGAAATTAAAATTTAATAACATTGTTTTGAATTTCATAATTTTACTCAGTATTGTAAACCCAAAAGGTGGCTGAACATCTTCCGAATTGTTAAACGAAAAAAATAACAAATTTATGGAAATCTTTCATATAAGAGATTCATACAAATTAAATGTGTTATCATCATTAATTAGAATTAAATCAATATCATTTTATAGAAGGTAACTTTGCTATGGATCGAGATGATTAAAAATAAAATTTAAATCAAGATATTGACTATTTAAGAATATACTATATTAATTTTTCATTTTATCTTCTATTAGCGTAAACTCCAAAAACTTGAGGACTTCCAGTATTATTTGTAATCTTAATTAGTATTACTATAAGTTAATAAATTAGAAAATTAAAAAACGATATTAAAAATTTAAATATTTAACAACACTATAATCACATAAAAAATATCATTAAATATGTCATCATCCATAGAGGCAATGTTATTAGAGACAACAAATAACTGGTTAATAATATAACTGTCATAATTTCTTCTGCTGATTATAGATATTATTTTGCCAACATTAATATATTTATCGATGATGGAGTGCAAAATGTTAAAAATAACATAAACAACTAGCATTAATCATTAACAATGTTTTGACTATGCACAAACATCGCTATAAATAGACCAATGATTGGCATCAATATTAATCGATTGAACACTATACATAAAATTGTTGCATATTTTTCCACCCTTTCTTAATTTTCAAAATATATCTAGTATAAACTACTCCCGAGAATTAACAATATAATTGGAGAGGTTGCTCTAGAGATAGTTTAAAGAGGTACAAAAATTGAATTATAAATTACCTGATTTTAAAGTAAATTGGTCTGCAGTGTTGGAATACAAATAAAAGCTATTGAAACCAAAGTAGCACACAATGGAGGATTCCAAAATGACTTTTTTTAAGAATAATTTTCTGTTTTTGCTTGCTATTACCTAGACAAAGGCATAGCCAATTAACATTATTATGGTACTGATAAATTTGTCATTTCTAAATCACTTTAACTGTTTTCATGCTCTTCTAGAATACTGCGTCCAATTGTCCACCTAATTGAAGTCACTACTACAGTTTAAATTATAACAGTTGTAATTAGTCTTGTCTCTATTTATTTTTCAGGTTATCCAGTCATTAATCCAAACCAATGACTTAACCCTTAGCATAGTTATAATTGTAAATTAGTAGTATGAGGATTTGCACAGGCTAATATTATTACAGAATTTAAGGCTTTTTCTTTAATCCAATATTTGTTACTCAGTACCCCTGCTAGATATCCAAGAAATAAGCAGAGTAAAGTTATGACGATACAAGGAATGTACAAATGAATGGTTTCTAGTGTAAGAGTCTTTTAAAAGTTTGTAAATATAAGAGCTGGAATAAATAAATTCTCAGACAAGCATGATAGTTAGCTAGTCAATTACTTGTTGATAATCTTCTTGTGACTGAAATAAGCTCCTAATCCACTAATAAGAAATACACCAAATAAGGTAGAAAAAACTGCTTTTAACATAAGTAATATCTCCATTTATAAATTCAATATAATTTCAAATGAATTGAATGATACTTAAAAATACCGGTTAAATAAATTAATTATAATGGCGAACAATTATCCTTTACTTTTCTGTTATTTTATTGTTTCTGAAAGAAACCATTAAAGGGATTTTAAAAAAAAGTATTGTAAATCACTAAATATGGAAATTACATTGGAATTTGACAAAGCAATTTTACAGGATAAAACCTTGTGAAATTGAAAATATAATAAAATAATAACTACATTTACTAAACTCAAGTAAGGTATTAGAATCTATTTATATGAGAATAAGCTATCAGATGTAGAAAATCAAATCATCTTTAATTTTTTGGATTTTTTACAGTGAAAGAATCGGAAATGGGGGATAGAATAAAATCAAAATAATAAAATATGAGAATGATTGCTTCAATTTGTGAGAGTATCATTTGACACCAATCAAGTGAAAAGTTCCTAAAAATTTTAGTTTAATTTCAGCCAAGTATAATACATTCAATCAAGAAAAATTTAAGAATAGTTAGAATAAATTGAAGTTTATTTAATTGATATTTTCAATTGCAAAATCGTGATTAAAAAAATGGTAATAACTATTTAAACTGTTGAAGTCTTTTTTAATTTTAAGTTTGATAATAAGTGACCTTCTGATGGCTTTAGAATCATTTTTTGTGGACACTAAGCCATCTATTAATAATTGGTCCAATATTTGGAATGTGGAATAATTTAATTATACTTGCCATCCACCTTATTGAACTGTAAGTTCAAATTTAGAATAAATATAATCAGTAAGTAGTTATAATCTGGCAAGACAGTCTTACATGGTTGATATAAAAACTGATTAAGTAAAAATAGAGATATTTTACTAATACTAGAATTGATGGATTAGGTAAAAGTATTGAATGGGAAATTTAAGATAGAATTGAGCGTTGTACTATCATCTTTAAATATAAGGTCAAAAAGTTTTATAATAATAATAATTAGCTTTGGTATGATTTAATCTTCCTTTTTTATATTGCCAAAATAAAAAGAATAACTAATATGAATTGAGAACAGATTTATAAATGTTATATGAAGGTAAAAAGTTGTCCTCGACTCCATCTTTAAATTATTCATCATCTAAATTTGATCTCACATTTGTTTTAGGAGGTGGTTGTTTATTGGCTCTCCTATTAATAATATAATTTTGTAAGTACCTTGTGTTATTAGTGAAACTAACAGGATTATCGTCTTCTTGATGTAAACGAATTTATTCTTCTTTAGTATTTTTTAAATTAATATTTTGACCTTGATATACTTTGATCATTCCATTTCTCATTCTAATTTTCTTAAAACCCTGCATATTCTTCTTAAAGTAATCCCATTTTCTAAATAGCTACACTAAGAATCGAAGACCTAAGATGTTTATATCCTTTAGATACATTCATTATTATCTGGATAATTAGAATAGATTTTCTAATAGTGCCCAAGTGCCTTTTGAAAGTGCCTCATTCTTCTATAACAATTTGCAACTATCCATTTCCATTTCTCATCTCTTATTAACACTTGTCTGCTCTTTCAAATAAAGCTCACCTTTTCATACATTATGATTCAAATAATAAAATCCTAAGCAGGATATTTTATAAATATTTGTTGGTAAAATTAATAAGATATTCAATTTTCTATTTATTATATGCTAATAAATAATTAATAAAACTGAATATGACATCTTATTATTATAAAAAGTATTTATTATCATCAATCTGCTTCAACGCCTATAGTTTATAGTTATTATTCTTTGGCTCTCAAGGATTAATTTTTCACATAAAAACGATTTTCTCTGTTGACTAAAGCCTTTGCATTGAATCTATCATGCGGAATAGCAATTTTCGGCATATTTTTTGGCCTGCTTATAATCATTCTCTAAGAAATACAAAAAGGAGATGTTTGTAGCAATTCTAGCTATAATATACTATCTATTTTTTTAACCTCTTGAGATGTTTCAATAGATTTCTATATGTTTTTTTAGATAGCCCATTTCTTTGCATATTTCAGTTTCAGCCTCAGGGAATGTTGATCTTTTGAGTTATTCTAAAATCCACTCATATCCAAAGATAATATCGTTCTAAAATTATGGAGCAATCAATTTTTAGCAGAAGTTCCAATATAATGAATGGCTACTCTTTAGCTTTTTTTAGTATCCTCTCTCAGCTTATCTGAAATGGGAGTTCTCTTGTGTTTTTATTTTCATCTATGCTCCATCCAGGTATTTCTATGGTTAATAGAGTTACAAAATAGTCCTTCATTTGATTCATATTTCCACTTAAATCAAACAAATCATCAGATTAAGCCCATTTGGAAAATCAGATAAGTTGTTGATTAATTCGTATGTGTTGATGGGCTCTTTGATTTTTTGTTTGCCTAACCTGATTTGTGCATGACCACTATTTTTTGGATTTTGAAACGAATTCCTTGGGAAGTAGCAAGGATTAAATCCTAAGCCATTTGTAAATTTTAATGGCATTAGGATACTTCTTCTACTCAAAATATATGTCTCCTAATCTCCCTGCTTGTGGGTATTACTTATATTTAATGGTTTTTTGGTATTTTGCTATTGCATCTTAATGGAGTTAGCATGTAAACCAAAAGCTTGCTAAATTTAGGCCTCACTGCCTAAACAGATATGAATGCTGTTTTACTCTGAAATTTTGAAATTTATAATTATTGACAAGTGGTTTACAACCAGTATGATTGAAATTATTACCTCTGATACCAAAGGCTCAATAATAAGAGTAATTCATAAAATATATATTATTATTTAAATTTGGTTTATCATTCTCCTAGAAATAGGATTTTACATGAATTGAAAGCATAGAAAAACATTTAGAATTCATCGTATTGCATGTTTAATTTACGTAATGATAATTCTTTTTACATATTAATCTAATAATATTCTATATGGTAATTACTTCGTCTGTTGCTCTTTATGATTAGTTTGGCTTTGTAGTGGCTAAGGTCTTGGCTGATTTCATATCAAGATTGAATTTATTTTTGATTTCTTTCCTCCAATGAAGAGAATCGAATTATGCTTTTTAATCTAATAGGGTTAAGAAAAATTGAATCCCCAAAATGAAACCATCATCCTATATTAATATAAATAGATGTATACACTAATAAAGACTTCAGTAGTTGAGTTCTTCTTACCAATTTGGTCTTTTGAAATTAACATCTTTTCAATAAAATTCAAAGTCAATGTGGGAACTATCAAATAAAATAGAGACAAATGTTCATTTTCTGGTGTATTGATACTTGAAAATGCCTTCAACAATAAATTTATATAATCAATCTTCTCAGAAAAACTACTCTTATATAAAGTAAATATCTCCTCCAACTCCTTTGCAGTACTTACAGTGGCATCTATTATTGGATAAAAAATAATATATTTACCACTAAATCCAGCCTCTCTTGTCAAAGATTCTAATTGAGTAGAATTATATTAACTTGGAATGTATTCTAAACATTTTGAATTAACATGCAAAGCTGCTGATCTCAATAATCTAACAAATGCTAATGAATTTCCTATTTATGTTATTAAAGTTCTAAATTTGTCAAGATAATTAGATCCATCATCAAATGTACCCATTTTTTTGATCTCCTTATATAATACTTCTGCTCTATCATAAGGATATTGGCCATCCAATTCATCCTTCTTTTCCCTAAAAAATCTGTCTTCTCTGACCAAGGGAGATTGAATTAGATCGTCAAATAAAAATTGTGAAAACATTTGAATTTTTCTAGTAGTTACATAAATAATTTACTTTTGTAAGAATTTATACACACTATTTACAGTTGTACTCAAGATACCGATACCATGGGTTCTAATTGAATCAGCAATTTGTTGAATACTTATTGAATAAACTTATTTACTCTCTGATGTTACCTATATTAATAATTTAAATTTGAAATACCTAAACAAATTATTGCTAATATAAATTATAGGTGTATTTAGTAAAGAATTATTATATATTCTTGAGAACATTAAGGACATCGAAGTTTCCTTAATCAACTGTTTAAGTTGGCAGATAAACATTTATTAAATTTAATCCAAATTTAGAATTTGCTAAACTTCTCATTTATTCATAAGTTTCTTGATCATACATATTGAGAACATTGATATTATAAAATGTTTCATTGAGTATCTGATTGATTTCAGTTCTTAAATTCACGATTGAATCAAAAATCAATACGTAATCAATATCAAGTAATCTTTTTAAGTCTTTAACTTATTATTTGAATGGGTTTAAAGCTGTTATTTTTTCAATCAAAACTGTATGAACTTAAATTCTTAAATAATCCTCAATGTCTCTAGCCAAAGGTTATAAATATTAAGCATAAAACTCCTTAACAACATATTATCTAAATGAATCAAACAATTCATCAGGATTCTCTAAGTGCATACAATCTTTTAATTAGATTGAACAATCAGAAACAGCATTCAATAAAAATTAAAACCTTTTTGCTTATGATGGATGCTAATAGATGTATTAAAAGAAAGAAGGTAACAATTCTCTACACCAATAAAAATATGTACTTGCTGTAACCTTTTTTACATAGTATGGTAATAAAATTAATTTATCAAGTTTCCAAAGAATATTTCTAAAATCTTCCTTTTCTGAATTGGTGAATATATCCTTTGCAACCATGAAATCCATCAAATAATACATAGTCTATAATTTCAAAGGTGAAAGTGTGCTCTTGAGAATGGAATTCAAAATTTATAAAGCTCCCAATATTTCAGCACCTCCTGTACCAAAACTCTTAAGATTTGCCTTCATCTTCTCTAATACTTATTAAATGATTCTCTATCCATTCTTAGTTATATGATTTTAGATTAAGGCAGGCTAGAAGACATCATATTTTTATTCAAAATAATACTCTATTGCTTTTAGCATCTCCACAGCCAAAACCACATCCTTTGATAATGACATATCTAAAGATTATTCTTCCAATCCAAAATGTCCTAATAACAATGCCTATAATAGATTTCTTGTTTGAGATGCTATTGTCAATCCTTACAGCACTAAGATTACTCTCTAATTCATTCTCTCTTCAATGTATCTCTGTGCTCTTTCCCTATCAATTTTATCAATATTGTTAAATGAAGCTTAACTACAAGAGAATGAGTCAACTCTAACAATCCAAGTGGTGAATGCGACATATTAAGCAGTTAAAGAACTTTAAAATGAGGCTGATAATCTTTATAAGTAATTCTTAAAATTGGCAATAGGATCTTTTGGATCCATGGTAGCACTCTTTTTAGATAATGGAGTAACTTCCATAAGAAATTTACTCAAGTAACATAAAACTTGTGAGTGTCCATCTACCATTGGAACTTTCTTTTAAAGAGACCAAAGATTCTTCCATAGATCTCTATTCTCATCATTTTGATATAATTATCTGACTAGAGCATATACACAAAAGGTTGGTAATAATAAATCTCTTTCGAACATTTCTTTAGCAGTTCCTAATGTTTTATCAAATAATTCATATCTTTCTTTGAGGTAAGTATTGAGAACATTGAAGAATTCTTTATTGTTTTTGATGGCAGGTATATTGGCATTTTTCTCTTTTCCTGTTTTTTCATGTACATTTTAATCCCAATTTTGGGCTAAAACCGATTAGAGACAAGATCCAGATAACACGGTCTTGTCTAATCTAATCATTATCTTTTCTAATTGTTTAACATTTTAAGCATTAGAATTAAATTTAGTGGGATCTGGTTTCACAATTTTTAACATTCTCTTACAATAGTTCCAATGTTCTTATAGATAATCATTCTATTCTACAACGTTGTCTAAGATGTAAATCAATTGCAATGCTCTTCCTATTGTATCTAACGGGAAATTTAAATTAAAGATTTTAATGATTTTAGAAATGGGATCCTTTTTATTGTAAAGTAAATTCAATTGATTGACCAAATGGGTGATGTAATTGATGAGTTTTTTTATTATATCATATATTTACTTGAATTAACCAAGCATTCTACATATCATGATTTCAGCCTCACCATCAGTCAATTTTCTCTCCTCTTCCAAATGAAGATCTGCTAACTCTCCGTAAATAGTTAATTTATCAAGAAATTTATAGAACTATAGAATAATTGTTGTTTATATACTTGATCTTCTATTTATCTAATTTAATTATCAATGAAAACAAAGGATGCACTAATCTTATCAAAAACTTTGTTGTCTGACTTCATGAAATCAAACAATCCCATGTTCTTTTCGTAAACCATGAAATGACTCTGAATGATGCTTTCATAATCAGGCTATGTCAATGGGATTTGATAATCTTCTTCAAATGCTGAGAACTTAACAATGTGATTGTTGTATAACTCATTAAACTTTTAGAAGTACTCCTCATAGGGTTTGGCTGATAATAAATGATTAATAATTACATGCAGTTAATACTTCCTTCCCAAATAGACCATCATCCTCTAAATCAATATCTTCCTCTTCGTCAAAATAATTTTGTTTCTTCTGCTCCTCCTTTTATTGCTGGAATCTATTTTTCTTCATTGTATATTATTATTATATATAAATATTAATAATGTCAACCAATATATTTTACAAATTGATTATATTCCATTCTATAATTCTTATTAAAATCATCATAAATTAAGTTTTGAAAGAAAACCTCCTCCCAATAACTCTTGCATCCTTACTTCACTATATACAATGGTGCATATTTAGTATACTTGTTGCTAGACATAATAACATTTAATGCTTACCTTCTCAATTCTGTAATTAGATAATGTAGTTAATCATTTATAGGGTTTTTAGAATTGAAATAAAGATTATCTTCTACTAGATTAACACTATGATACTATTTCCCAAAAATGTCAGCTATTTGATTTTCATCATGTAATCTACATATTAAAGATTCAATACTTGCATATAAACAATATCAAACAATAACCACAATCCATCAGCAGTAATCCTCCTTTCGAAACCTCCTCCAAAACCAAGGAAATCGGTTATGGATATATGAAATACCCATTTTCATCATAAAAGCATTCTTGTTCTTGTAAATTAGAAATGTTGTATAATTGTGGTACTATATATGTAATCAATTCATCCACATTTAAATATTAGAAAATTGATCTGAAGTAATTCATATTATCGGTTAGGGCTGAATGTTAATCATAGGAATAATTAAGGATTGAAGATTTCATAATACCTAACATATATGAATGTAAAGAATCAAGGGGTTCCTTGAAAATCTTACAATTATTAGTTATGCATCTGGTAGCAGTAATTAAGAAATCTTTGGTTTGAATACAGTCTTTGATATCTTTGGCAGCATTTAGTTGAGATAGAGCAATCTTATACAATGAGATGGCTAAACATGATTAATCAATTAGAGAATAGATTGTCTTTATTGAATTAGTGATAGGAATACAAAAATTATGAATACGTATTCTTCTCTCACCTTAGGTTGAAGTATACAGTAAAGCAGTTTATAGATATAAATTATCTTCAGGAGCATTAGGTTGATTCATTTCTAATTCATACATTAATACCTTTTGGCTATTCTATAAATATAAACTCTTACCCTTCTGAGCAATTTAGATTTAGTAGATCTGCATTCTTAATTGAATAATTTCCATAGACACTTTTAACTTTCCATCCGCTTGATATTCGTACTCTGAAGACTGATTCCCAAGTATAATCTCTCTCCAAGATCCCACGTAAATCATAATAAAGCCGTTGAGCTTACTTTAAAAAAATATTTACTCTAAATAGTTGGATCATCATAAAAAAAGATGTCACCATTCAAGAATTTGACTATTTAATTTAGAGTGCCAACATTATTGAATCCACAAGGTAGAACAAAGATTGAAGGACTTATGAAGTTCAAATGCATTTTTTCAGTAATTTACTTTAATACATTGTTTGTTGGTTAAAAGTGATTCTGAGGTGATTTAGAATTATCAGTTAGATTCAACTCTTTGATTGGAGAGGAAGTCAAGATGATTAATTTGCCTCCATTGTCTTACATAATCTTAGAGGCCAAATTAAATGCTGAAATGAATTAAGTACTCATTAATTATGGTTTAGGAAATAAACTATCCAATTGGTTCAGAAAGGCCACAATGATATCTTTAGAATCTTACAAATTAAACAAATAATTGTCTGGAGTGGGCATTTCGTTGTCATCTGTTAACACATACATTTATACTTATTTAAGTTTAGAATTGAAATTGTACAAATGTATACTAGTGTCAAACGTAATGAACCCAAACAATGTTCTTTGATTGAGTTTATCTTCCACCATCATATCCTTGATGATCTATCCCATAATTCCCAGTAATTCTTGACTCTTCTGTGACACGTCAATCATAAAAAAGTATGCTGGTGCCATTGGTGGTCTCATCTAATACTCCTATCCTGCTCTGATGTCATAGGATCCAGTAGTCAAATCAGGTCTCATCTCTTAGTCTTCAGGTTTAATGAAGTTTTTTGGTATTTTAATTATACTTGTGCAAATGTTACATCTCAAATAATCTTCATCCTTCAGATGTTCCATAAAAGGATTGATGTAAGATTTACAATTCTGACATCTCAAAATTGGATTGCTCCCATAATTTACAGTAGGGAATCCTTATTATGTGGATAAGCCATAAGGCTAAATAATCACTGCAAATGGAATTTTGGCTTCCATATACAGCTATTTAGTTCTTGGGAACACTCTGGATGTAACCCTTATGTTATTAATTGCATTATATTTTTGATATGACTCTAAATTTTTAAGAACTTCAATATCCTATTTTTCTATCTATTATTAGATCTCCTTAAACTATGGTTCTAGATATTATTGCTATTGTTATTGCAGAGAATCCAATCTACCATTCTTCTCCAAAATTTTCCTATGAACACTCATTATATTATTATTTATTAAATATAAATGATTCAAACACTCTATAGATTAATCCCCAGATTCAGATTTGCATCAACACTTGGATCATCCAATGTAGCTTCTGGTACTCAAACATCAGCAACTTAATCAAATCCTATCCCTGTTTATTTAAGACCATATGAAGCCAAGAAGTACGAGGTACCATCATCAAAAATTAAATTAACTACTGGATACAGTTTCCTTGATGTTGAACCCATGCCAAGAGCAAAGATAATGAAATTATGCTACACAATACTTGATAAATTAAAGGCAGAAATTCCTGAAGGTGTTCTTTACAGAATATACACTGAGGAGAAATTGAAGTATATTATGCGAATTACAGATGAAATTGAGGATATCAGACAACTTGAGGAGGAATTCGGGTTCGAGTAAATTGAATTCCTTATCTAATAACTTGCAAAAGAAGTTGACTTGGTTGACCAAATGAAGTATACTAAATTTTTATAATCTTCTAGATATTACAAACCTTGGGAGAAGACACAAGATGATAGCACCTTTGAATTGCTCAGATAACCACATCCTGCTTTGAAGCACTAAAGAAACGAAAGACCATCCAGAGAATAAACTAAATTTATTGGAAATTGATATTCACAATAATAATAACAATAATAAATATTATCTTCATGAATTTGCAAGATCAGATCTAATAAGAAGTAATTCTTTTACTATTATTTTTCTATAGATTAATAACTATTTTCCCAAACTCACATAGTACTTACAAGAATTAGGACAATCAACATTAACAATCTAATAACCAAACAATGCCTTAAAAGGTATTCAAATTATAATATCAGTTCTTGATGAATTGTTCGGGTATTAGTATTAATATTTCTCTTAGAATTCTCTAAGAAATAAACTGCCAATATGCCTAATTAGAATAATAGTTATAAAAGTATGAAGGAGAGTGCAGATCTCATATCAGAGTATTAATAATTAAAATAACTATAGACAGAATAGAGATTGAAAATTCATTGTGAAAACATTCAAGAACTCTATGAATAACAACTTGTAATAGAAAAAGATTACAAAGCTTAAGTCTTGGTACAATCTCTTATTTCTATATTCTTTAGAGTTATTAAAAAGAGATCACATAGCTGAAGAAAGATCTCGAAGATGCCAAATATTAGAAGAATCAGTAATTGCAACAAAAAACTTAATCAATAATCGATAAAATTATTTTAGATCAATAGAAATAAACCATTCAATACGATTCTAAATCCAGATCAAATACATTCCACAACAATTATACGAATCTCAATTAATAAAAATAGCATATCTCTGTTAAATCAAATACAAGAAAGAATAGATTGATTACTGAATACTAAGATTTTTAAACAAAGTAACTAATATCATCTATAATTCAAGTTCCAAATAGTCAATTGAAGAAAAACAATACTCATCTCTCGAGAAAATTTAGGAATTAGCAACTCTATACTCTCGACCAAAATCTAGATTGTAAGATAATTGCAACAAAAAATCTGTAACTTTGCACGTTGCTTCAATTAAAGCCAAATAAGTAAAGAAAGTTTGATACATACATATATTTTTATTTGTCTACAATTTTACAATTTATTGTTTCTAATCGTCTTAAAATAAATTGGCTATAAATTTACGTTTCAATTTTGTTTTAATTAAAATTTATTTTGTTAATTTAATTCCTCTACTTAAGTCTTACTTTAATCTGTTATTATAGTATATTTTAATTCTCAATGCTTTTTGGGTTTGTTTCTGATGCGTAGAATTCCAATATTTCATTGAAATATAAACATCATTAGATTTATAACAAAAATTAATTTATATTATCAAATTGTCTTGATCTTTCCTCACCAAAAATCAAGTTTCCAATCACATTTATGATATATTACTAACCTATCAATCTTGCATTGCAAAATCTTAATTTTGTGGTAAAAATTCTAGTTGATATTTTAATAAATTTTACTTTTCAATTTATTTCTGTTAGCCATTCTCTACGAAAGTCATATTCAATTCATAAGTTGAAGCTACGCTTAATAATTATTTGTTAATAGAAAATTTATTATATTTTTAGATTAAATAGTTAGTTACTTCATTTTATAATTTTCTAATTGAGCATGTTTCATTACTGTTTTTATGCTCAATGTAATTCTCAATCAATTCGTAATTATATGGTAATAGTTTTAAATAATCTTCTTAAGGTATTAACTTATGATTTTTAGAAGTTGGTAAAGCGAGATTTAGGTTACCCTTGTTGTTTTTGATTTAATCGATATCTTGGTTAGAATTTTCAATAATATAATCAAATATGACTGGACATAATTATTTAATGACGTGAATTTATGAGCATATCAATGATAAGCTTTTATTCTAAGATGTTTACTTTGATAAAATTTGTTTAATCTCAATTTAGCATATCCATTATCCATTTTATTCAGTGTATTGAATTTTAGGTTAAAGATCAAATTATGTAATAATGGCATTGTAGATATCCCTAATAGAAGCTAACTTCTTTTTTTGAATAATTTTGATAATTGAACTTTAATCAGATTCACTCAATTCATTTTTATGAGTAAATGACACAAGTTTCTTTTTGCTACTTGGTTTATAATGATTCTCATACATTTCATTTACGTATATGATTTGAGTTTATTCATTTTTTTAATAGTCATCATCTAAATTGATTTGAGATAAATCAATATTCTAAAATCTTTGTAATTAGTTTGATAAGAACTCCTTAAGGAAATTTAAGTAATCACTCATATTCTAGCATAAGAAAAAGGATTGAAGTTATTATTAAGTGAGTTTAAAGATATTAGACCATAAATTCAACTATTCTATTAGAATACTATCCAATTCAATTTATTATATAATATTCTCTATCTATTATTAATCAGATAATTCATGTTCTTAAACAGGGGATGTTAATGATCTTAGAAATAGTATAAACAATTATCTATTGTGTCTAAATAAGTTAATATAATGTTGGAGAATGTTATCTGGTAATAGTAATTTTTCTGATCTATATCTCATAACTCTAAATTTGTTAGCCATGCACAATGGATTGTTGTCATCCTTGAAACCAGATGGTTCATACTTAGATATTGTTGAAATCATAGGACTGTGTTGTTGTTTCACAAGTAAGTGAATATAAAGTTCATATACTTTGCTCATTTTCTAGTTACTTTAAATTATCTAAACTAAAATAAAATAAAGTATTTAAATTAATCATTTTTTCTCTCTATTCAAACATCCAAATGCTAGAAACACTCTGTCCATAAATGTTAACTTCTCTTCTTATTGCTATTATTGTAATTAATGTTGATGCATCATGATCTCATTTCTATTAGACACTCTACTAATTCTAGGTTTGTTAAAATCATCCTATTTATTGTTATTATAGTCATTCTAATAAGCCTTGTAATTAGTTGCATTATTATTAATAGGTTACTCTTTAAACTTATTGTAATCTTAAGAAATTGGCCTTGCGAATGGTTCTTTTTTTTGAATCTCAATAGGTTTTTATTTCTATTGAAAATTGACAGTAGGAATTTACCTAGTTGGGTACTAAGTTTTATAGACAAAAGTCCAAATATCAATGTTGTAATTAGTAGCATGCTTAACCATCCATGGATTATCAAAGATTTAATCCATAGTTAAACGCTCTCCAGGAATATATTTAAGTATTCCTTTGATAAGAGTAATAACTTCATTTGATAATGTGGGTGCAAAATTGATGGGTTACCCAGACTTAATTTTGTTTCCCAATTCTTCATTATTCCTTCCTCTGTAGGGTGCATTCCCATGCAATAATTCATATAATAATATCCCCAAACTCCAAACATCTAGACTGAAATCATGTGGTTATTTATTTAACATTTCAGGTGCCTAAGCTTGTAGATAAATTAATATACCATATATTCATAAGTTCCACAAAAAGTCATCCTTTTCTCTGTTAAACTTTCAGCACTCCATCCAAAATCACATATCTTCACATTACCATCATGATCCAATAACAAATTTTCAGGTTTTAGATCTCTGTGGATTATCTTATTTTTATGTAAATAATCTATGCCCAAACAAGTTTAAAAGAAATAGACAAATGCTTCATTCTCTGGCAATTTAGATCGTTTTTTAATGTAATTAAAGAGAGATCCATTTTCTATTTAATAAACATTATACATGCATATTCAAGTATCAAATAAACATTTTCCTTATCTTCAAAATAATGGTGCAATTTACAAATGTGAGGATGAGCCAGTTTACGTTGTATTTTAATTTCCCTTTTCAAGTTTTCTACTGAACAATATTCAAAAACTTATCTCTTATTCATCTACACATTTCAATAAAATGATACAATTTTCATTGCATATAATAAGCCATTCTGTTTGTCTTTGACTAGTTTAACTGATCCATATGATCCTCTACCTAACTCTTACTTACTTCCAATTGTGATTATTTCAAACTCTTCTGGCCTTCTCCTCACACTTGTTGTTGAACATGAATCAATAGTATCATTGCAAGATCTTGCTCTATCTGGCTAAGACTTCTTGCAAATCTCCTTGTGATATATAGGCCTTATTAATTAATAATATATAATATTTTACCAATCAAGATCTCTACATCGAGTACTGCAATAGTTGGCTCCCATACATAATGGACACATAACTTTATTAAGTTTGGATCTTTGCTCTATTGTAGGTTATTTAATGAAGTATTGACAAGATTTATAATCACAGAATCTGTTCATTTTTATAATTAACTATTTATAATACATGTAAAGTTATTTATATATGCAAATATTATAAATTTGGAATTTTATTAATTCATATGATATATTTTTTGTATCAAAATATCATGATTAAAGCAAATTATATGGACAATAATAAATACTGATTCAAAATTTTGCTCAACTTAGGAAATTTTCATTTTATACTATTCTATCTCCCTTGTCAATACATCAATACCATTAGATCATCTTTTATCAAAAATTTAGATTTTCTTTTAATTGCATTGTTTAACTAGCCTAGTCGTTTCTTATTTTTTATTTTGCTAATTCTTATACTTTTATCTGTTGTTATGACTACTTTCATGATATGATCAATTAAGACACTTTACTTTATTCCTTCAAGTACTGATATAAATGCAAAATATACTTAAAATTCATCCAAATTTCTCTATTTATGTTATATCAAAGTCAAAATCTTAATGCATTCTATTTATTAGATGTTAGAATTATACAATGAATTAATCATTAAAATAATAATAATAAAAAATGAATAGTGGTGAATATTAGAAATTTGAAGAATTAGGTTTAGATTAATGGTTATTGAAATTATGTTGGAAAATCGATTATAAAGAGCCAAGACCTATTTAAGTTTTAAGTATCCCTCCCTTACTATAAGGAAAAAACGTATTGAGTAATAATCCAGGAAATAATTATAGTTTCATCTCAAACAGGTAGTGGAAAGACAGCTGCATTTTCATTTCCAATTCTTTAAACATTAAGTCAAGATCCATATGGAATCTTTGCAATTATATTGACTGCAAATAGAGAACTGGCAGTATAAATAGCTGAATAAATATAAATATTCGGTGCTAGTGTGAATCTGAGATTGGCTTTATTAATAGGAGGTCTTTCCTCTTCAAAATAGGTCAAATTGTTAGGGCAGATTCCACATATAATAATTGGAACTCCTGGGAGATGTGCAGAATTGCTTAGCATTGATGTTAATTTCTAGAAATATATTAAAAATGTTAAATATTTCATATTGGATGAAGTAGATAGACTATTGGAACCTCAGATTTGGGATGATATTAAGAAAGTGTATGAGCAATGTGAATCTCCTTAAATAGCATTAGTATCAGCTACTCTGAATAATGTCACTCAATAATTGAAAGACGAATTTGCTAATGTTAACTTTGTTGAATGTATCAACAACCCAGAACAAAAGGTATCAGAAACTATTAAACATAAATTTGTATTGATGCCAGATCTAGTTAAAGATTATTATTTCATACATCTAATGAAAAAATTGGAAGGAGCATCTACAATTGTGTTTGCTCCTACATGTAGAAAGTGTCATGAATTAAATGAATTACTGAATCATTTCGAAATTAAATCAACTTGTTTGCATTCTATGCTCCCTTAACATGAAAGAATAGGTAATTTAAGAGCCTACAGATCATAAAAGGCTTAAGTTTTGGTAGCCACTGATGTAGCATCAAGAGGACTTGATATACCTAATGTTAAATTTGTTATTAATTGGAATGTACCTAAAGTAGAAGCAGATTATATTCATAGAGTTGGAAGAACAGGAAGAGCTGGCAGGAGGTATGCATAGTAATAAATATTTCAATTAGAGGTACAGCTATCACAATGATGACCTAATTTGATGTAGAGAGAGTATTAGCAATTGAAAACCTAATTACATTGAAAATGGAAGAAATCAAATTCAATGAAGAAAAAGTACTTGCAAATATGACAGATGTCACGAAAGCCATTAAGACTATTAAAATTGTAATCATACCTCCATAATTTTTCATTAGAAAATGTAATAAGATGGTACAACAGAAAAATTCATAGATCTTTAAAAGAAGAAAGTAAGATCTAAATAGAAAAGAAAAGGAAGTTAAGAAGAATAATAATCATGATTTAATATTGTTTTTAGATTACATTGATATTATACATAATAAAGTCATTGTATTTCATTCCACTTATTCTTTTTATTATTTATTTTTTAACTTTTTCACTTATTTACCATTTTGTTATTATAATTTTGATTTATTTTATACTGCTTATTCAATTTCTATTTATTCTTCTTATTGGGGTTTCACCTTCTTTTTAATGATTTTCTTTCCTCCTTTTAGAATTCCACTTTTTTATTTTTATGGTTAGTGTTCCTGTTCTTCCTCATTTACTAAATTATTCAATTCTTCTAATTCATTTTAGACTTCATCTTCTTAATTGTCCTATTAATTTTCTTATTCTTCTTTGGCTTGTTCCTCTAAGTACTCTAAGAATATATAGACTAAATAGAATTACTGGATAAATAATATTTGTATCTCTTTCCATTTACATGTTTGAGAACAACAGATTTCTTTTTACTAATATTTTATCTGGTTAAATTACAAAATAGTTTATTTCTACATTTTAATTTATAAAATTACTTATCAGTTTTATGCTAGACTATGTATGGTTCAAATTAAGTAAAGTCAATCTCATTTTCTAATGCGTTTTTATAGCTTCGACCATTTAAATAATTGTTGAATTCTTGTAAAGTTGGGAGGATTTCATGATGTGTTAAAATGCATTTAATTTTACCACTTGATAAAAATTCAAAATGCTTATTATTTTAAACAAGCTTTTATAATTCTTTGTTTTTATTTGAATTAGAATCATTTGCTTTGTTATTTTACGTTTGCTTTCCAGATTCTTTATTTTTATTCATAAATTAAAATAATAATTATATATGAGAACAATCTGCATACTAGGTAATTAAATTATATATATAAAATTCTTTGAATATTTATTGTTATTCAGTTTAATTCTGGTTAATTAAATTATTGATGATTAATAAGGGTTCATCTTTGATCAGAACTACATTTCAAATGCTGAAAATGATAACAAAAAATTAAACCAAATATCAATATAGTAAATTAGAACACTTTTTTGCCAACTATGAAATGAGTGAATTTGAATCTCCCAAAATTACCATTAACAAATTTTAATATTTAATTGATGACATATATTATTCAAATAGTATTCAATTTAATACATCCTTGGCTTCATATTTGAACGTAAATGATATAGAAATAAGCGAGTTAATAATACTATTAGAGAGAATCTACTAAAATAATTTGTTTTTGTCAAGAAGCAATAAATAATGTCTGACATAAATAGTGCTAAATTAATTACAATCATTTAATGAGGACATCATCTCAATAATTAATCAAGCATTTTAATTAGGGTTTATTAATGAGTAACTAATGGAAACCTTTATTAATTAGTTTACAATTTAGGAATTTACATAATATAATTTTACGATTTAAGTGTAATTACTTTTTATTTTTGGTTAAGCCCTTTTAAGGTATAACAATCTAACTAAAAATGAAGCATTCATAAGATAGTGGTAGGATTTGATAAAGTATGCTATTGCTAATTATAAAACAGAATACAAAATATCTGGCTGCATGTTTTCTTAAATTTCATTCTTGATCAAAGGATTATGTTAAATTAAATTAGAATAGGAAGCTTCATATTTAGGATAAATAATTGAATTCTATAAAACCTACTACAAATTATTAATATATAATTTTGCTGAAAGTTAAGATTTTAGTAATATGACACCCAAAGAAACTACAATTTTACTTACTGCCCTTTTAAAACTAAAAGATTAATTTATGAAATAAGAGATAAATTCAATTATATCATCTTTGCTGAATCGAATTTAGAAGACTGGGGTTTCTTCATATACCGATCTAGCCTTATAATCATTCGTATTTAATTTAACCCAACTTGGAGATTATTAATAAGTAATGGCTGGAGAGATTTTATAAGTTATAGAGTAGAGAGTTTAGGCTCAATAGTTTTCTCCAAGGATCACGATTGTAATCTTATTTGAAATGCATTTAAAATGGAATTACATAGTATCCAAAGAGCATTTGTTGAACCTCATCTCTAGTCTAAATATTAAGGAAATCCCAGACTTCGAACTTGGCAGTTACTTTTAATTGCTAACTTTGTTGCCTTTGGATTAATTATAACACATAGTTAGTAATATTGAATCGGTATGATATTGATTTGATCATAGGAAATGATACTAAGAGAGCAATTTCAAAAAATGAATTAACAATTTGCTAAGAATGAGCCTCAATCGACTGATAGAATGAGGAGATCTCTCTAAAAATTAATAAATCTATTGTAAACTCATGGGAAGAATACAGAATCGTTGGAAAGAACAATTAAGAAGATCTTTTGAGTAAAACAACTTTGTATATTAATAATAATTAATTATATTATGCACAATTAAATTATTCATTCAAGCTTTGCATTATGTAAGACAGATGATGAAGAATGTTTTGGAAGCAAGGCATAAGAAATATTAAACGAAAAGATGAAAATATTTGAATTAGATAAGATTCCATATATGGGTATATAACAGAAGAAGAAAACTTCAGATAAATAACGAAACAAATCTCAATAATATCAGGATAATTCTAAAGTTACATAACCATCCTCCTATTCTTAATATAGAATATCAAATAAAGAAAATAAGGAATAGATCATGATCACATAAAATAGAGTTTCAAAGCAAATATTGGAATCAATTAAGAGAAAGTAAAGTGGATATGAACCCAAATTGATAGATATTCCAATTGTTAGAGTATCGAGAGAACAAGTAATAAGTAGCAAAATGGAATCTCAAAATAATATTTCTTTGATTTTAATGGAGAAGTATTATTAAGCTGCTATGAAATACGAAGAAAAGAATTAAAGATAAACTACTAAAGTAAATCTAACAAAAAATACTTCAAAATTGATAATCAATAATTAAGCAGTTAAAAATTTATAGAGAAAAATAAAAAATAGTAGAAGAGAATTATCAAAAGAACTAAATACCTCCACAAAGAATCAATAAACAAAAGAATAATTGAATTCGGTTACACCAATAGGATCTAATAAATATTTCGCACCTTTTAAGTCTATTTTAATTCGTGGAAATTATTCCACTGAGAGCTGATAATATAATTATTATATTATTACTTTATAAATTAATAATACTATAATATTTTATATATAATTTTTAGATGATGAAATTTATTTTAGTTAAAAGGTGACTCAAATGTAGTTATGAAAGTAAAAAATCCTACAAAAAGAATAATTTCATATTATAATTTTCTGGCCTTATGATCATTTACAAATAATTTTTCAGAGATTCTATAACGTGTTCTCCAAAAGCATTTTTTGGTTTTTCCTTTTGGTAGACTTTAGAATGTGTTGACTTCATTTACATACTTTAATAATGTATACTCTGTGATGGAAAAAGCAGATAGATTGACTTCGATAAATTCTAAGTATAGTTGAATAGAAATATATATTGAAATTTTATTCTATTCTTTTTTCAATAAAAGTGAGAGAGAAAGAGCACATAAATAGATGAATGTTAACAAAGTGCAATGAGGCTATTTATTATTTTGGTTGAATTATATGATTTATGTTAAAACAATGAGAAAATCTCTCTTCTTTTTCTTATGGTATTATTTGAATATTTCCAAAACTATAAGAGTAATTGAATTGAATCTGCCAATGAAGGGTGTAGAATAATTGAAAGCAGATATAGATTTATATGATGGTAAGAAAATTCTCTTGTTTAGGGATAAGTAGAATTTTAAAGTATGTTTGTAAGTAGGTGTGATTATTCTAAACTTTCAAAGTATTTAATTCCCCAACGACTGATGAAGAGCAGGACAAGTTTTTGATTTATATTGTTGGAGAAATTCATAAATTAATATTAATATTAATCATGTAACAACATCAATAACTGAATGTGAATGTACACAATTGCTTTCGAAGACAGATTGTACAAAGAGAACTTCACTTGGCTGTTCATGGGATGAAACTAAAAACACATGCTCAAAAGGCACTGTTACTCCTCCCGTGACAACAACTTATGCATCCTATTGTTAAAGCTTCACACAAGCTGATTGTGTAAAGACTTTTGGATGTTTATGGAATACAGATAAATGCACTCATTTTACAGGATGCACAGCATTTAGTAAGACCATAGATGATGATTGCAAAGCTATATCAAACAGATGCATTACAGATGGAGTTCATTGCGTAGAGATTGGAGAATGCAAATCATATTTGAAATAGGTCTCATGTGTAGTGAATTCGGATAAAAAGGATTGTTTCTGGAAGGATAATGCTTGTATTGATGCCACATTGTGTGAACAATATCCAAAAACCCTAACAACTGATGAACAATGTAGAGCTAAGAATATCAAATGCACAGTTTCAAAGACTGGATCTGGATGTTAGGATAGTGCTACATCATGTGCTTAATAGGATGGAGAATTGTAATGCAAATTCGGAGATTAGGTGGGTAAATAGAAATGTTATTGGACTGGAACTGCATGTGTGAATAGGACTTGTGATTAAGCTCCAACTTCCTATACGAGACATGATCAATGTTATACAGACTATGATACCAGTTGTACTACAAATGGAGCAGGATGTAGATCAATAACTACTTGTAGTGATGCAAAGGTTTAAGAGGGTTGTAAAATTAATAGTTCCAACTAATAATGTATTTGGGTTGAAGGTGCATGTAAGGATTATAAATGTGATTCTGCCCCACCTTCAAAGAATACGAATATCTTATGTAATGCCTTTATCCCAGGATGTGTTACAAAGAAAGATGGAGGTTGTAAAGATAACGGTGCTTGCAGTTCTCTTGATGTAATTGCATGTGAGAAGGATTCAAAGAATTAACCTTGTGTAGTTAATGGAACATCATGCAAAGATAAAACATGTGACAATGCCCCTACTACAAATACAACTCATGAAGCATGTACTTTATATCTCCCCACTTGTACAGTAAATGCTACTTTAAAGGGATGTAGAACAAGACAATGCGATAATGCACCAACTACCTTGAATTCCCTTACCGAATGTAGTAATTATTTGTCTGGATGTATACCAAAAAAAGCAGGTGGTTGTTAAACTCTTACAACATGTGATAGAATTGATGTTTAAGATGTGTGTCTCAAGGATTCAACTTAGAAGGATTGCGTTTGGGATAAAGATTTGAGTAAGTGTCTTGATAAGACTTGTGCAAATGCACCTGCAGATTCTAAGACATCACATGAAAAATGCAACGGATATTTGCCATCCTGTACAGTTAATTCTTAAAAGAATGCTTGTATTGATATGATTTGTGAAAACATTGTGGAATCTTTAGATTGTAAAGTTGATAAAAACAATTAGAAATGCAAATATAAGAGCACTTGTTATAAATAAGAATGCCGTTTAGCATCATAAACGATAACTACATATTCTGGATGCTAATAACACATGCCATCTTGCACACTTGACAACTCTAGTAAAGGTTGTATGCCAATTCCTCCAAGTTGCAGTGCTATCAAAACACCGGAGGGTTGTGTTTCCAATTCATTAGGTGGAGATTGTGCATGGGCAGGCAGTAAATGTCAAGATAAATCATGTGCCACAGCACCATCAACTACAACCGATAATACTGCATGTGGAAGCTATAAAAGTGGTTGTTTAGTAAACAATACTGCAAATGGATGTATTGATCCTACTACTTTTGCCTGCACATCCCGTTAAATTGAAGACAACTGTTATTCATCTGTAGGATTTAAATGTGTCTATAGTCCTTCTAAGAAATGTTAGGCAAGAAGTTGTGACACTGCAGCAGATACTACAATTACCTCACCCAGTACTGGTGGATATCTCACAACATTCAGCAATTCAAATTGTGATAACTATTTGACTGATTGCGTTCTTAATAATTCAGGTAATGGATGCAGAACAAAAGCTTCTGCATGTGCCGATTATAATGAAAAGAATTGCACTGAAAAAACAGCTGCTGGTAAATCATGTTATTTGAACTCAGATAATACTTGTGTTGACCTAGTATGTGAAAAAATTAAGTTAACTTCTCATACTGCATGTGAGGCTGTCTCAGGAATGAACAAGACATGTACAGTAGCTAAAGGTAGTAGTCCAACTGCATGCATGACTAAATTGGACAGTTGTGGATAATATGAATAGAATTAATGCAAAAGCACTAAATCTGGAAAAAACTGCATTTGGGATAAAAGTGCATGTAGGGAAGCAACATGTTCTGATGCCACAGACGATGCTTCATATAATACACATAAAGAATGTAATGATTATGTTAGTACTTGTACTGTTATCGAAAGAGTAGACAATAAAGGTTGCATACCCAAAAAAGCTAATTGTAGTGAATATACTTCTTAAGCATAATGTGTTCAAAATTCTGCAGGCAATTCATGCTATTGGAATGGAAATAGTACATGTGTGACTTTAAGTACCTTGACCTGTGCTTAAATTGTTTTGACAACATATAGTGATGCCAATTGTGAAGGTGTTAAATATTCTTGCAAGGCTAATAGTGCAACAGCTTGTCAAAATAAAGTTTGCACAGACTATAAAAAAACTAACGGGCTAACAACTGGCACAACTGCTGTTACAACTGATGATCATTGCAAAGACTTAGATCCAGATTGTACTATTGATAATGCTACTGTTACAAAAGCTTGTATGACTAGGCCAGCAACATGTACAGGAACAGATACAACTGTATGCACATTCTCTAAAGCAGGAGAATGCCTATTTGAAAATGGTGCTTGTATATTAAAATCAACTTGTAGTTTGAAAACTGGAACTAATTTAACATATTAATAATGCTAAACTTATAATTCAGCTTGCTCTGTCAATCTTGCTGGCACTGCTTGTGTTTATTAACTAGCTACTTGTGATAAGTATACAACGCTTGCACATTGTAGAAAATCTGCAGCTGGATTATGTAAAATTGATACAAATTGCAAAGCTGTTGATGCCACATTAGATTGTACCAAAATTGTTAATACTGGCAGCATCGTATTATCATATGAGATATGCTAAGATTTTAGTTCATCATGTTCTGTAAATGCAAATGGGTCTGCTTGTTTAGAAAAAAAAGCGTGTGCCTCGTATACTGCAGCTAGTGGAGCTGATTGTGTAAAGGGTACCGATGCAACATGTTTCTGGTAAACCTCAGGTACTGCTTCATGCATACCTATTTTAACAGCCAGCACTGATTGTGTAAAAGTAGTTGATGCAGGAAATGCACTTACAGAAGATAAGTGCTCATCATATAATTCAAGTTGCTCTGCGAAAACAGATAAATCTGCATGTTTTGAAAAGAAAGCAGCTTGCTCTAATTATTCAGATACAAATTCTTGCATAAAAACATCAGGAGGAGCTAAATGTTATTGGAACACCTCAGGTACTGCTGCTTGTATAGAAATTTCAACAGCCAGCACTGATTGTGTAAAAGTAGTTGATGCAGGAAATGCACTTACAGATGATATATGCTCATCATATAATTAAAGCTGCTATGCTTTATCAGATAAATCTGCATGTTTTGAAAAGAAAGCAGCTTGCTCTAATTATTCAGATACAAATTCTTGCATAAAAACATCAGGAGGAGCTAAATGTTATTGGAACACCTCAGGTACTGCTGCTTGTATAGAAATTTCAACAGCCAGCACTGATTGTGTAAAAGTAGTTGATGCAGGAAATGCACTTACAGATGATATATGCTCATCATATAATTAAAGCTGCTATGCTTTATCAGATAAATCTGCATGTTTTGAAAAGAAAGCAGCTTGCTCTAATTATTCAGATACAAATTCTTGCATAAAAACATCAGGAGGAGCTAAATGTTATTGGAACACCTCAGGTACTGCTGCTTGTATAGAAATTTCAACAGCCAGCACTGATTGTGTAAAAGTAGTTGATGCAGGAAATGCACTTACAGATGATATATGCTCATCATATAATTAAAGCTGCTATGCTTTATCAGATAAATCTGCATGTTTTGAAAAGAAAGCAGCTTGCTCTAATTATTCAGATACAAATTCTTGCATAAAAACATCAGGAGGAGCTAAATGTTATTGGAACACCTCAGGTACTGCTGCTTGTATAGAAATTTCAACAGCCAGCACTGATTGTGTAAAAGTAGTTGATGCAGGAAATGCACTTACAGATGATATATGCTCATCATATAATTAAAGCTGCTATGCTTTATCAGATAAATCTGCATGTTTTGAAAAGAAAGCAGCTTGCTCTAATTATTCAGATACAAATTCTTGCATAAAAACATCAGGAGGAGCTAAATGTTATTGGAACACCTCAGGTACTGCTGCTTGTATAGAAATTTCAACAGCCAGCACTGATTGTGTAAAAGTAGTTGATGCAGGAAATGCACTTACAGATGATATATGCTCATCATATAATTAAAGCTGCTATGCTTTATCAGATAAATCTGCATGTTTTGAAAAGAAAGCAGCTTGCTCTAATTATTCAGATACAAATTCTTGCATAAAAACATCAGGAGGAGCTAAATGTTATTGGAACACCTCAGGTACTGCTGCTTGTATAGAAATTTCAACAGCCAGCACTGATTGTGTAAAAGTAGTTGATGCAGGAAATGCACTTACAGATGATATATGCTCATCATATAATTAAAGCTGCTATGCTTTATCAGATAAATCTGCATGTTTTGAAAAGAAAGCAGCTTGCTCTAATTATTCAGATACAAATTCTTGCATAAAAACATCAGGAGGAGCTAAATGTTATTGGAACACCTCAGGTACTGCTGCTTGTATAGAAATTTCAACAGCCAGCACTGATTGTGTAAAAGTAGTTGATGCAGGAAATGCACTTACAGATGATATATGCTCATCATATAATTAAAGCTGCTATGCTTTATCAGATAAATCTGCATGTTTTGAAAAGAAAGCAGCTTGCTCTAATTATTCAGATACAAATTCTTGCATAAAAACATCAGGAGGAGCTAAATGTTATTGGAACACCTCAGGTACTGCTGCTTGTATAGAAATTTCAACAGCCAGCACTGATTGTGTAAAAGTAGTTGATGCAGGAAATGCACTTACAGATGATATATGCTCATCATATAATTAAAGCTGCTATGCTTTATCAGATAAATCTGCATGTTTTGAAAAGAAAGCAGCTTGCTCTAATTATTCAGATACAAATTCTTGCATAAAAACATCAGGAGGAGCTAAATGTTATTGGAACACCTCAGGTACTGCTGCTTGTATAGAAATTTCAACAGCCAGCACTGATTGTGTAAAAGTAGTTGATGCAGGAAATGCACTTACAGATGATATATGCTCATCATATAATTAAAGCTGCTATGCTTTATCAGATAAATCTGCATGTTTTGAAAAGAAAGCAGCTTGCTCTGAATATTCAGATACAAAATCTTGCATAAAAACATCAGGAGGAGCTAAATGTTATTGGTATACCCCACCTGGAGGTACTGCTTCTTGTATATAAATTTCAACAGCCAGCACTGATTGTCCCAAACTTTTGAAAACATAATTGGCAGGTGTTGCTACTTCTGATACCATATGTAAATAATACAATGCTTCTTGTGTGCAAAATGGTGATGCTACTTCTTGTGTTGAAGTAAAAACAAAATGCTCTGATTATACTGGTTCTTCTACAAATTGTGTAAGCACTTCTGGAGGAGTTAAATGTTACTGGAATACAAGTGGAACTCCTGGTTGTATATAAATAACTGCAACAGATTGTGCTAAAGTAACAGGTTCTTCATTAACATATGATATTTGCCAATCCTATAATACAAACTGTAGTGTTAATATTGCAGGTACTGCTTGTGAAGCTAAATCATGTACAAATAAGCCTACACCATGGTCTCATACTTCATGTTCAACTTACTTGTCAACTTGCACAGCCAATAAAGTTACTTCAGCTGATGCATGCAAAGTTGCACCAACTAAATGTTCAGATGTTACTGTTTAAGCAGACTGCATAGGTTCTGTTACAGATGCAGAGTGCGAGTGGGTTGCTGGTAGCGATGGAGGATAATGTGTGAAAAAGACTTGTTATACTAAATCATATTCTTCTGTATTGACTCATTCTAATTGTTCAACTTATTTAAGTTCTTGCACAGTTGCAAAAGTGGGAGGTTGTATTCCTAAGGCAGCATGTAATACTTATTTATCCTCTGAATAATGCACAAATGTTGGAAGTTGTTTCTGGAATGGAAAAAAGGCTTTGACATGTGTAGATCTTTCATGTGATAAAATTGAGGATTCCTACAATACTCATACATTATGTAGTACAATTACTGGCTTGAAATGTACAGTTAAATCTACAGGAGTAGGATGTTAAAATAGATAGACTGCATGTTCCAGTTATAATGATAAAAATTGTTATCTAAATTCAGCTGAATGGCCATGTGTGATGGTTACATAGGATGATGGTTCAAGTAAATGCATGGAAAAAGCTTGCACAACTGCAGGAAGTTCCTATACTGATCACAATGGTTGTTATGATTACTATAAGGCTATTGCTGGAACCAAGAAAGCAGATCATTGCACAGTTGCTATGGTGACCAGTGCAGATGGAACACCTTCTCCTTCTGGATGTTAAAAGGTTGGAAATTGTACTGATTATAGTTAAGCATAATGTTATGTTGATTCTGAAGGAAGAACCTGTGTTTGGGATGACACAACTAAATGCAGAATTAAAACATGTGACACAGCACCTGATACAGAGAGTTATGATAGTGATGATGAATGCAAATTATATTTGGATGATGGTACATGTACAGTTGCATCAGATGATATGGGTTGTGTTGTTAGACCAGATAAATGTGAAGGAATGACTAAAAAGTAATGTGTTAAGGATAAAGCAGGAAATGACTGCGAATATTTGGACGGTGCATGCTATACAAAATCTTGTTCAACTGCCCCAGCTGATGTAACCACTAAAGATGGATGTGCTAGTTATTTCAATGGATGTACTTTGGATGAAAGTAGTAAATGTAAACTTGAAATTTGCGAAGATTTCATATTCACTACAGATGATGAATGCTAAAAAGCAAAAGCAGGTTGTACTACTAATGGTACTAAATGTGTATTGAGAACTTCATGTTAAGCTGTCACTAATAAGGCAGGATGTGTTCAGGATGAATCATAAGGAAAATGTTAATGGTTGACTACTAGCAACACTTGTGTTTTAAGAACTTGTACAACAGCTCCTGTTTCTACTGATTATGACACTGAAGCAGAATGTATAGCCTACAAAGAAGAATGTACAACTAAGTTAGGAGGAGGATGTGTTGTTAAATCAACATGTTCTGCTGCAACAGCAGAATCAGCATGCAATTTTGTTGCAGGTTAACCAAATAATAAATGTACCTGGGAGAATAATAAATGTAGAGATCAAGGATGTTAAGATTTCTCCTTTGCTACTCATGCAGAATGCAAAGCTGCAACTAATAAAATTAAATGCACTGCTGGCTAGAATGGTAAATGTACCACCCAGTCAACTTGTGAAGCTGCTACAGTCAGAGCTGCTTGTATTGAAGGATTGTATAATGGAGGATACTAACCATGTCTTTGGATTCCTGAAGCAAACTCTGGAAGTGGAGGTTGTTTCCAATATTCTTCATGCAAGAGTCTAAATTGGACAGATCATACTGAATGTTAAAAGATCTCGAGCTAATGTACTACAGATGGATCATCCTGCTTGGCTACTACCTTATGCACAGAAACAAATACGAAGGGATGCAAAATTGGATATGATGGTCCTTGCATTAAAACTGTTCCAGCAATTGATTCAAATGATTCCGCTATTTGCAAAGCTTATACTTCATGCACTGATGCATTCTATAAGACTCACAAGGATTGTTAAGAAGCAAGTACTAAATGCACAACTAATGGTGTAACATCATGTGCTCCACTTGCCGCTTGTTCAACTTATGGTATTTAAGAGGCATGTGTCATTAACAATGTTGGTCCAGTTGTTGAGTAGTCAACTAATTTAATTACATCAACAGGTTAATGTACTTGGGAGAATAATACTTGTAGAGATTAAGTTTGTAAGGATCTTAAAGGAATAACTCATTCATAGTGCTACGGTTTACTTAAAGGTTGCACTTCAGATGGAACTAATTGTTTAGCAATTTCTACTTGTGCATCTTATACTACTTAAGTCACATGCACAACTGCTAATGGATCTGATGGACCTTCTGGCAAATGCTTATGGGATCCTACAGCCAATAACAAAGCTGGAGCATGCAGAGTTTACCAATGTTCAGATATTACTGGAGGCATATCAACAACTGTCTGTCAAGCTGCATTATCAACATGTGTTTCCAACGGAACTATCTGTATTGATTAAGCAAATTGCAGTAGTGCATCATATCAAAATAAAATCTCTTGCAACTCTCTAGGAAAGGATGGATTTTGTGTCTTCACTAAATCCACTGCTACAGGCGCCACTGAGAACTAAGGAACATGTGCCTTGATGACATCATGCACTTAAGCTAAAAGTGATCCAAAGGCTTGTGCAAATGCCAAAGAAAAATGTTCATATACTCCTGAATCAAAATCAGGAACAACAACCATTCCTAGCAAATGTGATCCTCATACCTGCGCTTCCAATAAGTAAACTAATGGAAATTGCTCTAATTTCTTCAGTTGGGATTCTAAATCTTAATAAATTTGTGTTGTCGATGGTGCTGATTGTAAAGAGAAGGACCCTGCTACTTTCACCTAAGATTAATGCTATGTGAATTCAGGATACACCTATACTTGGAGCACAACTACTAATAAATGTGGAGTATGCACAGCTGTTTAACCTAATAATAATAACACCACTGATCCTAATACAACAACTCCAAACAACACAGATACCTCAGGGTACATTCTAGGTTTCACAACTATTATCTTAGGATATCTAGTTTTCTGATCCAATTGATTATTAAATTTATATAGGGAAATATTTTAAACCATTTAATTTTGTTTCTTCCCCTTCATTGTTGGATAAAACTTTGATATTTAGTTTAAATTATAAAATTATTCTGTGAACATCAGAATATTGAATTGAAGGGTAATTGATTTCTATGTGATCTACGTCCAATAGCTCAAATTATCAATATCTTATATTTTATTATATTATATTAGATAGTTAAAACATGATTGGGACATTAGAAAGATTTAAAAATTGCAGTAAAACAATAGTCTATGAAATTTGCATTTTTCAAAACAAGAATAATATATAATGAAGGGTTGATTCATAGATTAAGTTTAATACTCAATGCTTATTGCCTATATTTTGATAACAGTACTTTTTTCATTTTATATTATCTAAATTTTATTATGTTCAAATATTTTAGACTTAAATGAAGAATGAACACTAATATAAATCTTACTTGATATATCTAATGATACTTATTAAGAGAATTAATTATAAGGACGCACCTAATTCAATTTGTTGTAATTATTTTGATTCTGACAATCTATTTCTAATAAAGAGGTGACATTGATAAATGTACATGGTTATAATTTATAATTAAAAATAATTTATTTTAGAATAATAATAATTATAGTTGAGAATGATATAAGAAAAGAGTCTAGAATTACCATGCTATATGGTTGAACACAAGAGCAATATTAAGATAGTATGTTTAAACGAGCAGTGTAAAGAGTTTAGACTATTTTGCATGAAATGCGTTTAAAATAAACATCATTCAACTCATTTGTAAGACTGGATAGATATTCCTTAATTTATTGAATAAATAGAAAAATTTGAGACAGATTATCAAAGCCTTATGAATGAGTTAACTAAAGATCTAAATACAATTATATAGAATTTTAATAATTTGAAGGAAGGAATAAAAATAAAATATGTATTAGACTAGGAGAGAATTGAGAAATTAAGTCTAATAGAAATAAATGTAATTGTCAGTTAAATGTTAAAATACAAAGAATTTAAAGAAGAGACTATTAAAACAATTTAAGAATATGGATCAATTTTTAATCAATAATTAATAAATTTGTAAAATAAGTTAATTGTAAGTGAAGAGAAAAATATGGAGAGAAATCGAGTAGATAATGAATCAAGTGAAAAGATTAGTCGATTAAGCGAATCTAAATATTAAGAAGCAATGTAAAAAGATGGTGGATTGAGTGATAAGATTAGTAGATCAAGTGATAAGATAAGCAGATCTAATGAGAATATCAGTGTACGAAGTCAAAAAAATAACAGATCAACTTAGAAAAAGAGCTTGTCAAGGGAAAAAAAAATAGTTTCAAACCTAAAAGATATTCAATAATCATTAGAGCTTTGCGTTAAGGGTATCTATTTAATTATTCAATTTTATAGGTTAGAAGTTAACTGAGAAATAAATGTTTAAAGAAGCTATTGAGATGTTTAATTAATCAATGGTTTTAAATCCTATTAATTCCAAAGCCTTTTATCTGAAATGTATTTACCTAACAATTTTTAGCTTATAGTTTAAGGTTAACAGAAAATTATGAAGAAGCCTTAGTTTGGGCTGACAAAGTCCTTGAGATAGAACCTAATCATATAAAAGCTCTAGATTGTAAAAGTAAGAGTCTATTAATATTTTAGTTTATTGTCTAAGTATCCTTAGAAAATACAAGGAAGCATTGGATATTATTGAAAAAGTGTTGCATACATACCCTAATCATTTAAATTCTATGATTAATAAAGGTTATTAACTATTGTAATTTATAGTGAATTGCTTAAGAGAACTAGGGCAATATCAAAAATCTATTTAATTGTCAGATGTAGTTCTTAAATAAGATCCCAAAAACATAAATGTGTTGTTTTGTAAATGTAAGTTAAATTTTAATTTTAATAGTGTATAGTTTAGTTATGGTTGGTAAATGTTAAGAGGCTCTTGAATTTGCTGAGAATGCATTGGTTGAAAATCCTAACAATTCCAAGATATTATACTGTAAAAGTAAATATTATCAATAAATAAAAGTTCAAAGCTTATTTGGTCTCTAGAAATATGAAGAAGCGATTCAAATGATAGATAAAGCTTTAGGTGAGGATTCAAACCAAGTCAATCTTTCTAGTGTTAAAGGTAATTGAATTTCGAAAAGATAGCAAAAATCTTATTTGTACAAAAAAAGAACAATGAAGCATTAAAAATTGTTGACAAGGTATTGGTGTAAGATCCTAACGATATTGATGCTTTGGATTGTAAAAGTATTATTTTAATCCTATAAGTTTAGTTGAAATTTTATATTCCCTTGGGAAATATCGTGAGGCTATTAAATTAGCTGGTAAGATCTTAATTAAGAATCCTAAACATCTGAATGCTTTAATTTTTAAAAGTATTGTTAAAATATTATAAGCTATGAGTTTATTTATGCGTAAAAAATATAAAAAGGTAGAAACTTATGCTGACAAAGTATTGAGTATTGACTCTAATCATCAAACAGCATTATTTTATAAGGGTAAAATATTATTAACCTTAAGCAAATAGTTTAAAATAAGAGGGTAATCATAAGGATGCGTTAATTTGCATAAACAAGTTGTTAGAGAATGATCCTAAGAATTTAGAATTATTATTATTAAAAAGTAGATTTCTATTAATATCTAAGCTCAAAGTTTATATTTGCTCGATCAATTTCAAGAAGCTATAATTTGGGCTAATTAAGTTTTGGAAATAGACCCTAATAATTTAGATACATTATATTGCAAAGGTTGTAAATTTAATATCATATTCTAGCTGATAACCTAAGATTGCTTGGAAATTACAAAGAAGCAATAGATTGGTCTGATAAGGTATTAGCTATAAATCCTGAACATACCAGAACTTTACATTGCAAAGGTATCATTCAATAAAATATGTTTAGCGAGNGGTTAACAGAAAATTATGAAGAAGCCTTAGTTTGGGCTGACAAAGTCCTTGAGATAGAACCTAATCATATAAAAGCTCTAGATTGTAAAAGTAAGAGTCTATTAATATTTTAGTTTATTGTCTAAGTATCCTTAGAAAATACAAGGAAGCATTGGATATTATTGAAAAAGTGTTGCATACATACCCTAATCATTTAAATTCTATGATTAATAAAGGTTATTAACTATTGTAATTTATAGTGAATTGCTTAAGAGAACTAGGGCAATATCAAAAATCTATTTAATTGTCAGATGTAGTTCTTAAATAAGATCCCAAAAACATAAATGTGTTGTTTTGTAAATGTAAGTTAAATTTTAATTTTAATAGTGTATAGTTTAGTTATGGTTGGTAAATGTTAAGAGGCTCTTGAATTTGCTGAGAATGCATTGGTTGAAAATCCTAACAATTCCAAGATATTATACTGTAAAAGTAAATATTATCAATAAATAAAAGTTCAAAGCTTATTTGGTCTCTAGAAATATGAAGAAGCGATTCAAATGATAGATAAAGCTTTAGGTGAGGATTCAAACCAAGTCAATCTTTCTAGTGTTAAAGGTAATTGAATTTCGAAAAGATAGCAAAAATCTTATTTGTACAAAAAAAGAACAATGAAGCATTAAAAATTGTTGACAAGGTATTGGTGTAAGATCCTAACGATATTGATGCTTTGGATTGTAAAAGTATTATTTTAATCCTATAAGTTTAGTTGAAATTTTATATTCCCTTGGGAAATATCGTGAGGCTATTAAATTAGCTGGTAAGATCTTAATTAAGAATCCTAAACATCTGAATGCTTTAATTTTTAAAAGTATTGTTAAAATATTATAAGCTATGAGTTTATTTATGCGTAAAAAATATAAAAAGGTAGAAACTTATGCTGACAAAGTATTGAGTATTGACTCTAATCATCAAACAGCATTATTTTATAAGGGTAAAATATTATTAACCTTAAGCAAATAGTTTAAAATAAGAGGGTAATCATAAGGATGCGTTAATTTGCATAAACAAGTTGTTAGAGAATGATCCTAAGAATTTAGAATTATTATTATTAAAAAGTAGATTTCTATTAATATCTAAGCTCAAAGTTTATATTTGCTCGATCAATTTCAAGAAGCTATAATTTGGGCTAATTAAGTTTTGGAAATAGACCCTAATAATTTAGATACATTATATTGCAAAGGTTGTAAATTTAATATCATATTCTAGCTGATAACCTAAGATTGCTTGGAAATTACAAAGAAGCAATAGATTGGTCTGATAAGGTATTAGCTATAAATCCTGAACATACCAGAACTTTACATTGCAAAGGTATCATTCAATAAAATATGTTTAGCGAGTTGTTTAAGATTACTTGGTTAGTATGATGATGCTGCTATTTGGTCAGAGAAAGCTTTAGTAGCCAATCCTAAATCAGTTAATATTTTACGTTAGAAAGGTAGAATCTGAAAGTATTTGAATAGCAAATTCGTTAAAAAATATGGGGTAATACTAGTAAGCACTGGATTTAGTAGAAAAAGCCTTGGCAATAGAGCCAAAGCATATAAACACTTTAGATTGCAAACGTTTTAAATTATTATATATTAGTTTAATGCATATATTGGCTTGGTAAAATTAATGATTCAATTGGGTTATCTGATCAGATTTTAGAGTTAGATCCAAATAATTTAAATTCCTTATGTTGCAAAGGTAAATGAAATTTAAATATCTTTAGCTGATTGTTTAAGACAATTGAAAAGATATTTGGATGCTCTGTTATGCTGTGATAAAGTATTAGAGATAAACCAAAACCACATAGATATTTTAAGTTGTAAAGGTACATTTAAGCAATTAATTTAAGCATAATGCTTATATATACTTAAAGAATACGATGAGGCATTAGAATACATCAATAAAGTACTTGCACTGGATCCGAATAATGAGTAAGTTATTAGTTGTAGAGGTATGCTTGAAATTATAATTTTAGTGAATGTGTTATTGTAAAAGGGATAGCATGTAGAGGCATCTAAATAAGCTGATAAGGTTTTAGAAATTAATTTTCAGAACAAAGATGTCCTGATTTGCAAGAGTATTAAAATTTATCATAAATTAAAAGCGTAGTGCTTACATCTGTAAAATAAGAATAAAGAGACTCTGATTTGTGCTGATTTGGTTCTAGAGATTGATCCTAATCATGTTCCTACTTTATTCATAAAAGGTATCAATTACATGCATTTAGCTAATACCTTATTTAAACTGGGCCGCTTCACTGAGGCTCTAGAATCGACTGATGCAGTTTTAAAAATTGATCCAGATCATGCTGAAACCATTCTTTGCAAATGTACTCCTCTTTTTTTAGTTAGCCAATTGTTTAAGACTATTAGGACAACATTCGGATGCTCTCATCTATATAGACAAATACTTAACTGTAGATCCTACTAACCTAACCGTTATTGAACAAAAAGGTACAACATAATTTATTACCTAATCAGCTTAACTCTTACATTCAACAGAAAGACATGAGGAATCAAATCTATGGATTGAAAAGGTACTTGAATAAGATCCAGATAACATGAATATATTAAACTATAAAGGTAACTCAGTCATTTATTTTTAGCTGATAATTTAAGAGCTTTGGGTAAAAGTAAAGAATCAATAGTAATTGCTGAAAAGATTTTGGCCTATGATTCTAAATCAGTGAATGCTCTGTTTTGTAAAGGTAAATATTTGGCGAATATTAATAGCTGATTGTTTAAAAGCTTAGGGTCAATATAATTTAGCTGAATAATGGGTTGATTTTGCATTAAAGCATGATTCCAAACATGTAAATTCATTGGCTTGTAAGGGTAATAAGTTCTCATAATTAGGTGAAATATTAAGGATGTTTAAACAATATGATTAAGCTTTGAAATAATTTAATATTGCTTTGAGTATTAATCCCAACAGTTATATATCCCTTACTTAAAAAGGTAAATGGACTTACATATAATTAGGCGCATGTCTACAAGAAATAAAATAATATTCAGAAGCATTATCAATCTTTGATAAAGCCTTGAAAATAAAACCCAATGATGAATGGGTTCAAACCAGAAAAAGTATTTATTATTATTTGATGTAGAATAATGTGAAGATGTTTTTAAGAAGACAGCTTCTGCAAAATCAAAATGAATAATAAATTTATAATATTTATTCAAATCATATAATCATAAAGTTTAATTAAATAGATATTCATTAATTTATTGATTAACTCATATTAAAATGTTTTATATATTTTTATAAAAGAAGGATTAATTTAAGAACACAAATGTTTTGCAATGATTTGAATTAAAATTGTTATTGCTAATTCAAAAAGAAATAGATTTTATAAAGCCAGTTATGAGAGAATGAATCTACTTCACATAACCACTTTATTTGGATACCTCATCATCAATTTTATATTTAATATTTTTGAATAAAATCGAATTTGGTATATAGATTAATATTAATGTTATAATAAATTCAAATAGCCTATAATATCCTAAAATTTAAGTCTCTAATTACGCTTACTTTCTAAAGTGTGATCTTGATTTCTTAAAAGTAAGCATTCAACAATTCTTAAGAAAATTGCTATATTATTAAATTTAATGATTAATGCCAGACTAAATTCAATAAAAAATTATTAATTATACTTCTACTTAGAATAATTATCGATTATTTAACATTAAAAGAATACATTAAGATATATTTAATTACTTTATTATAAATTTTATATTTAATAATGATTTAGAAATAAAAAAGCAATTAACATTGTAAAATACATCCTAATCAAAATTTCATATTCTGCTGCTTTAAAAAAGAATGCAATTAAAATAGAATATTTTGTTTGGATTGTTTGAAATAGAAATAGCATATAGAGCATATGGATGCTGTTTAAAAATTGGAAGATGCTAATATTTTCATTAATTAATAGTTAAGCAAGGTTAAAGATGTTATTACAACCACAAAAAATGAATTTGAACTAGCAAAGGAGTCATTCAACACATTGATAAAAGGATTATAATATCAAGTTTTTGGATTAGAAGCTGCGATGAGTAATATGGACTTAAATCAAATTTAAGAAACCATAGCAAATTTATTCTTATTTGAAAGAGTATAATTAACAATGTAATAATCAATCGAACAAACACTTTACAAATTAAGAAAGACAATTGAAGATACATATCAAAATTTTTAGATAAACTTATTTATTTAGAAAGACGAAGACATCTTAGTAAAAATTGGTAAGACTTAATGAATAACAAAATAGGTAGCTATTTATTTGAGTAATAATAATACAAAAAGGCTATTGAATACTATGATGAATGTTTAGATATGAATGAAGAAAATGAATAAGCTTTATTCGGAAAAGGTAAAATCTATTTAAATTTGAGGGGAGTGTTTAAGAGCTATTCAATAATTTAGATAAGCATCAGAATGTTATTAAAAAGTTTAATTCATAAATAGCAATAATACTCAAGCATATCTCAAACAGGGTTATTATCTTTTTCATTTTTAGGAGAATGTCTATAATATTTGTATTAATTTAACACAGCCATTGAGGTATATAATAAAGCAATACTTTTGGATAAATCCGATTTTGCATCGATTTATTATAAAGGTATTTATAAAACTTTAATTAGGTTATTGCTTACTATAATTGTGGAATTTTACAGAAGCTAAAGTGTGTTTCGAAGATGTGGTCAAAATTAGTTCTGATAATAATTATACACTGCTAGCTAAAAGTATGATATAATATGATTTAGGCAATCTGTTACTTATAACCTTACATCCTGAAGAAGCTAAATAGATCCTTGATTAAATTTTAGAAAATTCTCCTCAAAAATTTGACATCTTTGTGTTGAATACATCAATTTCAACTTTTACTATAAGAGAGTTATGTAATTTCGACTAAGACAATAATGAAATTGAATAAATGATATAATAGTTTCCATAGAATATTTTTGCATTGTATTTAAAAGGCATTAAATCCATTTATTTTTTAAGGAATTTCTTTAACAAAGGATAAAAATTTTGAAGAAGCATAAAAGATTTAAGAAAAGCTTATAGAAATCGATCCAACATCATGGATGATTCAACATTTAAAAGGTAAATTCAAGTTTATTTTTAGTGAAGTTTTTAAAAAATGAAGGCAAGTATGATTAATCTCTAGAGCTTTTAGAATCGATGTTAGTATTTAATCCTGATAACATTCGTTTAATATTCGAAAGATTCCAAGTATCAAAATACTCTTACTTAGTAATTTGATTAATTAGATTCTGACTAACAAATTAAATATATTGACTATTTATTGGTAAGATTTCCCCAATAGATATTTCTCTTTTGGGTTAAAGGCTTTACTTTAATGAATTAGAATATATATGATGAAGCTTTATTAACCTTTAATGCAGCATTATCTAAGGATCCCTATAATTTTTGGATTGCCTCTTTTAAAGGTGATAAAAATATCATTTTATAGCAAGTACCCTATCTGAGTTGAAAAAATATTAAGAAGCCGTTGATCTCTTATACTCAATACTTGATGAATCCCCAGAGAATATAAAAGTTTCATAACTCATAAGTCTAATTCTTTAATATTTTAGATGAAGTCTTATTTAAAATGAATAACATCAATGAATAAGTCGATTCAAATGATGAAACAGAAGTTGAAAATATCCAATCTGACTGAGTAATGAATAAAATTTACAAANTTAAATTTGAGGGGAGTGTTTAAGAGCTATTCAATAATTTAGATAAGCATCAGAATGTTATTAAAAAGTTTAATTCATAAATAGCAATAATACTCAAGCATATCTCAAACAGGGTTATTATCTTTTTCATTTTTAGGAGAATGTCTATAATATTTGTATTAATTTAACACAGCCATTGAGGTATATAATAAAGCAATACTTTTGGATAAATCCGATTTTGCATCGATTTATTATAAAGGTATTTATAAAACTTTAATTAGGTTATTGCTTACTATAATTGTGGAATTTTACAGAAGCTAAAGTGTGTTTCGAAGATGTGGTCAAAATTAGTTCTGATAATAATTATACACTGCTAGCTAAAAGTATGATATAATATGATTTAGGCAATCTGTTACTTATAACCTTACATCCTGAAGAAGCTAAATAGATCCTTGATTAAATTTTAGAAAATTCTCCTCAAAAATTTGACATCTTTGTGTTGAATACATCAATTTCAACTTTTACTATAAGAGAGTTATGTAATTTCGACTAAGACAATAATGAAATTGAATAAATGATATAATAGTTTCCATAGAATATTTTTGCATTGTATTTAAAAGGCATTAAATCCATTTATTTTTTAAGGAATTTCTTTAACAAAGGATAAAAATTTTGAAGAAGCATAAAAGATTTAAGAAAAGCTTATAGAAATCGATCCAACATCATGGATGATTCAACATTTAAAAGGTAAATTCAAGTTTATTTTTAGTGAAGTTTTTAAAAAATGAAGGCAAGTATGATTAATCTCTAGAGCTTTTAGAATCGATGTTAGTATTTAATCCTGATAACATTCGTTTAATATTCGAAAGATTCCAAGTATCAAAATACTCTTACTTAGTAATTTGATTAATTAGATTCTGACTAACAAATTAAATATATTGACTATTTATTGGTAAGATTTCCCCAATAGATATTTCTCTTTTGGGTTAAAGGCTTTACTTTAATGAATTAGAATATATATGATGAAGCTTTATTAACCTTTAATGCAGCATTATCTAAGGATCCCTATAATTTTTGGATTGCCTCTTTTAAAGGTGATAAAAATATCATTTTATAGCAAGTACCCTATCTGAGTTGAAAAAATATTAAGAAGCCGTTGATCTCTTATACTCAATACTTGATGAATCCCCAGAGAATATAAAAGTTTCATAACTCATAAGTCTAATTCTTTAATATTTTAGATGAAGTCTTATTTAAAATGAATAACATCAATGAATAAGTCGATTCAAATGATGAAACAGAAGTTGAAAATATCCAATCTGACTGAGTAATGAATAAAATTTACAAAATAAACAGTATAAAAATATTTTACTTTAATATAATCTCAGACATAATCGTATTAGTGAATTTAAGAAATATTAATCCATAATTGTTTAATTGATAATAAAATTGTATTTTTATAGTCAATTAGAAGTTTTTATTAAATTGTTTGCTTAATTTAATATAATAATAAATCTATTTAGGCGATGACACAAAATGTTATTGCTTTGTATCTTTCACATTAACTTGTATCATAAGTTCATTCATATCTTGGCTTTATATAATTGATAAATTTTGAAGAATTTGTTAAAATTTAAGATGAGAAAATTAAGTCAACAAACATGTTAGATATTAAACTTGGTTTACAACTGTATATGCTGAAATGGATGAATAAAGGTGTTCTGATTGCTTCTTAATGGTCAAATATAAACTGGTTATCCTGTATTTTCCAATCGTGCCTAGAATGTTTACTTTGAAATGTTAAGGAATCAAATAACAGGCGATTGGATTTAATAATTGGTTGAGATGACTTATACACTTAATTAGATATGATATGGAAAAGAATTCATATAAAAATAATTGTTTTGATATGACTCAAGAAATAACATAATTTCATAGGATAATACATATTATTATTAAATACAAAAAATAGAACAATAAGAAAATAATCTTTATAAATTTAATTAATAACCCATGAATTCTGACTTAAACCTATCATAGTAATCTTAAGGTAATAACAATTCTAAATATTCTAGAAATGTTAGTAGAGAAGTAATAATCAATTTCTGAGATATTAATCAAAGCATTTGCAGAAAAATCAAATTTGTAAAAAGCATAATTATAGTTCAAAGGGAACAAAATTATTTCTAATTGGTGGAAGTGGGGCAATAAAGAGAAGAATTTGGAATAGAATTGGATGATGATGATCTTACTTTAATTTCAGAAAACATTTTCAAACATTCTATTAGACGATGTTGCAATACTGATGAGTTATTTATTATCTTGTTTCTCAAAGGATAAATTGCATATATTTTCAATGAAGTTATTTAGAGAATGTAAATGATTTATCCAAATTAATAAGTGATAAATTAATAGATTATCCTAAAGGATAGCAGATTTTAAGAAATATATAACAAATATAATATTTAAAATGGGAATAAACAGTTGGAAGTGACAATAATTTTTATTGGAATGTCTTTTGGAAAGGAGAAAAAGTAGGAGGAGGCATCTAAGATTAGAATGGCTAAAAATAGGGCAAATGGATAGAATTATACGAAAATTATAATGAGTAATTTGATATTATAAGTAAGTCTTGCTCGTGTTTACTTTATTGGAGAGTATGTGGATGGAAAGAGAATAGGAAATTGGTTAACTTTATTTGATGGCAAAATTCTGTAATTAAATTTAATCTAATTTAGTTGCAATGGGTTGTTTGATGAGAATGGACTTAAGACAGGAAATTGGGTTGAGTTGCTTTCAAATTTTTCAATGTTTCATATTTTGTAATATTAATTCAATTAGTTATAACTAAATTTTCTTAAGAGGAGAATATTAAAAAGGACTAAAAATAAATTAATGGGATATAATTTATAACTATTAAAAATTGTATGTATTTTACATGAAATAGTCCAATTGGATTCTACAATGATAAAGGGCTTAAATAAGGACCCTGGATTGACTTAAGTAGAAAATTCTTATAGTATTTTATATGTTCGATTATCCAGTTATAGGAGAATTTAAGAAAAAGGAGAATACGAAAATGGAAGGAGAATAGGGAAATGGTAGATCATAATAAATGATGAACTAGTGTAAGAAATTTTATAAGTCTTTTAGCGGTGCAAAATTCTATGACTAAAATGGGTTATAATAAGGCAAGCAAACAGAGTTGCTCTAAGATTTAACAAAGTATACACAAATATGTTATAGGTTTTAGAGAATTTTTCATCATATAAGAAGGTGAATATTTAGATGGGAAAAGGGTAGGACAATGGTTGATAGTTTTAGAAGAAAAAACAATGTATGTTATTATTGATCTAATTAATTTTAGAGTTGGAGGTGGCTTTTATGATACTGATGGGCTAAAGACTGGGAAATGGGTTGAAATTCAACAAAAAATGAATGAAATTCCAAGTTTGAAATAATTTTTAAGACTTTATAGTTAATTTTGAAGGGGAATACATAAGAGGAAAGAGAGTTGGGAATTGGAATTTGAAATAAAATTAAAACTCAATGTATTTAATGAGAAATTTAACTATTAGTGGTGGGGGCACATTCAATGAATATGGTGAAAAAACAGGAAGATTTATTGAGTTGTACAAGTTTACTCATTAAAATTGTTAAAATTAATAAATTATTATAGTCATATGGAAAGGTGAATATAATAATGGTAGGAAGTGTGGAAATTGGTAAATTTTGTTTAGGGGGAATGCAATGTAATAATTTTATTGTTAAATTTAGCGGAGGAGGAACTTATGATGAGAATGGTTTAAAAGATGGAAAATGGATTGATATGCAAGAAGATTTTTCTGAGTAAATTTATAAATAATTCTAAAATTAGATTCAACTAAATTATAAATGTTACAGAATATAAAAATGGACAAATAATACGATAATTAGAAACTCAATTATGGGGAAAAATGATGTAAAGAGTAGATAGTTATAAAAGTGCTGGAGGTTTTTATGATCTTGATAACCATAAAACTGGAAAGTGGATTGAATTAGGAGAAAGATATAATGGGTAATTGCTTGATGATTATATAAATGAAGAGTCTCACATGTGAAAAATATTGGAAATTACATTAATGGAAAAAAGAGTGGAAGATGGGAGATTCAATATGATAATAGTATAAAGTAAAAGAGATCTTATAATAATTTTAGAGGAGGTGGGACATATGATGAAAAGAACGAGAAAAATGGTGAATGGGATGAGCTTCATTCTAACTTTTAAAGGTCTTCGTTATAAATCATCTTTTTTATAGTAATAAAGCAATCTAAACTGGAAATTATCAAAACGGAACGAAAGTTGGAAAATGGGAATTAAAATTAAATGGCTAAATAATGTATTAAGCCAATCTATATTAGTGGGGGTGGACAATTTGACGAAAATGGTTTGAAACACTCAAAATGGATGGATTTACATCAGACATCTTCAGAGTAAGAATTTAAATATTTTAAGATATAACCAAATCTTCAACGTAGAATAGTACCAATATGGTCAACAAATGGGCATATATTAGAGAATTCATAAACGAAATGTGATGTAATAATCTATGGATAATTAATAGTGAAAATGGGCAATTAAACTAGAATGGATTGAAACATGGAAAATGGATGGAATAACATGAATTCTACAACGAATAGTTACAAAAATATTAAATATTAGCTAGTAGATAATCTTTAATGGAGATTATAATAATGGTAGTAAAACTGGAAAATGGGAGGCTGTGTTTAAAAAATAAAATATGTAGATATTTGAATTATCTAAAGTGGCGGAGGTGTTTATGATGATAATGGTCTGAAAGATGGGTTTTGGATTGATTTATGCTAAAATTTCACAGAGTAATATCAATTTACTATATATAGTGTTCGATAAGTTACTTTTGCAGGGATGTACAATCATGGAAAAAGAATTGGAAAATGGGATTTCATTTTCAAAGATAATATTATGTAATAAATTCAGATAATCTAGTGGAGGTGGTTAATATTTAGAATTTGATACTAAATAGGGTTACTGGATAGAATTGGATAGCTTTTTTTAAGAGTATAAATTAAAATTAATATTTAATAAGTGATAGATAATATTTGGGATTGGGGAATTATGAAGATGGCAAAAAAATTGGAAAATGGATTAAAATGAAAGATTAAGCAACATTGTATTGCATTTTATTAAGAGTATTTAGAGCGTAAAGAGAATATGATCTAAATGGATGTCAAGTTAAATGAAAATTTAATAAATATATCGTGATATCAATAATCATATTATTTCTAGAATAATTCTTGATCTAAATAGCTGATTCAATAAATTATCTATTCAAATCTTATTATGATTTAGGTAGGGTGATACATTATACTTTATTATTTAATCAACTACTTAACTACATAATAGATAAATTTTACAATAAACAGATAACTTTTAAGTACATATAAAAAATTTAAATTAATTTCAAGTTAGATAAATAATTAATTAATTTCATAATTCATAAAGTGATAGTCATATTCAAGTATAAATAATTATTTATGTTAGAAAAAGTAGAATTATGTTTTAAAAGTAAAATACATAAGAAAGATAATTTTAATAGATTTAAAAACTAAATATTGTCACTCTTGATATTTTCTAATTTGAATTGCCTTTGATTTCTCATCATAAATTATTAAATATTCTCCATCATCAGTCATGGTTCCAAATATAAATTCATGCTCAAATTCTAGTACCAATTCATTACGTAACTCTCCATAGCTATTAACCTTGATGAAATTTATAAATCTTCCATTTTTATTGACTAATATTGATTTAGATTTTATAAATTATTATGGAAAATAATATGTACAATTCATGCTTCCATTAACATCTACTTACTTTGTTAACTTAAAATCATTATTTATGCAGTCTGCTTAATATACATCCAGTTTCTTTTTGGATTTACCTTAATATACAAACATGTAATCATTGATATAGCACAATCTATACCCTAAAGTAGTTACTGAGATAATTTAAACTATTTTCCATTAAAAATCATGAAATTATTCAATTATAAGAATTTGATTTTCAGAACCACTAGCTAATAGTTAATTACAGGAATCATTCAAAGTTATACTAATTATCTAATTTGATTGGCAACTAACTGTTTGAGAACACTACCATAGCCCATCTTATATCATCCAGAATTTAATTGATTTATCATTACTTCCTGAAATTATTAAGTCTTCTTCTGAATTCATTAATAAGCAATTGATAAAGTTTGTATGTCCTTCTAATTTCTGTTTAATATCCCAAATGCTTTTATCATCTGCTTAGTATAACCGAATTGTATGAGAATCACCACGAGCTAGAAATTACTATGATTTTTTCATAAAAAATAGACAACAAACTGGGGTTTTATTATGTCGTAATTCTTGAATGAGATTAATTTATCCTTTATTAAATTCAAATAGTTTTATAACACCTGAGTTATATCCCCCAACCATAATTTAAGATTGCTTGCTGAATGAAAAAGCATATGCATCTTAATCATTTTTTATTGAATTAATAAGCTCATATTTAAATGTTTTAGGTGATTTATTTTGGAAACAGGCCATATTTGTATTGAATAGTTATTAAAAATCAGCAATGCTTGAGTCTAATGCTTCTACCAAAATTTTGCATTTTTATTCCATTTTCCTTAGTATTGATTATTGTTCTTCTTAAAAATTGATTATTGATTATCTAAACTTAAAGACATCGTTTTTTTCCATTTGTCTTAATATTTCTTATCTGAATTTGCACTTAGATTCTAACTCTTATTGAAATTATTGGTATTTTTTGTTGATCTCTTCAATATGATTGTTTAAAGTATTTATAATTAATCCAGCCATATCTGATTATCTGCTTTAGAGATCCAATATTTCTTAATAGTCAGCATCATCACAAATCTTAGTATTATTCATAGGTCAATAATTATTAAATTACTATAAAATTAATTTAATATAGTTAATTCTATATTTCAATGAATCATAAAAATTATTTAGAAATTTGTCACTTGGTCTATAGGGTAAGCATTATCCATCATGAATTTCAAAATCTGAGTTTAGGTGTTAGATCGATATAATTTACAATTAATATAAAATTACCCTATAAATTTGATTTATATTATTGAAAATAATAATTATAACATGTTCCTCTATAAATGAAATTCACTGAAGATAAAGATTGTGTTTTATTAGATTTAAACTAAATATAATTCAAATATGAGCTAAAATAAAAAAGCAGCAACCAAAAATAAACTCATTTTTAGAGAAATTTCCAAAAATTTATGAAATGACAATTATGGATTAATTAAAGTCTAACTTATTCAAGAGAATTTTTAATTATTAAAGGAAGAAAATAAATTTAATCATGTGCTGTATTTAACTTATGGTTAGATCATACTTTTGAAATTTAGAAATGTGAATATGAAGGAATCAATGTTACGGATCTATTTCTCCTTATCAAATTAGAATCAGAATACCTGTACTTTAAATTTCCTATTCTTGTAATTAAAAAAAGGTATTATATTTAGCATATTCAAATACCGATAATTTTGGAATTTATATCGTTAAAAGTGAAATTAATAATTAGTATTTTTATCACCTTTCATTTAGATGATGAAAACGAGTAATAATCACTTTCTCATATATTAGAAACGTTTAGATTTGAATACCAATTAGATATTGTCTTAGCGATATGCGAATTAACTAGTTAACATCAATTAATTAACATTTTTTATATTTCATTTTTAACGATTTTCATATTGAAATTGATTTATAAATATTAAATTTGTTAAGACAGTGAGAATCTAAAGAAGAGTCAAACATTATCTAAGCATGAATTCAATCTTTTAATATTAATGATATCAGATAAATTAATAACATCTTAGAAGTGTAATTGTTCAAAGTATTATAACTTGCTGCTTTTTTATTTTAAGGGCATATGCATTTTGAAATAAGAAGTTTTTGAAATTCAATTACACAATTTATTAAGTATTATACAAATGATTCTCATATATAAATATTAATATAAGATACTTAGTAAGCAATTACGTTTAAGTTTCTGATTATTTTGATGCATCTTTTGTATTTAATATATTAATACTAAAATGATTTTGTTTATGTTGATGACATTCAATAAAAAAAGAATACGTCAAGGCTCCCTTTACTTTTCTATATTTATTGATCTGATCTTACAAAGTCAGATATGTCATTTTACAATGGCATAAACGGAGATCAGCAGGTCCTTTTTCTCTCCTATTAGTTCAGATGATAGTAAGTATATTGATGACATTTTAGATTGGAAAACTTATTTTGCTGAGTCTTCACCTTATATAACAGATTGTGGAAGTTCATATATTTTTGGAGGTCTTTCTATCTTTACTTACTAGACAACAATAACAAAGACTTTCATTCTTCCTCCTCATAGCAAATTGAAGATCGAATTTAAATTCTGGAGGTACCTATAATAATTATATTTAGATTGACTTCTTGGTTTGGTTCGTTTTATATATTTTATATTGATGGCTTCAAAGCACATGATGATAACCCTAACACTTCAACAGGCACTTAAATTTGTGGTGTTGGAACTCAAGGATAGGTTTATTAAATTAGTCAAGAATTTGATCATGATGGAAACAGTGCAATAGCAACACTAATTTCGCAGTAAATGGGTTCATATTGGGGGATTTCTGATTTCATATTATATGTTTAGAAATGTCCTAAAGGATGTGAATTCTGTGATACGATTGGAAACTGTTTACAATGGAATAGAATGCTGGCATTTTTTAAGAATATTCTTGTTACAGGGGGAGAAGGATGGGCAAGAGACTATTTTCCATATGATGGAACTGGAGAATGTGGAAGTAAATAAAGTTATATCTAGGTTTTTGGTTTTATGGACCTTTTTTAATGACTGAAAAGATTTCAATAGATTTGAATTTATCCGATCCACACACCAAGTTTAAAATATAATTTAAATTTTTGTGCGCATATGTGACTGGATCAATTACTATAAGAGTAATTGGTAATGGGGGTTTATTAACAAATTATGCATACCCTTTGAATATTATTACTACTACTAATATTATTTGCGGTTCGTATTTAAAATTAGATAAAGTTTATATAGGAGAATTCATGAGCAGCGATCCAATTTTGACTTTTACTTTAGACATTTCCGCATTTAACACTGTGTCTAGTTCAACACCTTTTTATGGTATAAGAGATTTTGAAGTATTTACAGATGCAGAGAAAAAATAAGTGTAAAATGATAGTGATAGTGGCATCATTTGCAGTGACAACAATATATATGCTTTTGATGGGTGTTTTTCTTATATTTATGATTGCAATGAAGGTTGCAATAACTGTGTAAAGGGTCTTTGTATTTAATGTTTATCTCCTTGGGTATTAAATAAAATTTCAGGATAATGTGTCTCAAAATGTGGAGACTAAATAGTTGTATCTTCAGAATAGTGCGATGATGGTAATTATCAACCTTATGATGGATGTTATGAATGTTAGTTTTCTTGCCCTTTAAATTGTAAGGTTTGCTAATATGGAAAATGTTTGATTTGCGACTAGTCATATCAATTAATTGATAATAATTGCTAATTTAATTGCATAGAGGATGAAAATTTAAGTCAATATTAAGACTATAATAATGAAGGTCACTATTGTTAAATTTCAAAATTTTTAATTAATCCTTACTTACAGCATGCGATGTTAAATACTGATATTTAGGTTTAATATGATAGCGATTCATGTAAAATTGATAATTATGGAATTTTCGCTTATATATATGATATGTGCCCTTTTGAAATACCTCAGAACTGCAAAATTTATTTTTTAAATTAATGTTAGATTTGCTAAGATGAGTATGATCTATCTAATAATAATTATTGTATTCCTAAATGTGGTAATGGAATTATATAAGAATATGAATAATGCGATGATGCTAATTTAGAATAGTTTGATGGATGCTATTATTGTAATAGCAATTGTCAATTAGAATGTGTAGAATGTTATTATTCTCAATGTTTTCAATGTATTGAAGGATGGAATTTAATTAATTTTAAATGTTTCTCCGAATGTGGGGATGGTAAAATTGCATTACTTTCTGAATAGTGTGATGACTAAAATAATAATAGCAATGATGGATGCTTTGAATGTAAATTTGAATGTTCATAAAATTGCTTATTTTGTAATCTTAATTTTGATTGTTTATAATGTTAGAAGTATTATGAAGTTTAGAATAATAGCTGTGTTCCTAATTGTGGGGATGGATTAATATTTGAAGGATTCGAATAATGCGATGACGGAAATGATATTGAATTTGATGGTTGTTATAAATGCTAATTCTCATGTTAATAAAATTGTTAAATATGTGATTAATACTAATGTCTAGATCCTAGAGTTAATTAATGTGAATATGGTTAGTAATTGATTGATGATTAATGTCTTTCAATTTGTGGGGATTTAATTATTGCACCTGATGAATAATGCGATGATGCTAATGAAATTCCTTTTGATGGATGCTATTAATGTTAATATTCCTGTTCTTTAAATTGTATGGATTGTATGGATGGACAATGTTTAAAGTGTGATAATGGATATGAAATAATGGATAATCTTTGTCTTGACATTTGTGGAAATGGTATTAAAACTGAAAAAGAAGAATGTGACGATAAAAATTTAATAACTCAAGATGGATGCTCTGATGAATGCAAAGTTGAAATTAATTGGACTTGTTCACAAATAAATTTAGAAACAAGCATCTGTCTGTTAATGAAGCCTCCTCATTTCAACTTATTATTCATTAATCAAACATATGACTCCTTCTTTGTAGAAATGTAGATTACAAGCTAAGTCAAATTATAAGATTCTCAATCAAACTTAACCTAAAGTTTGCAGCTCTCCTTAATTGATATAGATATCTCTCATTATATTATTTATGAATATGTTTTAGTAGAGCCAAATGTCATATCAGTATAGGATATAAACTATTTATTTTAAATTAAATTTTTAAAATAAGAAACTATGGATATTTACTTTTAAGTCTCATTCGACACTGAACTTGTTGATCAATATGGGTTTTCAGTTGAAAATTAATAATGCAAATTACATTTAAGAAATCCGATAGTATTAAGCGATATAGAAAGAACAGTATCTCATAAAATGAGCTCATTAAATATGTATATGCTCATTGGACTTGGTGTATCTAGCTTTATTATTTTATTGTCTGGTAATCCTGTTGAATGCTTTGAGGTTTTGGATACCTTATAGTATTAATCTAATCTAAAATACATTAATTCGAATTACCCAGAAAATGTAATGATTTATTTTGAATCCTCTTAAGTAGTAACAATAATTCCAGTTTTGGAAAAGTTATAATTCCTTGACTTATTTAATATTGTGATTGGGTAGGAACAAATCTAAGCATATGAAAAATTTCTATTTTATGATGTTAATGCCGAATTAATCAGTAATTTATCTGGATTAATTGCCTAACTAGTGATAGTAGTATTATTGCTTATTGCATCCAAAATATACTTCTGGATTTTCATTAAAAAATGTTATAATAAATTCAGGATTTTTATTTACAATAACAATAAATTTTATTTTTCTAAATAGCTAGTCTTAATAATACATATGCTTAATCAATTAAGTATTCAAATAAATTAACTAATATCAATAAATGGGATTGTGTATATTATCTAAGCAAATAGTTGGGATTTAATTTTCAAGACTTTGTTGTATCTATACTCTTAAAAGGAAAAGAATCTTAGAAATTAATTCTAAAATATATTTGCATGCACTTTTATAATTTGTATTTTAGTATTGCTCTCCTCTATTTTTTCATTAAAGAGGTCTAACATAAAATTAAAGAAAAGAAATATGCATCTCCATGAAGGCTTGATGGTTGCGAAAAAGTTTTTTTTTCTTTTAGTTCTAATAGGATTTCAAAAAAGTTCACTAACACAGTCTGTTTTGTTGTCGTTGATAAATACTATCTACATAACAATTATTATCCTTTGTTAGGTTGTCTCTAAAAAAATTGATTTAATTTTGATTCTTATGTTTGAATTACCAGTTATATTGTTTACTCTGCTTAACATTGCTTATGAACAAACTTATGCAAATTTCTTGGGCTTTAAATCCCAAATTTTAATTGGATTTGGGTAGATAGGACTTCTGTCTTTTGGGATATTGGCACCATTAATAAAATATGTATATCAAATCAAAATTAAATTTAAAAGACTAATTTAAAAGTGGATTCAATAAAAAGTAAATAAATAATAACCTGCTAGTGCCTCTCTTTTTTTATGAAATAAATTTTCGTTAAATATAACTTAATGTTATAATTTTATATTCATATTCTTAAGTAAAATATCAACAGTAACACAATAAGTAAAAAATAATTGCCAATTTCTCTTATAAATAATTTTATAAACTGATAGGAGTTGAAAGTATTCTAAGGGAAAACCTAGTAAATCTTCAAAATTTAAGTTTAAAGTAATATAATTATCAATTAATACAATACAAAATTGAAATAGGATCAGACAAAAGTATTTTTAACTTTAAGATTTACAAAACTCCTAAATCAATTTGAAATGCATTCAAATTTTTGACTTAGATAAATTTGATTTCGTTTAAGAACTTAAGTAATAATAGATAAATAATGTTAAATGTGAATTAGGATTAATATTCGAAACTCAAATATGCATTGTTTTTATGTAAAATGGATATAATAAACTATTAATTTCGATAATAAAGCAACAACAAGTATGATATGAAATAATATTTGTTAATTTATATAAGGATAAAAATATTTTGTTTTTATAAAAATAATTAATAGAATAGTTAAGAGACAGATAAAATAGATATAGCGACACATTATTTCATATTATTTATTAAATTATAAAAACACCTGATTTCTCCCCATTAACATATTCTCCAACGATGACTTTCTCCTGCCAAGACTAACTTGAAAACTTATCTACCAAGTCTGTCCATTATCCATTTTTTATTCCATTTAGATAAGAACCACCCCCACTACAAATACTGATTAAATTATAAATACATAATTTTTTCTTAACTATCATTAGATTTGTTTTTCCAAATTATATCCCACCAACCATTTTTATACCCTTTTGTATATTCGCCAGACCAAAAAATTTAATATTTACTTAGATTTTGTTAAAAATTGAGATACATACTTAAAATATATTTAATGCAACTCACAAGACTTTCCTATTTAACAACCGTTTTCATAAAATCCTGTTCCTCTTTAATTTTGATTTATTGTTTACATATTTTAATAATTCTCTTAATGATTTGTTCTGAAAAGGATTTTCCACTGTCCTTATTTTAAGCCTTCATCATATACGCCAGTCTGAATAACCTAACGTTAACTTAAATAGAATAGAGCTACAATACTTTTCAAAATTAGGATGTAGATCCACCCATTACTTTATTTTTCTTCCATTAAAATATAGACCTCCTCCGCTATTAAGATAGTGATAATTTTATTTTACATAATATTAAACTCATCTTATCTAATTCCTTTATATTGTGTATTCCATTATCCAATTTTTACCCCATTAAAATATTCTCCAGCATAAATTACTTAACATTAACTACAATATAAGTCAATAAATTAAACTTATGAAAATTATCATGTATTTCCTTCCACCTTCCTGTCTTTTTATTATTTATGTACAACCCTCCACCTCTAGTATATTTTAAGAAGATTTTCTACATATCTTGATAATCAAATAGTTCAGTCATTTTGAACTAAATCTTCCAAAAACCAACCTTAATACCATTTTAATAGTCTCCAATCTAAATGACTTAATTTTATCTAAAACTCTCAATTGAAAATACATCCAAAAATGTTATTCTAACTCCACCCATCTTCCATCTTTCAAGCCTTTCTAATTATAATTTCCTCCAGCCCTAAAATTTCACAAAATTATTACAGTATTATCGATTATTTGCTTAAAATGTCCCATTTCCCTACCTTCTTACCATCTCTATATTCTCCAAATTCCAAAACTTAACAAAGACTTTAAAATCTATAATTTAATACTCCCAAAATTATTCAGATACTTCAAATGACCTTCCTTATTAGAGTCCGTCTTTGTCATAAGTGCATAAACCTCTTTGTATTATTTTAAGTAAATTAGCTTAAATTACATTATTTAAAATTATTCCCTTTGTTGTTGTCGATACTACATTTCCCAAATACCGAATTTCTTTCCATTTTTGTATTCACCTTTAAGAATAACTTAACATCGACTCATAAAATATAAATAGTAGTTTACTCCCAATATTAATTGAAAAACTCAAGCCATTTCCCTGTTTTCAAGTTACTTTTATTATAATATCCTCCAACACCCAATTTTTTACCTTTCCAAAAAGCCTACCAATTTCCACATTTCATATTGTCATTATTAGATTCTCCATCCCATTTGGCATATTTGATCATTTCGATATTCTTGATTATTTCAAGGTTGTCTGTCTTTTTCTCTCTTAATTTTTGTAGATAAAATCAATACTTTTTTAATATTTCTCCATCCTATAAATAAATCAATTCATTCTTGCTACTATGCTAAATAATGATTTTAATTTTTTTTAATTGCCAAAAACCGCCAATTATTTGATAACCTTGAGATGTTTCTACAATTTCCTCTGTAATTTAATAAGAATTTTGATGCATTGTTGTAATAACTAAAACGTAAAGAATTTATATTTTAATAAAAAAATCATTATAAAAATAAACTATTATAAAAAATGATTAATTACATTCAAATCTTGTTCTTTTAAAGGCGTATTAGTAATCGAGAAGTATTCATATAATGCTAAACAATTAGTTGCAAGTAGTGTTAAATGTTTGATAAATTTAGATTTATTGATAAATAAAAAAACATTTGTTAATTTAGTTCTAAAAAATAACATTTTAAGTAGGTAATGGAGGAATGTAATGATTATTTCAAATAAAGGTACTCCTTCATAAAAGCAAGGTTTTCAAAGCATCTAATTTGAATAAATCATAAATACATTAGTTGAAATTTATTGTTATATTGTTGAATCATAAAATCAAATTTGTGATTATTTAAATAATGACTTTATATTTAGGTTCCTGATAATTTCTGTTATTGAAATTACTTAAATAAGTTGTGATAATTGAGCAAGATTAATTTTAATAATTATAGTAAACTTTTTTGATTATTCAATTACAACTTGCATAACGAATGACTGAGTAGAAATTAGAAATCATTTAATATAATTAAAAGTAGCATTATAAGGAAGGAGTATATAAAATCTTAGGGATAAAAGCGATTGAATAACCTAGCCTTGTTTCTTATTTTACACCAGTTTAATATTTAGTAGAGTGCAAGAATGGGGAATTCAGATATAGCATGAATGGAGAGATATTTAGAATGTTAGAATTAATTTAATTTTAGAGAGTAAAATACAAAGTATGCTACTATTCTAACTAATATTGACTAAGTGTAAAAATTAAAATGGGGAACTTAAAATTTATAATACACTGTTAAATGGTGTCCTATTTGGGAAGCTAGAATAATAATAAATGCAGGAGGAGAAGTAAATAAGAATAATCTTAAAATTGGGAAATGGGTTGAACTATCTGATAATTATTGCAAGTAATAATCATTTTCAAGATATTTATTTTTAGTATATCCTAAGTTACTCATGAAGGAATATATAATAATGGATTAAGAAATGGAAAATGGATAACGTACTTTAAAGAAAATATCATGTAATCTATAAGAATGTTATTGATATTAGCTGTGAAGGTGAATATAATCTAAAAGGAGTCGAAATTGGAAAATGGGAACATGTACATGATAGATTTTCAAAGTAAAAGCCTAGTGTATGTTTAGCAATTACCAAATAATTTATTAAGGAGAATATAAAAATGGAAAAAAGTTTGGATAATGGAATATAATAGACATTACTACTTAAAATAAATTGATTATGTATTTCAAATAAATCAATTAGACAGTGGGGGTGGTTTCTATGGAACTGAAGGAGAAAAAATAGGAAAATGGACAGAACTGCACAATAATTTTGTGAACTTTAAAACTTTAAATAAATACAGTTGTTAAATTCTATGGAAAGGCTATTATAGGAATGGAAAAAAGATAGGGAAATGGGATATACATTATTCAAAAGAACTTAAATCAGTAGATAATTTTGAGAGCATGTAAACATTATAACGGTAATCCTAGAGGAGGAGGCCTGTACGACGAAACTGAATAAAAATAAGGGATATGGATTGAATTACTTGACAATTTTAGCAAGTATTATTTACCTTATTGTATCCTATTAGTTGCAGTTAAGTTAGATCTTTTGGAGAATATAATAATGGTAAAACAATTGGAAGATGGAATATTTAATTTAGAGATGAGAAAAAAGATAATTTTATAATAATGTAAACTACATATTTCATTATTATAAAGAGGCGGTGGTCAATATGACGATGAAGGAAAATAAAAAGGGAAATGGATTGAGTTATACCATAATTTTAGAAGGTATTAAAAAACTTAATATATTAGTGACATTTAACTTAGATTTGTGGGAGATTATAAAGAAGGAATTAAACAAGGTTTCTGGGGATTGTAATTTCGGAATTATTTTCATAAAGATTTTCCATATTGGTAATAATTTAATTGGGATTTATTTAAGTTCAGGTGGTACCTATGATTTTGGCTAGAAAAATGGTAAATGGAATGAATTGTAATACACATGGAGTTTTTTTTCAATGTATAAATAGTTACATTAATTCAATTTTAATTAAGGAATAAAACTAATTGCCATACCGTTCATTATAAGAATGGCAAGTCATTAAGTTGGAACTAGATAAATTGAGAGTGTAATCATTATTCTAAGATATATAATGTTATATTATAAATAAAACTCAGTTGCAGTTACAAATCTTTTATCATTTTAATTGTATTCATTTAAACAACTTTTTAAAATTGAACATTTTCCATCAGTCTTCTAATTTATCTTAATTAGCCTTTCCAATATTAGCGATATTTACATAGTGTGCAAAACTTACTTCATTTAAAAATAATGATATCCCTTTTCATTGAATTTGAGTGATAAAGTAATAATTAAAAGTTGAAACTTTTCTCAATCGTTTTTTCTTCCTGATTTGTATATCCTGTTTGATAAACATTCTGAAAGAACATTTGGGTTAATATTTCATAATTATCTTAAATGTTTAAAGTGTAAGCAAATTTCATTTTGATTAAGAAAATCTTTAAATAATCATAAATTCATTAATTGAAATGTATAATTTACTTTTAATTAGTTTTTAATTCAGCTGATATTTTATATTGAAGATGTAGAAAATGATTAATCCAAAAAAGTTAGATAAATATACTTAAATTTTATATTCATGTCAGCCTCTCAAGTATAATACATTGAAGAGAAAACTGGTTTAAATTTAATTAGAAGGGAATGATGTATTTTTAAATGTCTAATAACTAAATGATTCTAAACAAAAAAAGAATAATTTAATTTTACGAAATCCTAAAATAAAAAATTATATTTACTCTTAATTACAAAAATTCTTAAACAACATAAATAGTATTACTGATGATGATAAATTTTATTTTCTCATTGTTTGAAATTACTTTGAACAACAAAAAAACAAAAACCAAAGTTTTTAAGTTACACAATGTATTGAAAATAATATTATTGAATTTTTCTATATTTTTATAATCTGAAAATAGAATTCTGATAAAAAGAAAAAGACAAAGTAAATTGAATCTTAATTTATAATGATAAAATCAGTCAACTTAATCAACTCTTGTATTGTTTCTTGAATTGATGAATTTTCTCAAGGTGAGGATTCATCATTAAATTATTCAGCTTCCTTAACTAATTTTTGAATTTCAACTTAAGATAAATTAAATTAAAAAACAATCGAATAATCCTTTATTAACCTTTTGGTATAATAATCCTTAAAAAAAAATTTCATATTGCTATCCTCATCAATTCTAAAGGTGATTTCAATCTATTAATCTTCATAGTTGGGGAAATAAGCATCATTTACACAGAAAGTTAACAAATTTTTGCCACCTTCAAAAATTCTTGCTTCAAAGTGTTTTTAAACTTTGCAATTAGTTAAAAAAGTCCTACTTTAACTAGTTGGAAGGCTAGTGTATTTTGGAACCACATTACATATTTCACCTCCATCAGTTTGAATACCCAAATTTTATGGGGTGATATCCAATATTAAGAGATTAAAATAAAGATTGTCTTATATAGTAGCAGCATAAACGGCTGCTCCATAGGCAACTGCTTCGTCTGGATTGATAGATTAATTCAATTCCTTCCCATCAAAATACTTTCTCAATAATTCTTAGATTTTTGGAATTCTTGTAGATCCTCCAACCAAGACCACTTCATGAATTTCATTTTTTTAATAACAAGAATCTTTAAACAACTTTTCAACAGAATGAATACATTGTTCAAATAAACGCAAGCACAATTCTTCAAATTTAGCTCTACTGATAGTACAAATAAAATCTTCATTAGCTTCTAATGAGTCAACTTCTATTGTAGTTTAATTTGCTGATGAAAGTACTCTCTTAGCTCTTTCACATTAGGTTCGAAGTCTTCTTAATGCCCTTGGATTCCCTCTAATATCGATTCCTTTCTTCTTCAAAAATTCTTAGCAACAATATTAAACGAGTTTGTTATCAAAATCTTCACCTCCCAAGTGAGTATCACCAGCTGTGGCTTTGACATCAAAGACTCCATTTTAAATTTCCAATAAAGAGACATCTAAAGTACCACCTCCTAAATCAAAGATGAGAATGTTAGTGTCATCCTCGGATACTTTTTAATTATATGCAATAGCAGCAGCGTTGGGTTCATTAATAATTTTTAAAACTTATAGACCAGCAATGGTGGCTGCATCCCTTGTGGCTTATCGTTATAATGTATTGAAATAAGCTGGAACTGAGATAACAGCCCGAGAAACTTTTCTTCCTAAGTAAGCCTCAGCATTTTTCTTTATTTTGGTCAAGACCATAGATGAGATTTCTTCAGGATAAAATTTTTTATTTTCTCCTTTGTATTTAACAACAATCATTGGTTTATCATCCACAGAAGCTTCAACTTTGAAAGGCCATAATTTGATGTCTTGTTGAACTATATATTCACTATATTATCTCCCGACTAACCTTTTCACATCAAAAACTGTATTTTATGGATTTCTATAGGCTTAGTTCTTGGCTGCATCACCAATAAGTCTTTCTGTATCAGTGAAGGCAACACATGATGGAGTTATTCTATTACCCTAATCATTTAGGATTATTTCTATAGAACCATCAATACAAATACCAACACATGAGTAGGTTGTTCCTAGATCTATGCCAATAACAGAAGAACTGTACATAAGCTATTATCTATTATTATTTATAAAGATTTTAAAACTATTCTATTGAATCTCTGTAATAGAATTAGCTATATTTTTAAGACTAAATTAAATGCTTTCTATAATTATTTTTATAATTTACTTTTATGATTGAATTAAATTAAATACATTTAAAACAAAATTTTAGATAATTTATGTTCTTATTATTTTTATAATAATAAAATTATATATAATTAGTAGATGGTGGAATTTAAACTATTTAACTTTTCTATTTAAATTAATAACTTTAATTAATTCTTTAGTATCTGAAATAAAAGGAGAATTTAGGAATTATATTTAATCTTATACTATTCAATAGATTAAATCAAGAAAATAATATTTATAAGAAAAGTCTATCTTAATTCGTCAACTTAGTTCAGGGGAGATGCCAGCCTCACAATATCTCCCTAAATAAAATAGAATATTAATGGTGAAATTATAAATAAAAATTGGCAGTCAAAATAAAAAGGCCTGTAATTCTATATATTAATAATTATTTCTGCATAATTTTGAACATCACTAAATAATATACTGATTTATTTTAAGAATAAATCAAGGATTGTAGATCAATTATAGCTTAGAGCACAATAATTTTCCTTTCACTAATTGCATCAAAAATTATAAAAATAAATAATTAATTTAATTTATTATATGTAATTATTAGGTATTTTTAAAAACAACTTAACAATTAATCATCAGATTCAATTAATATATTATAAGACGTTATGAAATTATAGATCGCAATAGATTCATCTATAAACAGTACTTATTTATTTACTGATGGAGAATAATTGATGGTAAAGTAATAGAAATGACTAAAATTATTTAGGATTCATAAAACTAATATCCATTAATCAATAGTGGTTCTTTTGTGATTGAATTTACAAATTAATTTAATATTATTGTAATCAAATATGAATAATACAATCTTTTTTAATATTCATTTATGTTTAATTATAAATCTTCATTCCATAAAATTTGAATTTTCTGCTAATTCTATTACTTATAAATATAAAAGTTAGTATTGAATCAACTAAAGCATATTATTTTTTAGTCATGAATAACCCAAAAGATAAAACTCAGAATATGCCTTCGGAAGAGATGTTATTAAACATGATTCCAGTTATTTAACAATTAGTAGAAGAATTTACAAGAAATACAAAAAATTAGGGATCGGTAGTTTTGTTTGTTGGATCAACTGGTTCTGGGAAAAGTACAACCTTCAATTTCCTAAGTGGAGGAGAATTTAAACTTGATCATAATGAAGAATTGGAATTAAAGAATCCTTCAAATATCTTTTCTAAAATGAATGCTGGAGCGATATCTGTTACAAAAGAACCAAATTTTTTTTACAATAAGAATAATAATCATCTCATTATTGATTTTCCAGGATTTTTGGACACAAATGGGGATTTCGATCAATTATTAATTGAACTTTTATTTAATAAGATTGTGTCTTTAGGTGCATTAAAAGTTATCTATGTTATAAATAATCCTCAAAATACCCTTCAAAACAGAGGGGCTGACCTTTAAGAATTTATTAGATAAATGGATAATCCAAAAATCAATCTAATCTTAAATTGTTATATGGCTAAATGGCCTGATGATAAATTAAGAAATAAAATAAAAGAAGATTTAGAAAGTGTTAAATCAATAGAAAAAGATAAGCCTAACTTAATATCATTAATTGATAAGATTCTTGTAAAAAGAAGAGCTGCTCATTAAGAAGATTTAGATATATTCTTTAGTGATGAATAACGAAACATCTTTTGGAATGAAATTGAAGAATTGACTAAAACTCAAATCAAACCTAGAAAAATACCTAAAAGTCAAATCATTAGTCAATATATCCTCTCTAAAGCTACAACCATTATTCAACAATATGGAAAATCACTTACATATATTTTCAATTCAGACGAGCATCATTAAGATGAAAAATACGATTCATAACTGCATCAATAATTGGTACAATTTCAGAGTTTATTGAATAATTAAAATAATTACTCGCCCTCTTAATGGTTTTTAAACTTTATACAAATATGTGAAGTATTGACATAGGATAAACATAAATCAAGTAGTAATGATTTTTTAAAAATATTCTAATATTTTGAATAATTCGCTTAATTCATAGATGGATATTAGTAGTTGGAAAACATAAACCAATTAGCTTAATAAAATTTAGAATCAGTGTAAAAATTATTTAATAGCAGAATAGAGTATCAAGAAAAAATTAAAAAGGCAGAGGAGGAAAAAAGAAGAGCAGAAGAAGAAAAAAGATAAGCTGAAGAAGATAAAAGAAAAGCTGAAGAAGAAAAAAGAAGAGCTGAAGAAGATAAAAGAAAAGCTGAAGAAGAAAAAAGATAAGCTGAAGAAGATAAAAGAAAAACCGAAATAGAGAATCTTAAAATACAACATTAAGTAGAAATAGAAAAAATGAAATAAGAAACTGTTAGGCTATAAATGGAAAATTTAGAAAAAGAAAAATAACAAATGATATTGAAGCATGATTTAGAATAAAAAAACCTAAGACTATAAATAGAAAATGCTAATAATTCTGCTAATCTGATGAATTACTAGAGCCGACAAAATTGTGGATCACATTTAGCTTCTCGCAATTGTAAACCAAAAAAAAAAGATAAAAATGGCAAACCTGCCAAAACTGGTAAAAAGACAACTAGCAAAACAACTTAATAGAAATAAAATTAGGCCACAAAAAGAAAATTAAAATGAGGAGAATTATATAATCATATTTTACATAGATATTTTACAAGTTTTATTATTTAAAGTTGTTTTTTATGAATGTAAAATAAACTTTATTGTATTAAAAAACAAGATTGCATGTTTTATATTATTAATACAAGAATAATTAATTGATGTTTATTAATTAAGCTGAATTAAAGAAACTTAGGTATTTATAAAACGAAATTAAATAACTAAGTATTGTGTAATTTATAAGAACTAGCAAATATTTTAGTTGATAATTTTTAATTTCTTTGGCCTAAGAGTTCTTCCTCCCTTCTGATATTTTAGTAGCAACTTATCTTAGTAAAACATTAAAAATTAGCATCATTGAAAACCAATTTTTCATATTGATTCAATTGTCTAATGAAATATTTCTTTTATAATTGTTAAACCCCAGAACATTATTTTTAATTATTAATTTTTAAAGATTTGATTCCATCAATTAAAACAAATGAAAATTTAATCTTTTAATTACTCAAGCTTATCAAGCAAATTATTTAGTTCACTAAAGATTGAATAAAAATAAATTATTCCTAATATAGTGCATTTGAACCCTTAGTATTCTAATTGCAATTGTAGATGTAATAATGTACTTACTCTTTATTATAATATTAGCTTATTAATGAATTCTATTTTTTTTAATCAATAAATAAATAATAATATAAATAATTACAGTTTCAAATGGCAGATGAAAATTTGGAATAAATAATTGATATGCCAGAATAATCTGACATGATCAATGATGCTAGAACTTAAGTAATTAATAAATAAATTTCAAGGCCAGATATGCAGTAGAACATTTTAAAGTTGAATCTTAAATCTCTAATTATATCAAGAAGTTTTTCGATGAGAAATATGGTCCTAATTGGCATTGTGTTGTTGGTATCTACAATAATTAAAATNAGCTGAAGAAGATAAAAGAAAAGCTGAAGAAGAAAAAAGATAAGCTGAAGAAGATAAAAGAAAAACCGAAATAGAGAATCTTAAAATACAACATTAAGTAGAAATAGAAAAAATGAAATAAGAAACTGTTAGGCTATAAATGGAAAATTTAGAAAAAGAAAAATAACAAATGATATTGAAGCATGATTTAGAATAAAAAAACCTAAGACTATAAATAGAAAATGCTAATAATTCTGCTAATCTGATGAATTACTAGAGCCGACAAAATTGTGGATCACATTTAGCTTCTCGCAATTGTAAACCAAAAAAAAAAGATAAAAATGGCAAACCTGCCAAAACTGGTAAAAAGACAACTAGCAAAACAACTTAATAGAAATAAAATTAGGCCACAAAAAGAAAATTAAAATGAGGAGAATTATATAATCATATTTTACATAGATATTTTACAAGTTTTATTATTTAAAGTTGTTTTTTATGAATGTAAAATAAACTTTATTGTATTAAAAAACAAGATTGCATGTTTTATATTATTAATACAAGAATAATTAATTGATGTTTATTAATTAAGCTGAATTAAAGAAACTTAGGTATTTATAAAACGAAATTAAATAACTAAGTATTGTGTAATTTATAAGAACTAGCAAATATTTTAGTTGATAATTTTTAATTTCTTTGGCCTAAGAGTTCTTCCTCCCTTCTGATATTTTAGTAGCAACTTATCTTAGTAAAACATTAAAAATTAGCATCATTGAAAACCAATTTTTCATATTGATTCAATTGTCTAATGAAATATTTCTTTTATAATTGTTAAACCCCAGAACATTATTTTTAATTATTAATTTTTAAAGATTTGATTCCATCAATTAAAACAAATGAAAATTTAATCTTTTAATTACTCAAGCTTATCAAGCAAATTATTTAGTTCACTAAAGATTGAATAAAAATAAATTATTCCTAATATAGTGCATTTGAACCCTTAGTATTCTAATTGCAATTGTAGATGTAATAATGTACTTACTCTTTATTATAATATTAGCTTATTAATGAATTCTATTTTTTTTAATCAATAAATAAATAATAATATAAATAATTACAGTTTCAAATGGCAGATGAAAATTTGGAATAAATAATTGATATGCCAGAATAATCTGACATGATCAATGATGCTAGAACTTAAGTAATTAATAAATAAATTTCAAGGCCAGATATGCAGTAGAACATTTTAAAGTTGAATCTTAAATCTCTAATTATATCAAGAAGTTTTTCGATGAGAAATATGGTCCTAATTGGCATTGTGTTGTTGGTATCTACAATAATTAAAATATAAGGAAAGCATTTCAATTCATACTCTTCGTATGAAAGCAAACGTTATATGTTTTTTTATGAAGGATAGATGGCAATTTTACTATATAAAATGGGTTGATAGATATAATATTATTATTAAAAATGAAATCCTCTTCTTATCTTAAGATATAATTATATAATATAATAAAACTAAGACAATTAATCTTTAAGAAATCCCTTTTAATATATGGATCCATAAAGTGACACATCTTAGATTTTGATAGGTCTCAAAACCCAATGTGTTTTATCTAAGTTTAATAAATTCTTAATTGCATAATAATTACACATTATTACGAGTACTTTAGAATTAATCTGATTTCAACGCTCAAATTAAAATCAAATATAAAACAATTTAGTGTGACTAGAATCCTTTTTGAATTGAAATTAGGATTTAAACAATATGAAATCAATGCTAAATAAAAACATATTTCTTATTCAATTTTTCAATGTCTTGTTCCAATTATATCAATTCTTTCTCATAATTTTCTTTTCTTCTTTTAACTCCAATAGTTCCAAATACTCTACAATGTGTTTATTGTTAGTATTAATAATTCAATTCATCGTATTTCTTCTTTAAACCTTGTCTTATTTATTCTAATTCATCCTCAGGCATTTATTATCTATTAGAAAGAAATGATATACAATTTATTATCTTATTCTTGTTATTCTAATTATTTTCTATATTGTTCCTCATAAAATTGTTCTTTAAGGGTATCTTTGATTTAGGTGAGATAAGGAGGAACTTTTCCATAAGCAGATTTCTTTGTCCAATCTGGTTCTGATTGTTTTCTTCTAGGGTCTAAGTAGTAATAAAATATTATAAAATATAACTAGCTAAGATGACATCTATTGCATTAGTGGCAATAAAATTTTTATGTTATTTTAATCCCATGATTGGTTTATCATCTAATTTGGGTATTTAAGGTTTAGTAGCAGAATGTTAATGTCCAAGATCAACACTTCTATGAATTGATCCCTTTTCAGCCCAAATATCGAGACTATTATTTCCCATATGTCTATGTTTAATTGGGGCCAATTTTTCTAGAATTTAGATTGATTAGTACAATTTTTGGATTTACCCAAGATGCCACTCTCTGATCTAAATCTATTTGGTTGAATAATATATGATCCATTTAGATTAGTGACTGGAATGATTAAGGATTGAGTTCCAAATGTACTACCTGTAGGAGCTATGGTTCCTGGGATTGTTGACTTATATAATTTAGTAACCTTCTTTGGAGGAGTTTTCTCTTTGGGAATTAAGTTATAAATGCTTTCTTGCATGTGATTATAATAAAATTTATTGAAAATGATTTCTTTTAGAAAATAAATAAATTTATTTAATAATATTTAACAGTTCCATGGCATCAAAAGTCAAAATAGAATGCATCAAATAAGGATATTAAATAAGTAATGAAATGAAAATAGATATTATGGACTTTTATAATCGATCATTACATCAAGAACATTATGCCCATAAAACTGATTACATTAGACATAATCTGGAAGAGAAATATGGTAATTAATAAATCTAGTATATAGGTCGATGTTTTTCGATTATCATATATTCAATAGGTTCATTTGTGTCTCATTCATTTTTATACGCTGACGATTTTTTATTAGAATTGAGATCTCCTGAGCATCATATTCTTGCCTATTTATTACCTCCCTCTTATACTCCTCCTCCATTGATCCCTGATCCTTAGGTTGTACCATTAAGTAGAACATTAAGTCACCCCTTACACGCTTCTAAGCCTGTTTAATTGTAATTATCTCATTTTACTGTAGTTAACAATCAGCTCAATCCAAGATCTTAGATTATCCAACACAATATTCATCTTATTATGCTAATAAATATTACGATGGCTATTATAGAAGAGGATATTGGTGAAAATCAATGAATTCTTATTTTATTTTATTAATAAAATTTAACAATTCATGTATTCCTATAGAAATCCTAAGATTCTCTAATAAGACAGACCTAGTAGAGGAAGTGCAAATACAAAATCAGAGATGTAGAATACACAATATATAAATAAACCAGAAACATAATAGTTTTCGCTATAACCTAATAACTCAACAAAGATATATGAATCTATTGTGTAATACACAAGCCAATCTTCTTCACATGATCCTAATTAAAATGATTATTAAAGTACTGAAAAATAGATAAATACTTTGAAATTGTCAACATTAACATCAAAATTTTCAATTCAAAATCCTAAATAATAAAGTCCATTTAATTCTTCTAAATTAGATACACCATCAAGAGTTGATTCATTATTGTAAGAAATATCTGAGATTAAACAACAAAATGACAAAGCTAAATAGTTTTATTAATCCTAAATTATCAATCTCTAAAATACTTAAGACTAATTAACAATTGAAAATATCAGCTTATCAAATTCTATAAAAGGATTAACTTAATAACTTTAAGATGCTAGGTACAATATGCATAAAATATTTCAATAAACAGATTTGGATGAATTTACTAGTTCCATTTAGATTGATTTCAATCATCATCCAAATATCTAATAAGCTTTCTACTAATTTTAATCCGAAATCTTTCAATTCATTTATTTGTATTAGAGTTAAATAAACTAAAAAATACAATTGAAACAATAACAACTCAACAAAATCATTATTAAGTTGGATTCAATAAAAAATCATAATCGCATGAATTACAATTCTATTAATAAATCTACAGATGCTCAATCTAAACCTATTTACATTAAATAAACCGATTTCATTACCAATTAAAATTAGGCACTGGAGAAACAATTTAATGAATTAAAAAAAAATCATTAATATGTTATCAATAATTTTGAATAAGAAAAAGTATTTGCATATCAATAAGAATAATTGCTTAAGTAGGAATTCCAAGCGAGGATTCAATAGTTAGAATAATAAATCAGCATCTTGTTAGGTGAAAATCAGAAAAAGGAATCAATTATATCTGAATTAAATGACTTAAATCAATTGAAAGTGCTTCAAGTAACTTAATCATGATATTTAGATTTAATAACAAGAAGAAATATAGTAATTAAAAGCTAAATTATCAGAAAGTAACAATAGCTAAATTAATCTCAATGATTAGATAGTATTATTGAAGAAAAATAGTAATAGTCTATTAAATGATTTCGAGAAAAATCAGGTTGATTTATCAACATTATAAAAAGAGAAATAATATTTTCAAATGTAATTTGAGAAGTTACAAAATGAAAATATGGATTTGATTAAACATTAATAACTGCTAAATGAAAATCAATAACTCTAAATTGATAAATTGAAATAAGAATGGTAATATTAAAATAATAGATTATAAGATTAAATAAGAATTAAAGATTAAAAATTAACTAAATTATAAGAAAACTATAATACTTTATAAAAATACAAATAAGAACTAGAATATCTACTTAAGTAATCTAGAAATGAAGCTAATAAATTCAAAGATTAAATGGATTAAATATAATAATTGTAAACCAAAATTAATAAATAGAATTATACAATCTAAAATTTAATAGAATAGAATTAATCTTAAGAAAACATTATTAATAATTATGCATCTGAATAAAAATTGTTTGAGTAGAAAATTGTTGAATTACAAAGAAAAAATTAATAAATATAATTACAATAATAGCCTTAGGAAAGAGAGAGTTTGAATTAAAAAATATATAAACTCTAAAAGGATAATGAAGATAAATAATCAGAAATTAAAATACTATAAACAGATAATTTTGAATTACAGAAACAAATTAAACAAGAATAAGTAAATTAATAATAAATTAAAACTTTGATTACAAATCTTTAAAATGATAGATCTTAATATCAATAATAAAAAGCATAGATTGAGTAATAATTAGATAAACAATAAAAGCATAATTAAGAGTTACTAAAATAAATGGAGGAGGTAATTTAGAATAATTTAAATTAATAAGAATAATAAACTAATGAATGGTAAAATCAGTAAAAGATGCTAACTAAAAAATAGGTGTAATCTGAAAAGCATTTAGAGAGTGCATTTACCGAAAATGAAAAGTTAAGAGTAAGGATTTCAGAACTGGAATACAAATTAGAGGAAGAAATAGATAGAAATCAAAAGTTGGTGGAAGAAACAAAAAAATATTTAATTGACTCAAAGCAAAAGGATGTTTAGTTATCTGAATGCAAATCACAAATATAAAGGCTAACTCTATAACTTAATAATATAGAAAGAGATAAGTAGGAGTAAAAAGCAAATCTCTTAAATGATTCATAATAAAGTGCTTAAAATTAAGAAATAGAATAACTCTAATTAAAAATAAAACAATATTAAAATGAATCAAAGGAAAATGAAAATTAATAAAAGTAACTAAATTAAAAATTACAAGAAGCATTGAAAAAATTGGAATAGATTTAGTAATAATTACAAGAAGAAGAATAGCTTAAATCAATTATTCTTATGAAATAATTATAGAGCATATCTGAAAACTAGAGTTCTATTCAACCAAATTAGGATATTATGGATTTATTTGATGTTTAAACATCTTCAAGAGGTCAACATTTAGAAACTATATTATTGCCTGAATCAAACTAATCTGAAGAGTAGCTCTAATTATTATTATAGCAATTAAAAGAGCAGAATGAGAGTGCATTACAATAAAAATCATAACTATAGAGTAGTCTGGATTAAGCTATTGAGAAGATTAAATAATTGGAAAGTTAAATAATAAATTTGAAAAAAGAATAATAAAGTTTAGATAATGATAGCAATCATTATTAATAAAAAATATCTAATCAATAAAAGGTTATTGTAAGTTTACAAAATTAAGTAGAAGAGTTGTAAATAGAATTATAAGAATAGGCAAATAAATCAAAAATGGCAGGAATTCTATAATAATCAACTCAAGAACAAAACACATTTTAAGAACTGATAAATTAAAAAGATTAAGAAATATAGAATTTGTAAGAGGAATTAAAAAATATACATTAGCATTTAGAATAAAGAATGAATAAGTCTGTGATAAGTAATCACTCTAAAAAGAGTTAAAATATTGTTAAATTTGAAGAGTTTGCTGATATTGATGAAAATGATATTAATGAATAATCAGATGAGGAAGAAGAACTAATTAAAGAAAAATTATAATTATAAAAAGTTCTTTAAGAAAACGATGAAAAAATTAGACGTTTGGAAATCTAATTAGAATAAACTTAACAATTTACAAAAGCAAAGATTAACTAGGAATTGGCAAATTTGTAAATTTCATTAAACAATCAAAATAAAGTTATAGAGTAATTGAACACTTTGAATTCCAATCAATCTAAATTATTAGAGTAATAAGAAAAATAGATTCAAGATTTAAATGAAGAGTTAAATAGATATCATTAATAAAAAGATCATATAAGAAATAAATCTAATTATAGTAATAGTTTTGGTTCTGATAATGAAAAAGAAACTGTAGATTAATAGCAATTGGAAAAAAAGCAGGATGATAATTTCGATATGCAAAGATAGGTTGAATTACAAAATAAGTAAATAGATTAAAAATTAAAAAAGTATAAATACATTTAAAACAAGAACCCTTAATGAAGTCATTGAAATATAGTAGCTTAAGAATGAGTGTCTAAAAGAGGAATCTCATAATAATAAAGATTGTTTAAATTGATTATATTCATTTTATTATTATCGCTGTTTTCAATAAAAAATCATAAGTATTGTACTGTAGGTTAAGAACTAAAAATATTAGTATCCAGATTATCAAGTGATACTTTTTGAGAATTTAAACATTGTTAAATTGATTTTTAATTTCTTTAACTAAGTTTGACATTAGCCAAATGTTTATTGAATCTTGATTGAGCATGGCCACGATCTTGTATTGGATTAAGAGAATCACATAATACAAATCCTTATTATGCTTTTATTTTATAAAATTAATCTATTGTTTAAGATACTGATTTAGAATGACAACTCGTCGGACTAGTTAAACATTATTTTAATATCTCCATTTTCTATTAAACTTAAGGATTGATATTTTTTAATTATCTTTTACTCAATGTAAGAAATGGTAGACTATATTGATCTGATTCTTCATATTAATTAATAGTAGTTTCTTATGGTATCTAATTACGTTTAATTTAATTAAGTAAGTCTTTAATGTCTTTTTAATGTTTACTAAAAAAAGGAGTCTTGCCTCTAAGTTAATTAAAATAATATAAATACTTAGGTTTTGTTGGTTAGAATTACTCAAACTATTTTTCAACTCGAATAAATAAACATTTTTAGAAATTATCACCAGCCATTTTTAACATATTGAATTCTTCCTATTTGTTAGAAATTTTCTCATTCTTTTAATGTTATAAAGCAATTGATTGATTTTACTCAACCATTTATTGTTTTGTCATTTTTGGATGAATCGAAGATCTTAATATAGGAGAAGATATTTGATGTTAATGAACGAAATTAGGCTATTATTTAATTTCAATGTCATTTAAGTATCTTCTTTCAATGACATTATGTTCTTCTTTCTTTTGTAAATTGAGGCTTACAACTTTGGTCTGTATAATTTCATCCAATCTTTTCTTGTATAGATTAACATTTTTTTAAGAGAGCAATTAAAGAGGGTTAATGAATTCGGGGAATTATCGTTTAACTATCAAATAATTATCCATATACAAGACATACACATTACATTGAGTTTATGTTTTAACTGTGTAATCCCTTCTTTCATTTTTGAGATATATGTCCGTTTCCCCAATAAAACAACCATCTGTCAAATTAGCTAACTAATTATAAGAATTTCTATTTACTGTAATAACATCTATTTGTGAAGTCTTCTCTCTTTTAGTTTCACTTAGTAATTGATTTTATTCGGATTTAAGAAAAGGATGGAAATCAACTGTTTTTTATAATTGGATTTCCCCTTCTTTCAGTAAGAACAGACCATCCACAATATCATTTTGTTTCCAAATCTTATAATTTGGAGGATATTTGTATTATGAAAAATACATTATCAATTTGCTGATTTTAAATTTAGTCATTGAAGGAAACATCTTTAAGAAATATTCAATTTTCTCTTATTAGGCCTTGATTTATTTTTCAAATATTTTCTATATGATAATAAAGAATTTACTTTAAAATTTGCTTTATTAAGTGAAAGTACTTATAGATCAGTATTAGTAACGATGCTGGCAGCTCTAGGCTTATCAGTAGTTAATGCCATATCACCAAAGTATTGTCCAGAATGTAGTTAAGAGATTTATTAGAATTTACAAATTCCATATTTTGTAAAATACATATCAAAATTACCAGTATTTAATAAGAGCAATTCTGATTCAATTTATTTAGATGGTTTAGTTTACTTTTTAATTAATTTTTCAAAAAAGGAGAACTTCGAATCAGTTTCAATTTCTGAAATCGAATTAAGTTGCATTTTATCTAAATATTATTCAATTTTAGGTTAGATCTCCTGTTCTTCAGTTTCAATTTATTGAGGTTACCTTTTAATGTAGACTGCAGCTGTTCCTGTTAGAATAATATAGAATTTATCTCCTTAATCACCTAAAATGGATTATTTGTATACCTAGATTAAATACAGCATTTTATTTTTGAAATCTCTCATATTATAAATTTTAAGATATTAACCTTGCGAATTCAAATAGTGTGCTTGTTTCTGGACACCAAGTTTTAAATATTTCTATATTTTACATTATTCCTGTTATAGAATCCACTTGCATTTCTGTCAAGTATTGATTATCTGTGTATATCTAAATGACAGGCTAAGAATATGAGCAATATAATTACTGCATACATCAATTCTTTCTATGCGATTTCATCATCATTATCATTGAGAACCTCTTTAGTATTAGTTTTTCTTCTACTCATGTATTATTGATATTAATAATATAAATCAAATGGAAAAATAACATTCAGTAATTTTGACGATAGGAGTCCTATTATCGTTGTTGTATGATTTACTCATCTATTTCATAGGTTTAGTTCAAAATTTGATGCGAATGAAGGTACTGTTAATATTAAATTAACATTATCAACGATGTCGTGGATTTTGATTTCCCTTATTTTAGTTGTTATTTAACATCTATACACAAGAAGAAAGATTCCTTCGCAGCCTCAATAAGAAAAAATCCAAGAGAAAATCAAAGATATAGATTCGCCCATGCGGCCAAGGAAGGAAGCTGCTTTAATGGACGAACAACTTACATTAAGCAAGGAAGATTCTTGTGCTGACATGGGCGAATCATTGAAATTAAGGACTACTCAAAGTTAATAAGATTTTGATTAAGTATCTATAACATCTAGTCTACGGAAGAGATCTACTTCCATTGCAAGCGAAGGTTTGTAAAGGAAAGTCTCTTTTGATGAAAGCTAGAACAAAGTTCACACCTATAAGAAAAACAATAAGTTGGAAATAAGAAATTTTGAATCCAGTTTTTAGGCTATGAAATAGGAAAAAAAGAAGAAAAATGAATTAGTAAAATAGAAGAGAAAGGAAGAAAATTTCAAGAAGTTGAATATTAATGATATCAACAAGAAAGGAAGAAAAAGAAAGTCTTCCTTAGATGAGAATTTATCCCAATCCTCATATTGATCTATCATTAAATTATAATAATTAATATTTCCAGAATTATATTATTTTTGTTACTCAATATTCACTTAAACCATTAATAATTAACAATATTATGGGAATAATTTTTAAACAAAAATAATGGCAAACACGCTCTTTCAAAGAAATGGCAATTCCAATATATTTTAAACTAGTCAATCCAATTCTAATTCTTGGACTATCCCTTAGTATTTTTTAAGTTCATTTTAAGAACACAAAGAAAACGTGATGTCCAAGGTTCATATAGAGCTAAGTTTGAACAAATCAAAATTCAAGTTGTGGATGATAAAAACGTACTGTCTACTTCAATTATCTTCTAACCTCAATATGATAAAATGGTATACATTTCTTACAATAATAGTCAATGATAATGATTAGATTAGAGGATTATTATTTGATTAGAGCATAATAAATTGATGATTTCCACATATCAACTATTCAAAATGCTATCCAATGCAAAAGATTCAATCCTGCTTTGATTTCGAAAGTGGCTGGACAACGTAAATCTAAATGTTATTTTAGCCATCAATGTACCTATGTTTCCCATTTAAAAAAGTTCCAATTCCATTTGGGAAACTAATAACCAAAGTTAACAATAACAAAATATATTTAACACGAATGGTTCCTCCTCTCTCACTGATAATAGACAATAAAATAATTTTTTCAGTTCAATGAACAATTAAAATAATTAGTAATAATAATAAAAGTAGTAATATGGAAATATTTTTAATGCCCCTCCAATAAACAATAGTATGAACACTAATAATTCAGTCAATATATTCTCTAACCCTAGATAGGACCAGCAACCATAAAACATCTTCAATTAAACTGTGTTTAATAATAACAAACCTTAATCTGAATTTAATAACTATCAGTCAAAAGATTTGAATCTCCCTTGGGCTTAATAATCATCACAAACTGGAAACATATTTTAATAAAATAAACCTTAATTGCAAATCTAAATCCCCAATCAACATTAGACCAATAATGATACTAATTTATTCAATAATTAAAGTAATAATAATCATAATAACAACAATCCAAATATTCTTTCAATCTTTTCGTAACCATAACAATAGTTCATGAATAACATGTAATAACCATTTTCATAATAATAATAATAAAATTAATAATAATCAATATTCTAATAATAATAATTTTAATAACCACAACAAATGTATCCATTACAAATGCCTTCATTACAATATCAACCATTTTAAAATGTTAATACCATAAATACGTTATCGAATGATTTGCAAATGATTTAATATCAAAATTAAATGAATCCTATTTAATTTATTAAACAATCAGTAGATATGATTAACAATTTCACAACCACATTAAATAATTCTATATAAGAAATGGAAAAATTGTACAAATTAGAAGAAGAAAAATATTTAGAATAAGAATACCTAATCAATTAACTAGAATAAAAAAAAAGAATTGAAAGATAAAAAAAATAATAAGAAATCAATTTATTACCAAAAAAGAAAAATGATTCTCACACTCTCTTTAGAACAATGCCCTCCTCTAGTAATCTGAATCTAGTAAACAGTTAAAAAAGCTCAAGAATTAGTATTCAACAATAATCATAAGTTAGTTGCGGATTTACTACTAGTAGAATCTCGTAAAAGTCAACTAAATCTAAAAGAGAATATATAATTGAAATATATTTCGAGGAAAGTGAAAATTTTATTACATTCAATGAAGAATTTAATGATATTAAATCAAAAATTGATTTTAAAGACAAAATTCTTCAAAAAATAGATTAAATGCAAGTCTTTAGAAGTGATAAAGCAGCTTATTTTGAAAAAAGTGAATTTATTATAGATGAAAATAATAATTAGGATAATCATCAAACTCTATCATTTAGAATCCTATAAACTTATAGACCCATCTTAACAAAAAAAGGATATTACACATTACCAGATATCAATCAATTAACAATTAATTAATTAAAAAATGTTGAAGATTTTACTATTTTTAATGAATTTGGTTCATTGAGATGGGATTCTCCAACAAATTTATTGTACCTCAATTTAGATCGAATTGTAGATATATAAGATTCTAAGGTCGAAGTGTATGATTTAGATCAAATTCATGAATATCTTAAACCAAAAGTTAATAAAAAACTTAATAAATCATGTTTGATTACTTTGAAGGTGCCAATCACAATAAATAAAGATAATTACGAGACAGAACACAAATTTCTACAATAAAAATGTAAAGAGCAGAATATTGAATTGATAGAAATAGATCAAATTAAGTAATAATTTATTGTTAGAGTTGATCATTTTTCTATTTATACATTTGTACATGAAGAAAACTAGCAATAATAATAGTAAAAAGAAAATATTATATAATAATAATCATCACATGAATTTAATGATATTATTATGAGTCAAAAGACAATCAATTAAGAATAAGAAATTATAGAGAGTTAACAAGTATTTTTATAATATGTTAATGAAATTTAAAGTCAAAGCAGATAATCTTAAATTTAAAAGATATATTAATTGAAAGATAAAGATTAATAAATATAAAACATGGAGGTAATTTATAAATTTTATAATTTTAGATGTTTTGTGGTACTATGAAGCCTGAAAGTAAAATCTAATCGACTTTTGAATCAAAATAATGTTTTTGAATACTAAATGTAATAAATCTTAAATGAATATTATTTTATATGATAATTGTAGATATAAAATATGATTAATTTTAAAATCACATGCATTCATACATGAATATTAATGCCTTATATTATTATAATTCATCTAAGCCGTTTTGCATTAGATTGACATAATCCTAGGAATAAGCATTTTATATTTTATTTAAAGCTTTGGTCAATTATTCCTAACCAATTTATCTTAAGAGTAATTGATAAAGTAATTCTTTAGGAGTTTCGCAAACGATGTCTTCATCATCTTGAAAGCTTTCTCTTTCTCCATTTTCATTTGATGCATTTGATTTCTATTCCAAACTCTCATCATCCTCTCTATCCACACTTTCCCTAACTGATTGTTACAAATTGATTAAATCACCATCACCTACATTAATCACTTATGAATGTTTCACATCCCCACCCTCAGCAGCTATAACTATATTTTCTAACTCTGCTAGTAATTGCGATGCTTCATTTTCTTATTCATCAGAATTCTTGGATGCTTCTTTAATAACTTCTTAGATTTCTGATTATGTGTTACTATTTCTTTATCTTTTCATTTCCATAAATTATTTCATCTTTTCTCTATCATCTTTATTATCATTTTTTATTTCTCTTATTTCTTATAGGATGAGTTGGCTTTCTTTTAGTTGTTATTTGCTAGGTTTTACTGATTCAGTTTTTTAGATAGGATCAGTTTATTATTATTATTGAGTTGGAGGAGGTTGGGAAATGTATTGTGCTACTTATACTCTTTCAGTTTGAGGTGCTTGATACACACTATCTCTTTACTCTTTTTGATCTCTAGAAGATGAAGGATATTGTGATTATAGTTATTGTTCTATTTTTTATTGCAAATCAATTTTTTGTTATTATTATTATTCTGACTTTTATTGTTATTAATTGTTATTGATTGGTTCCAATCTAATTGGGTCTTTGACTGACACAGGATCAGATTATTATTTTTAATATTTATATTGGATTTATGGTTAAGAATATGGTTCCCTAGATAGCTTAGGTAATTCATACTTATCAGGTTATAAGTATTTTATTTTATTTTCTTAAAGTTATTGAAATTTTTCTTCATTTCTTTTAATTTATTATCTGACTTATTCTCTTTGAATTTCAAAGGGAGATTTGTCTCTAACATCTTTATTAAATGGTGATTTGCTTAATGGTGATCTATCATCATAATAAGGTGATTTTTCATTCCTTTATGGATTTAATGGTGAGATATTAGGTCTATTATTAACTTATAGAGGTTATATAGGTTATATTTATTATTGTTATTGTTATTATTATTATTATTTATTTTATTGGTATTTTTGATAATTCATGTATGGATTATAATTTTATTAAGTTGGTTTAGATATGTAGTCGTAGTTCTAATTAAATAATAAAAGATTTTTACTTATGGTAAATGCTATTGATATAATTGTTTCTGTTTTAATAAATTATTTTATGGCTAGCCTCTTGCATTAAATGCCAATAAATAATTACTTGGCTGTTGTTATTATTAATATTATTGTAATGGTTGTTGCTATTAAATTTTGCCAAGGTTCGGCTATGAACATACACTTCTCAACTCAGTATCGTACGGAACTATCAAATTATGATTAACAAAGTTTTGTTTGTGAAGGATAGTATGGGAAAACTCTACATTCCTTATACTTTCTGATAAGACGCTTCTGATTCTATTGACTATGATTGGCCTGAATTGATATATATAAATTACATCTTCAAGACTTCATGAATATTGGGCCTTCTATTGGGATCAACTTGGAGCAAAGAAGAGATTAATTATCTCATGTTGGTGGAGAATTTATCAGGAATGGGGTTGTATTGGCCTCTAACAATTTTAAGGGCTAATCCATGCAAGGATTCTGCATTAAATGGAGGTTTGAGCGCGCAGAGTTCATAAAGTATAATGCCCAAAGACCAAATATCGGTTTTGAATGAGTAATCCCTACTTTCAATGATTTCAGGGGACAAATAATAGGGAGTTCCTACAATTGTCTTGCACTTTTCTCTGGTGTGATTCAAAACTCTGGCAATTCCAAAATCTCCAAGTTTGATTATTCCATCTTGAGTTAGAAATATATTTTAGGTTTTTAAATCTCTGTGGATGATTTTCCTATCATGAACATGTTTGATTGCTAAACATATTTATGTGAACCAATCAAGTATCTATACTTCACTAAAGAGACACGATCCTGTCTGTTTGATTTTATTACTTAAATCACCACCATCTGCATAATCCATTACAATGCATAACCTACCCTTTTTTGTTTTGTAGACTTCCCTAAATTTAACTATGTTAGGATGTCTTAAAGCTTCTAAAATTCTTGCTTCTTTGATTGTTTCTCTTCTTTCATCTTCTTTCATTTAATTTAAATCTACTTGTTTGATCACACAAAGAGTTCCATCTTGGATGCACTCCACCAAATATGCCTTTCCAAAAGAACCTTCACCCAGTAATTTGATTCTCCTATAAATCTCATTTTCATTCTATGACATTTTTTATTTTTTGAATTTAAATTAAACTCGTATAATTAATTGTTAAGTTATTATAGAAATATTTAATGCTAGTTCAATACTATTATTATTTATATTATATCACTAATCTGATATTTAGGCCACATTAAACCTTAGATCCTGGATCTCTCCATCTTTGTCCATACATTATTGTCTTAATCCTTCACATTCTCCAAAGAGTACTGTCAACATCACAGTCTGATCTTGTACTCTATATTATAATTATACACTCTTACATTTTCTTAACTTTCTCTAATTCTTATAACTTTAATTCTTAATCTCTGATCTTCTTTTGTAATTCGTCTGATCTATTCAACTCCTGTTCATATTTAGGCTACACGATTGCGTACTAGAATATATTAATACAATTAATACTTTCTCTTCGAATGGAGTCAATTGATGGATCTTGTCCTCTAATTATGGAAGTAGATTTTATAATTCATTCAATTCTTAAAGTTTCTGATTCAAAGTAGAATTCAATCTATCTTAATCAATTTTATATTGTTTATTGTTATTTTCTAATTCCAAATTCTTGGCCTTCAAGATTTAGTATTAATTGTTAATTTGTTCCAATTAATTTAATCTCTATAACAATTCTTAATATTATTATTATAGATTCTTGTACTTAGTATCCAATAAACCATTATTTTGTTTCAATTCCTCATAAGCCTGTAACTTATCATTTAATTACCTTGTTAACTTTTCAACTTCTTTTTGACTTTGATTCAACCTATTTTCAACTTCCTTGAATCTGGCCTCGTTTTACTTCAAATCCAAAATTGTAATCTCTTATTTAGCAATCTATTGTCTCATCTAATCATTTTCATTCTATTAATAGGTGACTTCCTTCTTGGCTCTGTTTAAATCATTCTACAATCCTTTGATTTAGGTTTCTAATTGATTGATCTTATCGAGTGCTTATTGTAATTAACTTTAAATCTACTCAAAGTTTAGAGTTTTCTATCTCTCATTATCATAAGATCTTTATAGGTTATTCAATCTAGTTTCAAGCGAATTTATGCTATCATCCCTATTTCTTAATAACCCTTCAGTCTGATTCAATATCCAGTTCAATTAATCGATATCTAATTGTTTCTATCTCAATTGCTTAGTTAATCTTTCAATATCCTATTGTAACCCTTAAATCCTATTTTCAAACAACCTGTTCTTCTCCTCTAATTGTCTTTTCTCATCTATGACTGGTTCAAGCTTTGAGTATTTCAATCTCCATTCATTCAATTCGTTTGTTCTTGAATCCAACAACTACTTTAATCTAGCAATATCATCCAAATGGGTTTATAATTTCTTTTCCAATTCTCTTAATAAAGGTTCTAAATTCTTAAGTTTATTAATTTCATTTTCCATTGAAATTATCTACATATTCAATTTATCATTTTCAGTTAGTTTCTAATTCAAGAATTCATTTAATCTTTAAATTTCCTTAGCCAACTCTTTAATGATATTTTCTAATTCTTAGATCTTAAATTCATTTGATTTAGACTATAATAGTTGCAATTCCTATTATGCAAGTTTTCTCTTGAGATCATCCACCAATTATTGTAATTCATTGATCCTAGCAATTAGTTATTTATTTTGTAATTCAACTCCCTTGAGATCACTAAGAAGATAATCTAATTGTGCGTATCTACTTTGCAATTCTAATAATTATTGTAATCTCAATTTGTTCTAAGCTAATAATCTTTGAATTTCATCATTTTTATTGGCTAATTGATTATTCAAAGAACTGATCATGGATTCCATAATTTATCTATCTACTTAGAATTAGTTTAATTGATCTCTGAGATCAGCTATGTCCTTATCCTTCCCTTCCAATTGATCATTAGCACTTTTAAGTTCACCTACATTATCATTGGATTTAGCATATAAATCTTAGAGTTATCTTTCCAACATTTCCTTTGAATTTTATAGTGCCATAATCTAATCCTTGCATTCCATAATTTATTCATTTAATTGATTGATTTGATCTTCATATCTCTTAAGTTGATCATTGGCTTATTACAATTGCTATTTCATGAAATCCAATTCATTCTTCCTGTTTCTTAATTCATTTTACAATTTCTCATTTTCCTTCAACAAGTTGTTATATCTGGATTATAAGTCTTATAATTGATTATTTAAATTAAAGTTGTCTTATTCTAATCTCTATAATTTTTCTTTTAATGCCTAAATCTAAGCATCCCTATCCCTTAATTAGGTGGCCTATCTATCAAAATCAGATTGCAATTATGAAAGTCTATTCTATAAATCAGTTATTTTAGATTCACTTCCTGATTGAAGACTTCCAAGATTGTTGAATTAGCCTTCCAATTTAGCGTATTTGTTCTTCCAATCATTCAAATCTCTATCTCTATTTTAAAGTGTATTGGTTAAATCATTAATTTTAGATTCATATTATGATTTCATTGTATTGAATTAATTTTAGAGATTTGTGAATTTACTTCTCCAATCATCTAATTCTTATAATCTTGTTTTCAATTCATTCTTCAATCTATCAATTTCAGAGTTTCTCTCCAATAACAATTTATTCAAACGATCAATATCACTCTTATAGGTATTAATTTAACTTTCATACTCTCTTATTTTGGTTTCATATTGTCTCAATTGTTATTACAATTGTTCATAATTTTTACCTTAATTATTTTTATAATCATCCAATTCTTTTTATTTTTAAGCGAGTAAGTCATTCAATCTTCTGATCTCATTATCCCAATTAGTTTTATCTGTGTTATATTTATTCTTCCAATTAGTCAATTCTTTATCACTGTCTTATAATTTCCTTTCTGCTTCCTTCAATCTACCAGCAAGACTTTAATCTACACTTCCCAACTTGGATTTATATTCGTTCAATTCAGATTCCAATTATTTAATTCTTATAATATGCTTTTCGATTTCAGATCTAATATATATAAATACTTTAACTTGTAATTAGATATTTCCGTAGTTTATGAATCTAACTTGGTTTGGAGTTCTCTAATTCTTATCTCTTATTATTCATTGACACCTTCTAATTCCTTTATTCTATTGAATTATGCATTGTTCTCCCTCATCATTCTATCATTTTCCAAAGCCAATAAAAAGCATACAACTTCTGGATTCTTGCCCAACCACTTTCTTTCAGTAGTAGGAGGAGGTCTAAAGGTTTTATGAGATACATTTACACGTTAATTACTGTAGGTTATCCGCTTGCTCTGAGTTGACTTGATCTTCTCACATCTGATCTTTGAACTGGTTAAGGCGATTACTCTGCTGGCTTAGTAACTTAAGCAGCAGGAGTAGTTGTTGGTTTAGTTTCTATTGAACTTTTGACAGTCTATGGTCTTGCTGATGAATATCTTGATGTATATGACATTAATTAATAAATATCCTTAAAACAAAAACGAAATAATGATAAATCAACAACAACCCTTTTACTTTTCATCTTTATTCTTTTTACTAGTCAACTATTATTGTTATGGATGGACCATTTCTCTTAATGATTTCTCATTATATATAGATCTTGCCAAATTGATAAAAGCACTCTCAACCTGTTAAATATTGCTATCATATTCATACTTGTTCAGCTGTCTTTGCACTCACAACGTGATGCTGCATATTAAATTCTTTTGATAATTACTCAGCCATCTCCTCACTAACTTATCTAGTCTCTTCTGTTGCCATATCTATCTTATTTCCAAGTAGCATCAACTTTACATTCTAGTCTGCATAATGAGATAATTCTGCCATCCAATATTTAGTTACATCTTCAAATGATTTTGCATTTGTCACATCATACACAATCACAATCCCTTAAGCGCCTAGACGTAAACATTGTCTCCATACCTTTGTAATATGAGTTTGTGATGTTTCTGAATCTCTCTTGACCTGCAGTGTCCCATATCTGCAACTTTATTCCTTGTCCATCTAACTTTATTGTTTTAAATCTGAAGTCAACTCCTATTGTGCTTAAATAAATATCTCTAAAAGTATCATCACAATATCGAATCAATAAGGATGATTTCCCTACAGCACTATTCCCTATAATCACTATCTTGAATATTTACTCCTCCATTTTTTAAATTATTTATATTTTAGAAATTATCAGTATATGAATGTTAATAATAATAAACTAATTTAACTAAAATTTATAGAATCACTCAAATGTTCAACCTTTCAACATAATCATTTATTTTAAGAATATTATATAAATTTAATATCATTTAATTTATTTTGTAGTTTTCAATTTGTAGTTCTCTTGATAATATTGTTGTATTTGAATATTTTATATCAAGTAAATTTAGGTAATGGCAAATAAATCATCTTCAAAATGATAGTCTAAAGAGATTTAAGCTAATTTAATTAGAGACTTATGGCCATTTATGAAAATGGTATAGTTGATAACAAATAGGTTTGTAAAAAGAAGCAAAAGTTTTTATTTGATTAATTCGAAGTAAATTAGACTTATCATCTGCTAATCAGTTATTTTATAATAGTATCAAAAAAATAATCAAGATTCTTTATAAAAATGATTGATAAATTTATAACCATTAAATGAATTAAAAACTGTGGACATTGGATTTTAATAAATAATATAAATGATTGTTAATTAAATATAAAATGTTGGAAAATATTAAATAATTATTAATTCCTCAATCCAGGGAAAGATATGGAATTTACCCAAATGTTTTGAAAGAAGTGTTTAGTTAATTATCAAGGGGTGTTTAGATTTACATTTATTTTACAATTTCAAAATTGCTCATAACTCTAATCTTTTTTGGAGAGGCTTTAAAATGTGAGCTTTCAGAATCGCATTCAACAGCCACAACATTGATATTGCACAGCATTTTCTTATTATACCACGAGTTCAAGTACAAGATGGAACTAGAGAACATAGAGAAATTAAACTTAATTCAATAATTGTTGGAATAGTAAGGAATGAATTTAGAGCAGATACCTGATAGATAAACCTTTAATAAATTGACGATGACAGTAAAGAAATCAATATTTTCATAATGTCCTGATTTGAATGTAATTGGCTGTAATATTTAAATAGAGAGAATCGAAATTTTTGAACTTTTTGGCTTAGGTGATTATCATTCGATTTTTTATAATGATGTTGGATTCTCCATTTAATTTCAATATGTTTGAATTCTACTAAGAGACTTGTGATGCACATCTATTGAATGTAATATTCATAATAGTATTAACAATGTTTTTAGAGTTCATCTTTCTATATTGTTTAGTGTTTGTACTAGTGATTGCATTGCCGTAACACAATGGTTATTAATTTTAGATTGCTTTGTTGTATATAAATCTACAGAAAAGGGAAATAGTTGTATTCAATTCGAAAATTGAAGAGGTACTTGGAGTCGATTCCTCCTCATAAGTACACAGGATTAGATGACACTTGGGTGAAGGAGGACAAGAATTGTTGTATTTGCATGCAGGAATATGCTCACAATGAAAGTATTCTGCAATTACCTTGTAGTGGATAACACTAATTTCATGAGAGTTGTGTCAGGAATTGGTTCAATGTAAGTGATTAGTCTTAAGTGGATAGATATCGAATAGTTGTCCGATTTGCAGATAATAATTAGGTTGAAGATGCATTTGATATCTACATAAACTATATAATTGACATTTATGTTAAATATAAATTTTGTGGGAAATTGAATAATTATTATAATTAACGAATTTTTCATAGTCCATGGACCAATTTAAAAGAATCAAGAAAATAGGCAAAGGCAATTATGGAGATGTGTTGTTGGTGCAAAGAAAATCAGATGACAAAGTACTGTTTTTATTTATCCTTTCAGTTATTCGCTATAAAGAGAGTAGATTTGAGTTTTAGAGAAAGCTATGTGGTTGATCCACTCAATGAAGTTAAATTGTTACGCAGTCTGGATCACCCCAACATTATTTCGCATTACGACTCCTTCACTCACAATAATAAATTATGTATTGTTATGGAATATGCTGAAAATGGTATCAAATTCTTATTCAATTCTTCTAGCCGATATAAGCATGATGACCAACCAAGCCAAACAAACACAAACATACATTGATGAAAATACAGTTTAGTATTTGATTTATGCAATATTATAGATTCTTGGCTGGTTTTCCTAGATCTCCATAGCCATCTAATACCTCCACTAGTTGAAGATAATCCACAGAGACATCAAATTACAAAACATCTTCCTCTGCACCAATGGAATTGTAACATTCCTTATTAAATTTAAAGGTCAAATTGGGAGATTTTGGAATATCTAGAACTTTAGACAATACCTTAGATCTGGCCTAAACATCAATCGGTACTATGCTTTTTTAATATCGAAGGAACTCCATTCTATCTCTCTCCAGAAATCTGTTAAAATCAACAATACAATCACAAGATAGATATCTGGATGCTGGGATGCACTCTATACGAATTGTGTTCTCTTCAAAAGCCATTTAAAGGAGAATCCATCAGTGAAATTGCTTTTAAGATCATCAATGAACCTCATCCCAAGATCCACAGAAATTATTCAGATTTCATCTCACAACTAATAGATGAAATGCTAGAAAAGAACCCAGAAAAAAGACCAGATATCTCGACTATTATCTAATATCCACAAATTCAATCAGAATTGTACAAGCTACAAGGACTTTATAAGACCTAATTCAATTACATATTACCAGTTTCCCCTATGCAATCCAATAAATCTTCTTAAAAGAAAATGCACAAAAATTCTATTCACTTTCTTGTTGAGCAATCCAAATAATTACAGCAATAGCAATAATAATAACAATAACAATCACCATAAGTTTGTAAATAGAAAAGAAGAAAAGTTTCCTTACAATAATTAATTTAAGATACTTCAAACTAGAACTCCCCTACATTCAAATAATTAGCCACTGCTGATAACGCCAATAAGAATAAGCCCTTATCATTTAATCTCCATACTCTCCCTGACGTCATCAATGAATCCATCTAATAGAATTCAGCTGTTATGGCTTAAAGATAATTAAGATATTAGAAATCGATCTCCATCAATACTCAAATTGATGACGCTACGAAACGAGGCACAAATGAATATGAAAATGAAAATCAACCAACTCTACTAAAGAACCCTAAGACCTTTTCATTTGCAGGCTAGTTCTTAAATCCTAACGCTCCCACTTCTCCCCAGAGATCGATTTTATTGACAGATTTTCTAAAGAGGAAGATAGGAGAAGAGAGATTCCAATAGATGAAGACTCTCTTAGAATCCTCCAATAATCCTATGAAGATGTTGGATCAAGAGAAAGAGTTGGTTAGTGAAATATTGGGAGAAGAAAACATGGAATGCATCAAAGTATTGATAATCCTTATTGTAGATTTTTAAAGTTCTAATCAGTAGTTCAATCACTCCTTAAGCCTAACATACAAGAACTAAAAGTAGCCAATCATTTTAATAATATAATCATAATGATCAGTCATTGATTGATCTGATTAAGGAATCTGATTTATTACAAAATGCGGAACACTCTTAGAATTCAGTGTTTGAGATTTCATTTAAAAATTTATAAAATTGCCATGATGCTTTTAAACAATCGTGATTGTCTTGATATATTAATAATCATTTATCTTATTAACGCTAATAGAAATTAAATAATATTGATTTTTGATAATTCCCAGAAAATAGAAATGCGTGATTTTGCTAACTAATAATTAATCTGAAGGAAATAAAAAGAGAGATGCTATGAAAATGTTATCATCCGAAAATAGCTCAGTTGGTAGAGCGAGGGACTGTAGTGTTATCCAGTTATCCCCAGGTCGGTGGTTCAAATCCGCCTTTTCGGAGTTTTTTTGTTATTTTTTTGCATTTAGTTAAGATTAATTAAAAATAATTAAGGCGATAAATAATATAAATATTTTAATGAATTCATCAAGATATGGAGTGGGAAATCGATCAGGTGCTTCATAAAGCCAAAACTAATTGAAGCCTGCCAAAGGGTTGTGGGGAAAGTTAATTAGATTTTTCTAAACAGGATGGTTGAATCCAAGATCTTTATATAGACAGGCAAGGAGATTGTTGTGGGTTGGAACAACAGGTATGAAATTGTGATAAAGAAAAAAGGATTAATATTTTTGATTGCTCCATTTGCGTTTTCACACTTTTTGGAAGTTAGCGAGGAATTATCATAGATATCAAGAATGGGTGCTTAAGAAAGTAAGAGAATTAACAATAAAATTAGTGAGCAAAATTTGATGAATGATTATTATTATATATGTTCAGGGAATATTGTAAATCAATTCGGGAAAAGAGCTTATTTTTTAAATTAGAATAATGTTGAATAATAAAATGTGTTTTTGTTTTTTCCCATGCTTATTCAAGACGAGGAATGATGTTAAGAGTCTGAAGGCGACCTTCTCTTGCTGTAATTTCCCTTTTTTTATTCTTCGCCTCTCTTTGGACTGTTGCTATATCTGCGTCTATTGCGGTGATCTCTATTTCTTCTTCTGGAACGCGAAGACGAGTAAGAAGAACGGGATCTTGAACCAGATCTTCTCCTGTGATGTCTATGATAGAATGTCTTAACAACCTGGATTTGGAATTTGAGTATCTTCTGCTTCTGTGAGGCGATCTGCCCTTAGGACAATCTCTAGCCCTATAGAGAATGAATAAACTCAATACCAGTGTCCTCCTTTGCCACATTTGAAACATTCGTCACTTTCATTGGGTCCAGTTCTTCTCCCCTTGCGATTGTCGACAACATCCACTTTTAATTTCTAGCCATTGTGTGTTGCTCCATTCATCTCTGTAAGAGCCTCTTTAGCTTCATCCTCATTGCTGAAGGTCTTTGTGAACTTAAATTCAAAGAGTTACTATAAAAGAGTAAGAGCCCTTGTATGCCACTTCCTTGACTGACCCATACTTTCTAAAGATTTCTCTCACATCTCTCTCGTCAGTCACTTTGCTACGACTATATCCAGCTACGAAAAGCTGATTAGACACAATCTCACCCATTAATTAAAATTTGGTAATATAAAAATCCCTATACTTAGTTAATAAATAATAAAATATGAGTGTTTAAAGACTGCCTCTCGAAAAATAGGCTACTCCACGTCATTACAGTTCCAAACCACTTCAACAGGTCTCAAGTACTGCAAGAACAATTACTAAGCCGCCTCTGGTTCAACAAGAGATGAATCCCGACAATACAATCCTATCATTCATGAAATCTTTAGATGGTAAATAAGCAGGCATTCTCAATCGATCCATAAGAGATGGTGAAAAACTACACGTAAGAACTACTTGATATTTCAATTAGAAACCTTTAATCAAACCTAGAACCTACATTGCTCAATAAAAATCAATTCCAACATCTAACGTAGAGAGATAAATTTTAAATAATCTGGAAACAAGGTATTCTTTTTTCATACTAACAAGAACTTAATAGAATACAAAAGCTCCCCCAATATGAATAAGAATTGGTACTACAAATTCTAGCATCCATCGAAATTGGTTAACCTAAACATGAAGAACTCATCTCCTTCTTCAAAAGCAAACGAATACACCTCAAAATCCACTCGAATTATGGCAACAAAACTCAGGTTGGATTAACTAGTATTGAATTGTTGAATAATAACAGAAAATATGTCAAAATCAACTGCATATATTCCGACGATGATTCCCATAATACTATCAATAATCTGATCAATGGTCACAATCTTACAATATATCCTGAATAAATGTGGATTACCAATTTTAAATAATTCCCAATCACCATTACAGTATGCTATCTACTTTAGGAAGAATCCGAATTTCTCACTTCTGTTAAAATATGGAATTTTAATAAAAATAGAAAAGAATTGGATAAGTGTGTTTGTGAGTTAGAAATCTTACAGAATGATACTGTACTATGGTCAGGTTAAATAGCTAGAGGTGTAGCCAATACATTTTCAGAATATGCTTAAACAATCGAATTGGAATCATAACCATAACAAAGTCTTAACACAATAAAAGATAGCGAAACTCGAATTAAGAATTAAAATGATACTACTCAACCATTTAATTAATCATTATAGTCCATTAATTCCAAGAAATCAGATGAAAATAAAGAGTAGTATTAATAATATTTCTATTTAGAATTAATCTGTCCAAAGCCTCAAGTCAATAAAAACATGCAAAACCTAAATTAATATTTGATCCTTTTGATGATGATAAGAAATTCAAAAAACTTGAATAAAAGTAAGAACCCTCCTCAGTCAAAACCAAATAGACAATTCATTAATAGAGATTCTTCAAGAAATCTATTAACTTATTTTCCTAAAAATAATTAACTGAAGAGGATTCCACTAGTCCATAAATCAATTTTAAAAGGGGAGTTGCTCATATCGCAGCAGGAACAGTATCCACTCGTACTAAAAACATCTCAATACCTGAATGTCCTTTCGGATCCACGTTGATAATTAAATTTCTTAAAAATTGGGGAGATCTCTATTCAATTGGATTAACTGGAATTGAAATATTTGATTATAAAGGCAAGAAAGTAAAAATTAATTCAGTATCTGGATTCTTCAGAAATGCTGCTGTTTTATTTGATGACAATTATTTAACATAGGATGATAAAAATATGTGTATAGAAAGAATAGATAAAAATATGGAAATTACAATTAAGTTTAATGACACTAAATTATCCATGATAAGAATCTGGAATTACAACAAAGGCAGAACTTACAGAGCAAAATGTGTTCGTAACATTGAAATAGTCTTGGATACAGATTCTATCTTTAGTGGAGAAATAAAATAAGCCAATGGAACATGTGGTATAGATAATGCTGAATACATAATGTTTACTAATAATCCTTAAATTATGGAAAAGATTTAAGAGTAGGATTGGCTTAACACATTACATGAAAGTTAAATATAATAGTAAAAGCACATTCTAGAGAATACTGTCAAATTGAGTAGGCCTGACACAGCCACATTTAATAAGCCAAAAGGCGAGATTACTGCTTAAAAGTTCGCAAATAATAATCTGAACTCTTAATTTAACAAGGATTATTAACACCAAAAATCAGATTCTATTCCTTAAATCGTTAGATAGGAATCCGAATCCAAATTACAATCACATCCTAAAAGATTGTTCTCATCTCAAAATTAGATCAATGTTAAGGTTTTACCAACGGTTGCTGTGAAAGTATTAACGTTGTATATAATAAGAAATTGGGGTGATAAATTTGTAGGACTGGATAAGATTGATATTCATGATAAATTTGGATAGTCAATGAAAATCAAGAAATATAAAGTGATTACATCCTAATCTGAGACTGTTGTAAATAGTGATGAAAGATGGTAATTGAATAATGGGAAAATCAAGATCCAATTCGTATTCATTTAACCAACTCAAATTAGTAGAGTTGCAATTTGGAATTATAATAAGGAGGATGAATTGGAAAAGGGAGTGTAAATGATTAACATCAAAGGGGATAATCAAATCCTTAATACCAAGTAAGGCATCTATTTGAGAAAAGGACATGGGTTGAGCGACGTAAATGAACCTCAATTGATTGAGTTGCCTTATCAAAAAAGAATAGAAATAATGAAGGTAAATTACTAATTCGAAAAAAATATATACTAAGATTATGAAACAACCCAATTACCATAAGGCACCAAAATAGTTATCAAACTTTTATCTACTTGGGGGGATCTACACTATATTGGGTTGAATGGGATTGAGATATTTGATCCAAATGGAGAATAGATTTATCCGAAATTATTTGCAAAACCATTCTCCGTAAAAGAACTGCCACAAATGGAGATGGATGTCAGAACTCCAGATAAGTTATTAAATAACGTGAACATCACTTTAGATGCTAAGTAGATGTGGTTATCTCCTTTCGTTAATACATATACAGATAGATTAAAAACGAATATCAATTCGAGTGTTTTTGATCAGATTAGTTACCAAGTCAACAAATTAATTTTGCTATTTGATACTCCTTAATAAATATCTGCCATATCCTTTTACAACTATAGTAAAACACCTGTCAGAGGAGTTAAGGAATGTGAAATCTCAATTGATGATAATATTATTTATCAAGTATTTTATTCATTTTATTTTTAGGGCTATTTGAATTTATCAACCTTGACCTAAACTGTTAGAGGAATAATGGGCAATAATAAAACTACTGTGTTGTTTACAAGAAATGAAAGATTGATTGATTAAATTGGAACTGTGGAAATTAGAGAGAGTATCATTGGATCAGAGACTCTTTTAATCAATGAGAATTAAGTAATCTTTTAAAATACATAATTAGAAATTGAAATATAATAGTATCAAAAATAAAGAGGTCAGACTATAACAATAAGGATTGTATAAAGAATTAGATAGACCAACTACAACAACAGTTAAGTGATTTTTTATACTTTCATTGTTCAAAATTTTGTTACAATATAGAGTATCATCAATATTAACATTATTCAGTTTGCAATTTCTTATTTATAGGAGGTAATAGAAGATTACCAGATCTTACATTTGAAGGTTTATTGTTGTTTTGAATGTTGTAATAAAGATTAGGAGATACAAACGGTAATCGGTTGTTACTTATAGATTTAATTGAAGGTCTAGAAGTTTTAGCTTATTAAATAGATTGAGATTTTGGTTTCTTGTAATTGATAAATAAGGGACATCCCTCATTATCATATTCTACTTCTAAAATCTTGGCCTTAAGAATATCTGAACAAGAAGGCCTTTTGGTTGGATCTACGCACAACATCTTCATCAATAATTGTGTCAACTATTTACTATTATATAACTCTTCGCTAATTTTTATCCAATCAAAATGACATTCCTTGTTCAACTATTTCTGTGCCATCTAATTTTGAGCATTAAACAAGGGTTTATTAGTGATTCTAACTTATATTCATTCATTACAATCTATAGAGAATGCAACCGAGACTAAAGATGTCACATTTTTCATTATAGGTCAAGTTCTTATCATCTTCGCAACTTATTATTTCAGGAGCCATGAATCCAATAGAACCACAATATTTTCCAATGTCCATATCGTCTTTTATTTCTGAACTCACCCCAAAATCACTGACGACTATATTTGGATCTTGTTAGGCTACTAGAGAAAATTGTTTTAGAGACATCGGCTTTTTCAACAAAATATTGCTTGGCTTTAAATCTCTATGCATAAATCCTCGTTCATGTAGATATTTAATTGCATCTACGATTTGTCTAAAAATAACTTTAACACTTAAAAACGGCAAAGGCTCTTCTAACTTTTTTAATCCTTATTCTAGGGTTCCTCCCCTTGCCAAACTCATAACAATGTACGATTAAGCTCTATTTTCAAAGTGATCATAAAACTTTAACAGGCTAGGATGATCTAAAGACTTCATGACCTTTATCTCATTTTCTATGGTTAACTAAATTTCAATGAAAATACTACTCTCCATGAATTAGGATTATTTTATATTAACATTTTCTTAAGAAATGCCTTGATCGCAACTTTGGATCCATCTGATTTCTTCTTAGCTATGTAGACAGAAGCAAAACTACCATTCCCAACTAACTTTTCTAATTCATAATATGTTTGATAATCCAATTAAGGTATTTTAGATTTTAATTTCTTTTCCCAAGGATCAGCTTTATCAAGAAAAACATATTCTTTAAAATTGCATTCATCTTTCTCTAATCTTAAGATGATGGAAGCTTGTTCATGCTTGATTGAGAATCTGAGAGTACTATTCAGAATTGTAAATTTAAAGGATTTTTGTGACTTAGTATATAGTTTGAAAATACCTTCCTATATAATTGATTTTCATAACAGAGCAATTCAATTTGGTTGTTGTTTTTGTTTAAGAATTTCGATTGTAACTAAAAATAGTGTTATGAAGTTGTTGGGAGTTGTAAGAATATTTTATTTTGCATAGAAATAATTATTATATATATATATATAGATCGCAATCAAGGACTTGATATGTAGGGTTTAGCTTCTACTCCTAATTTATTCATGATGTCTTAATTTTATAACAATAATCCTTTCTATTTTTCGATTACTTCACTAAAATCTGATTTTAATAGACTAAATTAATTAGTAATTTCTTCATTCATGTTACCTACATCTTATTTATTCCTGTATTTTCTCCTTGAAATTTTGAAATCATTCAAATTCTTTCTTAATTTAATCAGCAATAGTTTGAGTTAGACTTTACTTAGATTTCCCTTTCTAAATAATAATGATATAATTATACTTAAGTGCAACATGGATTTTGAGTGAGTAGAGCACCACCTATGAGGCTGATTTAGTTAAATTCGATCTTAATTGAATTCTCTCCAACACTGTAATTGCATGGGATTCTAAAGTTGAAATCACCAAAGAGTTGATAAGAGTGACAACCATAACAGAAATAACAAATATTCCCAAAATACAAACAACAAAGATAACAAATCTTCCTAAATCTGTTCTTGTATAGAAATCTCCATATCCTACTGTTGTAATAGTAATGATGATATTCCACAAAGCATTTGCATATCTACCTAAATTATTATTTGCAGGGTCATTCCTAGCCAATGGGTTCTCACATATTCTTACTCCATATCCAAAGATGCCAATCAAAGACACAAGAGCTATGAATTATGAAATGTATGGGGAAGTTCTCATTAATGATTTTGCCACAAACATATAATTGCCTTCACATGCATAAAGATTACAAACTCTTTAAGTTCTGTTGCTGTACCAAAATGTTTATGCCAAAATAGTTCTGAAGATAAACACAGTTCTGGTTATCATGAATAAAGCAAGAATTTCATTGACATGATAGTAGGCTGTTGCATCTTGAAAACTATTGTAAAAGTACACTCTCATTCCAATTGTGAAAGGATAAGGAACCACACAATAAATTATCAATTCTATAAGCAGGGGATACCATTATTCTGTTTACCATATTTTATCATTTTAACTAATTTACTTTCTTGATTTCAACCAATTCATATGTTATTAATAACGTAAGACTGTTAAAACTAATAAAGCTAATGTAGAGATAAATATGATCCATAATAACCAATTAGATATCTAATTACTATATTATACTAATTACATCCTCATTCTCCTCCTCAAATTCTAAATCATATTGCATAACACTCAAACCCAAACCCATTAAATTGAAAACAAAACAAATCTATTCAGTCATCAAAAACTTTCTAAATTATAACTTAGTTATTTTTCCTATATTTTACTAATTTACATACCATCCTCTAATCCTCCCAATTATTAAGTGCAAACTACAAATATTTATCCTAAAGTTGCTGCTTTCAAAAAATCAGGCTTATTGACTAATTATTCATTTTCTAATTATCTTCTACTGCTTCTTTCCTAGCTTATTCATAATACTTACGCTCACTTTCCCACTTTAAGAGTGCTTCCTTCCTTTCATTCTAAAATTAAATAATTAATTAAAAATAACATTATAATTATCGATACGAATAAGTAAATTAATTTGAAATTCAATAGTAGTAGTTCTATTGGAAAGGAATTATCATGAAAAACATTCTTGCTTAATCAAAAATGTATTGAACTTTTTCATAATAATTATGTTAATCTCAAATCATTCATATTTTAATATTTAATATAAATCTATTTGGAATATGATTGAGTTTCAAAAGAACAGAAAAATGAAAAAATGAATTTGAAATCTAAAGTAAAAGTGATATTACAAAAGAATCTTTAAAACAAACTAATTTAATTTAACACCTACAATTTAAATCACCAGACTAGAAAATAAGGAAAGGACTGGTTCGAATTCAAATCAGAATTTACAAAAAAATGTTTCTATTTTAAATCCTAATAATGACTTTATATTTAATTTTAATAAATATATTTATACATTTGGTGTAAATGGATTAATAATAGAAAACTATTATTCTTTATACTTATAATTAAAAGAATAGATACATTGATTTATTAAAAGAAAGTTAACAATATTAAGAAGGTACAACTAAGATATGTTGAGTTTAGAGAATATTTTGAAACGAGGTTGTTTAAATTTTATTAAATGCTTAAATCTAATTGCTTTAGATGTGTTATTTATTAGAAACATTCAATTGCAACATTTTGAAGAATTATTTTTTCCATTTTTGTTAACGACTTTATTAAAAAAATAATTACTATAAAAGAAAGTAGCTCTTGCAAACCCAATGATAGATAAAACTAATCTGAAATTTCATAGTTAAATTTGCAATTATTTATTAGAAAATCATCTCATTTAATAATAAGTACAAAATAATTTAGTATTAATATTACATTTACTTATTTCTAAATTGAGAATAATAATAAACTTAAAATTGCTTTAGATGTGATTAATGTACAAAATAAAAACTAAAAATTAGTCAAATGTAATATGGTTTGAATAATTCAACATCATTTTGTAGGAAACGGATTCTCGAAAAAAAATATGAAAATATCATGTCAATCTTCCATGGAATAGGATATTAATTATTCTTGAATAATTTAAAGGGAAATCTGACAAATATGGTAAAGTATGTTTTTAATTACTCGTCTGAATGCAATGATACTTATTAGATAACCTCATATTTTGATTAAAATATAACAATAGGTCTTATTCATTATTCAGAATTTACTTCTGGAAAATGAACAAGAGTTTGGTTAAGGAGAATAAAGATTTATGATTGTATTAAATGGATTAAGAGTAATAGATTCATCTAAATGAATAAAAAGTCAAGATAGGGTGATGATCAAAAAAAATAGAACCTCATTACAATTTACATAAAAATGAATATATTTTCTTTTTTAGGTAATGTGTTTTAATTTTAAGTCACTATTAATATTAATAAATGTAATAATTTCACTCTCTCTGTCCAATATGCGACTAATCAAAGTATATACAGACTATCAACAATATTGATTTTGCAGATTCTAATCTATCTTTTAGTTTTTTAGAATATGTACTCAATCCTATCATATATGTTTCGAAATTCACAAATGAGGATGAAAAATTTATGATGAAACACTAAGGGATTTCAAATCTTCAGTTCCACCACTACGACTTTTACAATTAAGCGTTTCCTGTTGAAATGGATGCTCTCTATGGATTTGATTTTTTTATTTAAGGTTGCTAATATTTGATGTAAAACTAATAACAAATGGCAAATGAACATTTTTAAATGTTTGATAAGATCAATTAGTTTACTCACACCATATTTAAAAGGCAAATACCTGAATATTACCGATTTCATAACAAATATTTTAATGATGTGTGCGAGGAGGTTCTTAACATAATTAAGTCTTGCTATCCAAAATTGGAAACAATTGACAATCCCAATGTTAAGTCGTTTATGCTTAGAAATTGCTAATCCATACTCTAGGGGATTGAAAATCTTTAATTTCCTGCATAAACAATTTATGAGAATTCATTCCAATTATTACTAGAAAGAAAAAAGAAACTGCATAGATGCTAGGTTTAATTAGCCTACTTAAGTAGGACGATAACTGAAGATGCTATACTTACTAGAACATATCAGACATATTTACAGGATACTACTCACATAAACCAAATAGGAGCCATTTTGTTTACGGGATTAATCAATACTGAGAAACTGTGGGAAATATACTTTGTTAGATTAAATGGAGAACAACGTCTTTCTCATATTAGTAGCCTTATTTTTTTTCTTAATAAATAATATGACGATTCCTACATCATTTGTTTGCTTAAGTTAGGGAAACAATTAAAGAGGTTCAAGGAATATTGGTTGTCCCTAGTCATATATAGTTTCTTTCGAAAAGTCTCAATCGTATTTTAAAAGCAATTCAATTTTAATTGCTATCTTCCTTATTTATACTATTAAATCGCCAAGATATGTCTTTATTTGGGGTAATTTAATGAAGCCTATCAATTGTATTTAAAAGCATACGAAAAGTCTAAACAATTGAATTATAAGAATCTGTACATAGAAATTAAGGATTCAAGACAATTCTGTTACAAAATAAAGTACAAAATAATGATTTTATCATTGTACTTATAAAAGTCAGTTAAGGCAATTGAAATGGTTAAGGAGCTGTTATCTGATGGTAACAGTATGCCATATCATATTAATATTTTTACTAATTATTGCAATCAGTATTTGTAAGATGCTAAATAATTCAATGAGACTTTGAAATATAGAAAATGTGAATTGTTTTTAAAACATCTATCTAAAGTAATAAAAAGTAATCTGAACAATATATAAATTCCATAGGATGACATTAAACAATTGGCAAATGTTATTGAATTAAAAGATAAAGACATACCAAAAACTAATCTAAAGTAGAAGATAGAATTCGAATTCAAATTGAATTCCTATTTCTCTCTTCTACAATTCTACTTAATTCTTGTATGTCACATGAGAAATGATTAAATGACCACGAAACACTATTATGAGAAGTAGCAAATCATGGATTAATTTTTGTAATATATCGATTGCAGATTGTATACTACTTTACAGAATGTAATTGAATAATTCTAATTCTCGTAAGATTGCATTGAGAACTTGCTATTAAGTTATGTTTATCAGTATTTTTCAATGCAAGAATTATGTATCAATCGTTTAGTATAATTCGAAAAATCAAAATAAGAAAATAAAAAAAAATATTCTGATCAGGAAAGCCAACTCTTTAAAAAGATAGTGGATAATTTTAGATCCTTCATACGATGCAATCGAGAAGAACCATTTCAGGAATAGTGCTTACCGAGTTCTGATTATGCGGAACTCTAATACTCTATTGGCATTCGATATTTGAAAGATGGTAGATACAGAGAAGGAGTGGAGTATTTGAAGAGAGCATCATGCAATCCTGCTTTTAAGGATTTGTGTACTGCTCATCTATTAAAAGTAGTCTAACAATCAAGAGAAGATTTAGAAATAGGCAATTCAAATCTAAGAGAAAATATTGGTGATATTTTCAAATAAATCGATTTTGATAGACTGTAATCTAGCTAGAGCAGAAGAACTTCATATTGTATGGAATATCAGAGATAGTCCTTTTAAGCAGAATCTAGAAGGAGTATGAATTATTTAGTAGAATCTCAGGCTTTATCTCAGATTTCTAGAAGCAATTCCTTGGTTCAAGATTCTATTTATTATACTTTATGGCAATTAAAGTATTTCTTAATGGATTAAGAAATCACTGACTTAATAGACAGAATAGAGGAAGAATTTCCGAATGTTTAATAATTGAATTAACAGAGCTTTTAGAATAAATATCCAAATTACAAAGAGATAACTCCTGATGTGACTTTTTTTAGTAATGATAATGAGAAAATTGTAATGAAAACAAAACAAATTACGGAGATGCAATTTGAAAAAATAAAGAGTAAACTCAAAGATTTTTTAATTGAAATTTTAGCATAGGTTCTTGTAAACAAATGCAATTATCGAGGATTCGCTCAGTTAATTTCATTGTAATATCAAATAAATATATGCTAATCATATGCAAGTAGTTTAAAGTTTTATTTGATCTTTCCTTATTATGAACCTATGGTTAAAATGGATATCTAATAATTAAGAGATTTGACTCTATCGATTTAGATACTCAATCAAAATAAGATTATTCATAGAGATCTAAAGCCTAACAATATTTTAATGAAGAATGGGAATCCTGTTATAATCGATTTCGATTGTTCCTATTATTGGGAACCTAACTTGTAACAATGGCTAAGAGGAAAGGGACTGACGACTAAATATTACCCAGCTAATGATATTGAATAAGATAAAATAGATATCTATTCTTTGGGAATTATAGCAAAGGAATCAGTAGAGAATTGTCCTGAGGCATTCTATACAGGAGCGACACAAGAATACTCAAGTAGATCCTCATTACTCCAATTATAGGAAATATTAAATTGATTATAAAATAATGTAATTATTCACAAGTTTAACTTTCAACAATGATAGCCAAAACACATAAACGACATCAACTAAGGCTCAGAACACGCAAATATTCAAAGTTCATTTATATCCCAAGCAATACATAATAGAGACAAATCAGAAATCCATAACACTGGATAAACATTTGATTATTGATAGAGACAATGGGAATCTGTATGAGAAATGTATTTTGTTTGATAGAATATGTAGCTGGATCACCACCATAGAGCGAACACGAATAAATGGCTTTTTCTGCTTTCTTAGGAACAATTTATATTCTTGATGAACCTTTATTATTATTTGTTGAGAAAGCAGAACTAATTTGTACAATAGACGAATAAGATGTGTTCTAGATTGTTTCAGTCTAATTCCTATCATACATGCCTAATATTATGTAATCGCCTAAGGCTAATGCCATTTTGAAAATAATTAAATAACTCAAGAAAATATTGGGCATGGGTTTCTATTTCTCATATGGATATGATTTGACATTATCAAAAGTAAAGCAATAGATTGAGGAGAAGACTGATGAGAGGTTCTTATGGAATCTGAATTTGATTAGAAATCATCTTAAATAAAAAATTGATAGAAAATGGTTGACTAATATCATACAAGGATTCATAAATTATTTTAACTTGTATATCAATGGTAAAAAACTAGATTTTTATTTGATGAGCAGGAGATCAAGTCAAAGAGCAGGTACCAGATATAACGTCAGAGGTATAGATGATAATGGCAATGTTGCTAACTTTGTGGAAACAGAATAGATTATATATTATAATAATCATTGCTGTTCTCATCTTTAAGTGAGAGGAAGTGTACCTATATTTTGGAGTCAAAGAGGATTGTTGATAGAGACTGAAATAATGAGATCTGCAGAATTAAACAAAAGGGCATTTAAGAAACATTTCGCAAGTCTTTTTGAAGATTATTCAAGGGTTATTTGTTTGAATTTGATGGCTGAAAAGAAAACGGAAGAGCAGATGGTTTCGAAAGCATATGAAGAACAAATAAAATTGAATTCTCAAGAATTAAATGAAAATATCAAATATGAGTGGTTTGATTTTCATCATGAATGTAAAAACAATGATTTTTCATTGTCTAATCCATTGATAAGGAAATTGATGGATCATATCTAAAACTTTGGATTCTTTTAGCTAGACTTAAAAACTAAAAAGGTGTTGTCTGTTCAACATGGAGTCTTTAGGACCAATTGTATGGATTGTCTTGATAGAACCAATTTCATCTAGGCCAAAATAGCCATGAGTGTTTTTGATATATAAACTAAAAAATTAGGATTGGATTTCTAAAATCTGCTAAAAATGTCACCCATTGAAGCCTTAGATGAAGATTCAAGCAAAATTACAAATTATTTTATAAATTATTTCAAGAACATTTGGGCTGACAATGGTGACATGTTGTCAAATCAATATACTGGTACTGGATCTACTCATACCAATATTACAAGAACTGGAAAGAGAGATTTCAAGGGCATTTTAGGTCATGGCACAGTTTCAATGGGTAGAGTCATAAATTAGAATTTTGGGGATAATGATAAATAAGAGACAATAGATATTTTATTAGGCAATCATGCTGATATCACTGCATCATACACTAAATAAATAGAGGAAAAGTTAATATCAAGATAATAAGAGTTCTGCAATTTTTCTGAACGCACAATTCTGGTGACAACTTGGAATGTGGGAAGATAAACTATTCCTTAATCGTATGATCTGAATAAAGAGATTATTAATTACTAAGCTGACATCATTGTAATTGGATTACAAGAAATGGCTTATTCTGCAACTCAGCTGGTGAGTGGATCATCTTAGTAATTATAAGATTGGGATAAGTTGATTGCCAATAATTTAAGTAGGAGAGATAAGTATATCAATATTAAATCTAAGGCATTATTAGGAATGGGCCTGTTTATTTATGCCAAGGAGAAATTTCAAGACAGAATCACCAAAGTTAGTGATGATACAATTAAATTAGGTGTATGGAGCAATCCTTTTACAGACAAAGGTGCTGTAGCCATTAAAATGTTGATTGATGATACTTTAATATGTTTTATCAATTGCAATTTGGAATATGGAAAGGGGAATCTGGATAAAAGATTGGAGAATCTCAATGAAATTCATCAAACTATATTTAATCAATAAGCGATAGGGAAGAAGAAAGAAGAGAAAATTGAATAATGTGATTATCGAATCTTATTTGGAGATCTGAATTTCAGAATCAACCTTGAAAAAGACGAGATTATCAAATCCATTTAGAAATACGAAGAGTTTATAAAAACCAACAAAATGACAGAAGCCTAGAACATATTTTAGTATATTGTTATTTTAAAATTAGAATTTTGTAAAAAAATGATGAAATCAAAAGTAATAGAGAAAAAAATCAATATCTAAAGCCATATTAAGAGTCAGATATTAAATTTCTCCCTACTTATAAATTTTAACTCTATTCAGAAAGGTATGACGAATCAAGAACCCCATCTTGGAATGACAGGATCTTAGTGGGATAGAACGAGCATTGCGAACACAAATACTAATATTACAAATCTCATAATGTCACCTACAGTGAACATAGGCCAGTTAGTGCTTTAATTAATATTAAAACCAGATAGGAAATAGCAGAGAAAAAAGAAAATATTATATCATCAATTATTTAAAATGAATTATGATATAATCATCAAGAATATAGCAAAGAGTTTTAAGTTTTTTGTTAGAATTGCGATTCCAAATACTCCCTATATTTTAAAGTCAAAGCCCTTTTCTTTTTGTTCTTACCTCCCTTTGTTACTGAGTGTTATAGTATGTTGTTCAATATTCCCAACCTGCTAGTTCTTTGTGAATTCTACTCACTTCCATCCATCCTCATACTATATTGCTCATAAACCACACTTGAGTCTCTGCTACTATTGCAATTCTGCATCTTTTAATTTATGCTATGATATCTAATCCGATTATCTAAATCATTCAAATAGAGTGTAGCCTTGATTGGCCAATGCTTCTCAATATTTTATTCCAACTTCACTTATTTTGGTAATTGGACATAAATAGTTTTCTGTTGCAAAGTATTCATATTTACAGAGTCCTCAGGTGAAAGATTATGCATTCTTTTTAAAATTGTCATTTTATGTTTGATAACCTATTTGAATCGATCTGGTGTTGATAACTAGCTCCTCTCTTTTTGTCTACTAGAAACTAATTAAACCTTGGGTAAGGGTTACAATTTATCCGGAGATACAACATATATAGTATTTTTATTTTTGATTTTTTAAAGATTAATGCTTTGATTTATATCTGTTTATTGTTCACTTGCTTGGTCATCTATTGATGTCAGATAATTCAAAGTATTTTTTAATTCCTGTATAGGACTGACTGATTTTGATGGATCATTGAACTGTTTATTCTCATTAATGATTTTACTAGGTGAATCTAAAATATTATGTGATCCATTATTGCAATTATTAGATTTTTACTCTTAAATAGTTAAGAAATGCTAATATCTCCCTTGAGTCTATTCTATGTTAGTTTTGAAATCATGATACCATTTGTTCTTTTTCAAACACAAAGATTTTAATTATTACACATAGTGTTGTTCATTAAATTGTGATAACTTCTAAAATAAGGATTATAAGGGAATAACGATTAGGCTTCCAGTATGAGAATTACATTACACATTAAATTGTCGTGTAATTCTTTCGAATGCTTCGTAATCTCCAAATATTTCCCCCGTCGTCATTATTGCAATTTGTTTTCTCACTTTCATCTGCTGGTACTCATTCATCCTTTAATCCTAATACACTAAGAACTCCCCTTATTTGATAATGTAGATAATATCAGAATCAGTCTAACCCTACTTATAAACAATGTCTCTAAATTTGTAATCTGATGACTAATAGGTAAAGAGCATTATATTGATTAATTTCCTATTTAAACCTTAAAAGCTAGGATTCAACTTAAAATTATTCATACGATAAAGTTCCTTCTTCTTCTCTAAGATTTAAACAGCAGTTGTATAATTCTCTTTGCTTAAGATTGCCAAAGTTGAATCAACATCACAAACTGCAAAATTAGTTCTCATTCTCTATTCTAAAATTGCTTACTCACCAAAAGTCTTCCAATCTTTGAATTCTGTTAAACGAACCAAACTAGTTAACCATATATGTCTATATACCTTTTCATCGTAAAATCAGAAAACTTGATTCTGTTTGTAGGTGAGCATTCTCTAGCCTAATCTACAAATACTGATTGCTTTTTTGTCATTGTTTAATCCAAAAAATGATCATTCTGGTATAGGGACACTTAACCACGCAATACTACATACATATTGTGAGGGTACTCTCCCTTCTCAAATATAACTGTATTCTAAAAAAGAATAATAAATGAGATACATACTTTGGAAAAGGTTTCAAATGTCAGATGCTTCAAACAATAATCATACGCCTCATTATCAATATTCTCCACTTAAAATTGATGGAAAAAATCCACTTTCATCACGATGATTCTCATCAACTATAAAATCTCAGCCTTCCTCTCTTGCCTTGGGATTTGTAAAATATTTATTAAGAGCTATTATTTCTGTTGCAGACTAAGTTCATTTATTGACTCAAGTAGTCTCGTCTAGTTTCGTTTATTACCTAATTCAATACTCTCCTATTATAATTATTATTAATACATAATTAATAGATATTGATCTTGGTGAAATATTTAATCAAAATGATTAGCCCTAACTGATTTTGAATAACACTACGTTATCATATGCTTTTATTTTCAAACCAACTTTGATTTTATAGATCGAAATTATTTGCTTTGACTTAACCAAATTTAATTAGTTTGTGCTGTTTTGTTGTAGCCGAACATTTATCATCCCAAATGGAGCTAAATTGTTTAAGTAATCAATAATTATGATGGTGACTTATTAAGATAATAGGAATCAAAGAAATTTCCTATCCCCAAGCCTCTTTACTTTAAGGTCAGTCTATTAATTCTATCACTGAATAAATGAAAATTTAAGGTGCTTGTGCTTTTTCATCAAAAAGATCTTAGGATTTATATAACATTCATAAAAGAATGAATATTTTTAAGAAATTTTGAGAATTAAGTTGTATATATATTTAAATTAAATAAAAGTTGAAGAAACACTGTTTAATGCAAGTAAAAGTATAAAATGTTTGATCGAGATTTATAATTTTTAATCTAAAAATTTTCTTATATTAAAATATCTCTTTTTAATAATTATGTTAAACGTATCAAAATGATATTTATATGCATTAAAGAATTAAGATTTTGTTGATAGAATTTTATTGGTTATTTATTTTTCAGCAGGTTTACTTTACATATAATTGAAGGAGTCAAGTAGAAATCTAAAATGTATTCTTTTAACTTGCTTATTGAATTTAAAGTATCAGCAACTAATCTTGGTTTTTATATAAACTCAGTTTATAAAATTTGAAATCTGAAGTAATAAAATTATTTCTTAAATTCTTAGATTACATATGTGTATACTCTCTCTCTCTCTCTCTTTAATTTAATAAAATAATAATTTATCTTTGCTTCTGTTAGAATATATAATTTATATTGTATCTCATCCTAATACATATTTCTTTGTATAGTTTAAATATATATAATATTTGAACTGCTACATAATTACGTTGATATCTAATTTATAATATTTATGGGTTTAATTCTTTTCAAATTTTGAAAACTAATTAATACAAGAATCAATTTTAATGATAGGCTCATCAATAAAATATGGATAACACTTAAGCACAATAATTGTAACTTATATGAATATTTAATTATCAGATATGAGAGCATTGTTGTTTTATAAATAAATCATAATGTTTAGATATATTTCAATTTTGACTCTCCAATCAAGGTGATATGGAAATTGATGTTAAATATAAATTTCCAATCTTCAATATTTGGATACAAAAATGATGATGATTCTTCTTTTTATTTATATTTTTATTATATATCAATCTCCTCTCTTCCAATTTAAGACTTCCTCAACCAATGCATCTGTATAATTAATCTTATATCTGGAAAATATTTTCTATAATTAATTTCATATGAATACTTGCAAATCTTCCTTGTCCTCTTTATCATTACTTCCTGATGATTTAGGCTTCTCATTGTTTTCTTTCATTTTCTTGAGTAATTTTTACATCAACTTTTCTAATAAATTATGTTGATAGTATACAATCTTCTCTTGTGAAGAATACTTTCTCATCACCTTTATCTTTGTCCTTCAAAATGTCAGCGAATCCAAATCTTGGTTGACACTTTGGAATTCTTGCTAATGTAATTAAAAATTTATTCATAATATTAATATCTTCAATAATTAAATGAAATGCTCTATAATACTTAGTTTAATATAATTGGAATAATTATAATAACTAAATAAATCAATCATAAGTTCTGCTTCTATTATTCCTTTAAATCCTTATCAGATATTTAAATCTAAATTCTATTCTCATTCAATAAATAATGTCAATTTTCATTCATAATAAACCCATCTTCATCGAATTTCTGCGCTAATACTTCAAAAATTCAAGATCCCATTGCCATCTTTTTTCTTATTCTAAATTTTTCATCTAAGTATATAATAAATGTAAATTTAAATGTTATTTTTCTTGACTTTTTACATCTTATTGCTATATTCTGATATTAGTGAACCCAATTATATCTCAGATTAGTATTATAGTTGTTTCTTTAATTAAATCGAAAATTTTAATTTTTTTTTGACTGAGAGTCTTGAAGTTATTAATCTCTTTATTTGATTTTGACATCAATATGAATATCAATATCAATATCATCATCAACAATCTTAAATATTCTTCAGTCTTTACGAAGGATATTATGTACTTTTAATATTTTTTGATTCATCCTGCTTATTAACTGTCTTTTGAAATTGAAGATTAAGATTAAGATTTATTTTGATTTATAACTATTTTTCATATTCTTACCACTATTTAATTCTAGATTATATTTGTTGTTCCTATTGAATTTTGGAGTTATTATAATTTTCTTTTAGTAATCCTTATAATTCAATAATCATTTTTATTAAATTAAGAATTCGACCTTGAAGAATTTGGATTATGTAATATTGTTATTAAGAGGCAATACGCTTTTGACATAATATTAAAGAAGTAGTTGATCATCCGTTTATCATGAATAATTAAATTATATAAAATATTTCAATTATGAAAGTTTCTTCTCTTCCTTTTCATTCTTCTCATAACAATCCTAACCCATTTAGGTTTTGAGTTGATCGTTTATTGTACAATATACTTCAAACCTAATGAAAAATGTTCAATGATAAATAGTAGAATGAGAATATTTTCCCAATCACAACCTGTTTTCTAACAAGTGTCAAATACATTGAAATAAGCAAAGGCAATAAATGCTGTATTAGTGTATATTGATAACACTGATAATGTCATCAAAACAGTTCTCCATTCGCCAATGCTATGTGCTTTCTTTGGTAAATTTCTTTAGTATAATTTATTCCTAGGTATAATTAATAAATTTATACGCTAGTTTGAATTTATCACTCCATATTTCAATAAAGTTGAAAATATAAGTGAGAGCAGCAGCCAGAGGAAAAATAGCTGCGAAGAGTACGATGTATCCATATTGAAATATGACTTCAATGTAATCATCAAAATCATCATATTCCCACAATTCTAGTTCAGCCTATAATAATTAATAATTAAGATTTACAATTCTATCTACAATTTTTTCATTGATGTCTTCCTTCTTTTACAGATTCAATCTATACTATTCCTTTTATTTTTCATACTGCTACTTCATTAACATGGGCAGGAGAGATTCTAATAGAACTCTTCTTATTTGATCCATTACAAACAACTTAATCAAGAGACTCCTTAGAGTGGGGATATCGAATTCAACGAAGGCTATGTAAAATAAGTGAAAGAATCTATTGATTAATTCAAATATGAATCGTTTAAGAATCAAAGAGTTATAGAACCTCAAGTTGGTTCTATGATTTTCTCGTTTGGTTGAATTAATGCAAACCTTAGTATACAGAGTGTTGATATAGAAGATTAACAAGATGGTGAAAATATCTAATATGTTGGTAGTGTATTTGTAATATAAGAGGCCTCCTTCTTGATTGAGCTTAGCAGCCACTCTGATATAAAAGATACTATCTTCATTCCGTATGAGTCCATTGATATTGAATACCACAATCTTAATCAACCCAGCAATAATGAGTATTGGAATGGCTTCGAATAATGATATCATATAATAGAATATCCTACTACTTGTCGGATAACTATTCTTGACCAATCCCGTGATGTAATTCATTTTCGGAGTGCCTTTATATTCTGGATTCAGATCCAATCTTTTGATGTGTTATTAACCAAAAACACCCCATTCGATACTTAATTCATTCTCCTTTCTACGCCAAGCAATGATGAAGAATGTCGACCATACCATGGTTAGTACTGCATAAAAACTAGCCACGTTTGTGATTTTGAAGAGACTACTTTGATGATCGATTACTAAAGTGATAATTGCTGCAACTGCCAAATACTTAAGCATAGATTAATAGAAGTTCATGAACTCGAAGTAAACTGCCAAGTTGCCTCCAAAATATCTCTCTATGTCTGATACTGTATTGAGTGATACTATTTCATCGTGAATGGGAGTTACTTGTAATAAATATTCTTCCGTTTTTAGGAAATGAATCATATCCAAATCTCCTATTTTAATAGTGTGTAAGTAATTGTAAATTATAAGCAAAGTCTCTGAAGGACTAAATATTTTTATGACTTCTGCGTCATCATTGTGTAAACAGAAATCACTTTTTAAGTCATATTTAAATTTTTAATAATTTTCAAACTCCACTATCCTCTTATCTATCTAATTTAAGGTGATGATTAATCTCTCATCTAACACTTTCTTTACATTTATCTTCTCAGCTATCTTTCTATATACTTCGTGCATTTAAGTATGTGAACGGTCAATTACTAACTATTTAATGTTTTTGTACGTACTTTGTACAGCTGCATTTACTCCGCCTATTCCAATATGATCTTCGGATCCCAAATACAAATGAATAGTAGTATCTTGTCATTTTGCAGATTCCTAGTCTTATAAGATTAAAATCCATGATTGAACAATATGTTAACAATCTATTCGAGTTATTCTTGAGTCGTGTTTTTTGAGAATTGCATCACAAACTGAAACTTCACATCCTAATAGGATTACTCCAATGATTATTTAGTGGGCAAACTGAAACTTTTATTATTCGTTATAGTGTGTTGTCTGGCTAGTTAATGCAAAACTTATTTCATCAATTAAATTAATTATAAGCACTAATAACAAAAATGAATTAATTGGATGAGGTAGTCAAGTTCGCCCTCTATTAATGTAGAGCTAGAAACAATCCCATTACTGAAACTCTTGCATCCTATGTTGCATAGACCATTCTCAACAAAAGTATATTTTCAAATTATCCCTCAAAAGGAACAAATAAATTTTACCTTGAAGAAAAACTCAATGAAAGCGAATTGAACGAATTGAAAAATGAAACACTTAACAAACTCAGCAATTAAAATGCCCCAGATCTAAAAACTATCCAATTACAAATATGTAACAATCCTTCATAATAATCAAGAATATGATAGTGCCTATGTCGAAATGGAATTGCAAAGACAAGAAAAAATCAAAAAGCAATCCAACGAGACTGGAAAATACATTGATGATGTCGTGACTTTGGAAATCAAAAATGCCAAAGATTTTGAAGGCTTGACCACCCTATATACTAAAATGTTTCATTATTTGATATACAAGAACAAAGAATTGATTGAAGATCCCATTAATTTTGATGCCCAAGCTCAATTCAACATGGACAAAGGTATTCCTCATTTTATCACCATTCCCATTAGAAGTTGGAGCCGCTCTGGAAAGTGTTATCCCAAGAGCCGCCCTAGGACCCTTTGTCTCATTGAATCCCTCAGAAAAAGTAACCCAACTCGTCGAATTGGCTAACCTAGTCATTGGCATTAGATTGTTCAATAAGAAAATTGGAAAGGGAGGAGTTTCATTGAGTTCCTTAGAAGATCTTACAAAATACAACGCTAGAGAATTATCCGAATAAATTAAACAAATTGCTCTGGAAACAATAGAATAATGTGAAATCTACACTACATTCTTCATCAATTAAGACAAATTTCAAATGAATAATGAAGACATTGAGAAATATAAAGATGAATTGGCCTTCCTCAGATAATATTTATCTTACATCCTGTCGTTGCAAGAGGATATCGAGTAAAGCGAAGCCATGATTGAGTAAAATAGAATTAGATTCATTAAGGAAATGGAAGACCTAAAGAAATTATTGGAACATAAATCCTCTGCTCCCAAAGAATAAGTCTATCCTAAATTTGCATTGCTTGCTCAAAGCCATATCGGTCTATTTGAAGACAAGCAAATATCAATTGAGAGGGTGGAACTCTTTCGGTTGTTGGTTGATTTAAGGAAAATGATGAAACTCTCTATGCCCTTAGCAATCTAAAAACAATGTAAATAAATGGAATCAACCTAACCGGATAATTTAGCTTTAATTAACTATCAACCAGAATCAGGAGTATAAAGACTATTACCTTAAAATACTCCTGATTTTATGCAAACACAACTAGATTATTTCGGTTTCTGTATATGGTCTGTTGTAAAAAAGAATGGGTTATTAATCCCTGGAAAGCCATCTTTGGGTGTGTTCAGATACAGAGACAAGAATTGTGTTTTTAGCAATGAGATAGCTATCAATGAATTCTTGTCAGAACCACAAAGATATTTAACAGGAGTGATTGATATATGTAGACAGAAACCTCATCTCATCAGATTGTTTAGAGTGGAAGAGAATTTCAAGAATCTCAATCTGAAACTAACATTCGAGAGTGGAAGTTTATTATCTAATAAATTGATGGTTGACAAGGATGTGTAAACACCTGTTCATTTTATAGAAAAGAATCTTGACCCAAATTACTGTTGGAATGAATGGGAATTGAGAAGAAAAGTATTTATCTTAACCAATACTAGGCTATATAAATGGCAAATATCAGAAAAAGATAGACCAAAGCATCCTAAACTATATTAAGTAATTTCAAAGTCGATAGTGAAGTATTTCTATTCATTTTATATTAATAGGCACAAGTATACGAAATGAAGGATCAATCAACTTCAACAGGTTAAAATAAAGGATTAAACCCATTAAGACCAAGAAATTATATAGTTGGTCTAAGAGATAAAACATATAACCAGCAATGAAATTAATGTATATTTTCAGAAATATTTAATCATATTGGATTTTGTAATCTATAAAATTTTAATTAATTTTTTATTTTATGCAGCATACGGAATAATCAGAAATGACTCCTGTAATGCATATGATGGATATGAGGATGTATATGATTATAAATTGGGATTATAAGGTTCGATTTGTATTTAATACGTAAATGTTAATACATTACTTTTAGGTGGAAATCGACTACAGAAGGGGAATTTGTGGCTGGACTGTTTATTACGATGTTTTTCTGTGTCTTCCTATGCTTACTTCCAGTTCTCAAAGGGTTTGCAGATAGATAGAAGTATGCATTCACATAATTAGATCTTTATTTTTGAAGATTGCATGGTAATTACTAGCTGCAACACAATCATCAATAACGATGTTTCTATTAATGACAGTGAATGGTAATTATTAATGAAACAATAAAAGGTTGGGTGTTTTTGATGATGGCCTTAGGTTTCGGAATAGGAAATTTTATATTCTATCCTAAAATGCCCATAAGTGAAAAGCATAAACTAGAAGATGAAAAGCAGGAATTAATAAGAGAAAATTGATTTATTAAGTACAAATTTAAACCTATTAATCCTAAACAACTACTTCTGTTCTTTGATTAATTGCTATTAATGAAATAATTTAATTCAAGAGGAATGCCATTGAATATATGTCCACCAATTCGGTGATTCTACTTTAATGCTTATTTTAAATTCAATGGGAGAATCAGAAATATAAATACAGGAATTTTTCTTAATAATAAAAGTTCAAATTAATTCATTATAAATTATAGTTTTATTTAAGTTAATAAAAAATATAATTAAAATCAAATAAATTATTCTCTTTAAAAATAGCCTAAATTTTAGGCAATTCTAACCTAAAATTAGATTATAGTTCAATTATTCATCTATTGTTAAGATATTATAATCTATTCTGCATTAAAACTTAATATCTTTAGGAAATTGAAATTCTGGTAAAATGGGATTGAGAAATAATTTAGGGGGAAGAATAATCTAAAAATGAAGAGATTAATTTAATATTTAAAAGTATTTCATGACTAAATATTAAATTAATTGAAATTCAAAAAGCAAATGATGAAACCCAGCAATCAATTTGATTTGTGTAAGAAAAAGAAGATAGGAACAATAATTTATTACTTTAATTGATTGGTAGAATTAATAATATAATATTATTTTGGATACAGTTAATAATTAAGGATAACAAATGAAAAGGAGTATTTTGAATTTGCAGTGGCAATGAAAAAAAAAGAATTAATATTCACTTAATTTTTGCATAGAGTTCTCTGGGAGCTAGTGTCAATTTTGGAGGCTCTCTATTTATATTAAATTTTTCTGCATATTTATTGATAAGATCCTGATCAGGATTCCCAAAGCGATTGATCACATCCTCTTTCATGCGACCGTATTTGAGTTCTATTCTGGTTTTTCTGAGTTCATCCTCGTTTTGAAAGAATTCATTTGATGTAATGTGAGGCTAGCAAAATAATCAATGATTCTACTTACTCTATTAATTTTACGTTGATTAAAGTCTTTGCTCGTAGTTAGGTTTTAAGCAGGCGATCGTTCTAGTAGTTTTTTATTGTTTATTTTCTTATCTGTTTTAATACGAAAATTGGTATTTTAAAGAGGAGGAGCACGTGGCTATCCAACTTAGTGATTGTCCCATTCATCTTCGTTGATTTCCAGTACTCTAAAGTTGCTTCCCCTGAAGTATTGTTATAAAGTAATCCCATTGATTCTTGGAGCTTGACTTGATTCTTGTCTTTGATGACTTTGTGATACTAATCTACGCTTTTCCATTCGTGAGCATTTAGATGTTTCAGGACGCATACCTAATTCTTCCATTTTATTTATTATTAATATTATATAATAAATCAGGGCAAGATCACCTCATCCAAGTCATCGAATATTTTATCAAATTTTTGCTATTTGTATGTGTATTCAAATAACAAGAGTTTATGAGTATTTACATTTTCACAAGGATCACAGAAACCAAACAGACAAGATTTGGAATACTTGGGTAAATGCAACTTAGAATTCTTCACATTGAATTGGCATGGCAATGTTACATCAATGATTTCTAACTAAAATAATAGTACTCATGTGTTACATCATTTTGCAAGTGATACTTTTGTTTATTTTGTTGTTGATTCAACAATTGAATATGTTCTGCATTACCATAATAAGCAAACAGAATCAGTAATCCATTGTTTTCTTTTTCATATCTAAAATTCTATTTAGTTTTGTGTTCTAATAAATTTAATTGATTTCTTGATTGATCAATTCTTTGTTATTTGCTAAGAGGCAGGACTTTAGGTTGTTAAAAACATTTTAGAATGGAACATGCAATCATAAATCCAAATGCTGCTATCGTATACATCCCCATAAGATCTTCGCAATCAAAACTATAAACAGGTAATTAAATCGCAAGCCCAAATTTCTATATACTAATTTGATAATGAGTTTTAAATGATACAAAAGTGCAAATGAACTAGACAAATCCTTGAAATTCATTTTCAGACCTACTTTCCAATCAAAAACATTAAGCATCACTCCCAATGAAACAGTGTTATTTTATTCCTTTTTTGAAATCTCCTTGTATGCAAACAGCTCAAAGTCCTTTAACTTGGCCTTCACACCAAAAGTAACTTTTCTTGATTTAAATAAATAAATACGAGAAAGTTCTCAAATCGGTCTTGACATATGGTTTGATAACATCACCAAATTGTAATGCTAGTTTCAGTTTCTCTTTATTGATAGTCAGAGTGGATTCTTTTAAATTAAAAATAAACTTTTATTATGTTTGATATTTTGAATCAAGATTGTAACAATAGGTAAGTGATGAGAAATCGTTAATGTATTTATAGACCGAGAAATCCAAATTCGAGTCTTTGACTTTCCTATTCAATCGAATTCCCAAATGTAATTATGGGATCAAAGTGTAAATATATTAGAAACTGCAGCAATATTATAATCTTTATTTATTTTCTTTCCAAATTCTTATTTGATTTCCTATTCCTACATGATGTTTGAGATTATGAAATATTGTAGTGTAATTTATAAATTGTGATTGATATTCTCTCTTTTTGAATCTACAAATAATTGGAAATGTTTTCATTCTATTTTCAAAATAATCCTGATAGAAGATCTTCTTGGCTTAGTCTTCTTACTCTTGGAAACGATTTGGCTGAGCAGCAATAATCATTTAATAAATTATAATTGTGATAATAATAAACTAGTCAATATTATTGAAATGTGCTTAATCCCTTGAGATGCTAAGGTCTATGCTAAACGACATCTAATTAAATGTTCTCTCCAATGTCATCCATACTGTTTTCAGTAGACTAATTGTAAAATTTCTTCTCCATCACTCCTCTTTCATAAGTTTATTCATATTGCAAATCCTAGAAATTCAGAGGCTCCAAATTTTCTTTGTTGATATCACTCACTGCCTTATGATGCTAAAATAGAATATTTAAGATATCTTACTTTACGATCAGACTAGGATTGTTAAGCAATAGAAATGTTTGGCTATTGTCTATTTGGAACCTTGATACTTTTCTTGAATGCAAATTGATTCAGAACCTTTATTCTGACTGAAAAACTCAAAAATTCTTCAATCTATCTTGTACTGACTCTTAATTTGAGATCGATTTCATCATTGTAATTTTCCAATACTGTCCTAGCTCTTTGAAATTCCGAAAAAATCTCATATAATGATAAGCAATCCAAATTTGGTATTGTAGCATATTGATCAATCAATTATTCGATCTCTTACCTGACGAATACCTGGAATCGAAGTAAATCCTGATATACTAAATCCTAATAGATCTTATATTTAATATTCTTGCATTCCAACAATTTCAAACCCATTAACATCACATTCTATATCTTATAGATCCAAATATATCTCAATTTGACATCCTCCGGTTCCTCAAATGGATATTGTAAATCCTTACAAGATTGATAGACCAATTAATTAACTGATAATTTCTAGAGGAACGAGTAGTAAATAATACAAAAAATCTTAGCCTTTAACTGACTTGAAACTAATTAGGCTTCTGTTTTTTAAACAGGGTTCTTAAGTTGCTCGTTCATTTCTATTCTTGTTCTCCTCTTCTCTTTCACTTACTCAGTCTTTCCCTGAAATTAGGAGGGCTAAGTAATGGGAGATTATTGGGGAAAGAAACTAGATGTACTGGCTTCACATATCATTCTTTCGATAAGAATGAAGCTTTCCTTGTTCTCGGTCATTAATTTATCTAACCAATAAATTGGAGGTCCTCTCAACTATCCACACACTGAATCATCAGAAATATTGGCATGAATTACGAATAATAAATTCAATAGATGCTCTGCCTTGGGTTAGTAATTCTCCACATTTTCTTTTGATCTTAAGAGATTGAAAACAACTGCTGGGTATCTCTTCATTAAAGATCCAAAATATTCACAAGCCACATCAAAATCCTTTTGAGACTTGGGTTTCAATAAAATTCCCAATGATTCTAGCATTTCATCCTTCGATTTGAATAACTTTGTAAACTTTTAAAGTAACGACATTTAATTAATAAAATATTATCAGTTATTATCATAACTACTCTCTAATTAAATCTAATATATGCCATCACAATCCATTCATTTTCTATTCACTTAAATTATAACACATATGCTTTAATTGTTGACAACTCAATTTAGATCGCATCATAAAATAGAAATTTGAATTTATTGGATTTTATTTAAATTCTTCTTTTTATTAATAATTTACTCTATTCTGAGTACTAGTGAATTATTATTAAAGATAAACTTATACATAAATATAGTAATTATGAATACATGTTAATAGAGCTTATAAAAATAAAGAAGAGTATGGTTTATAATATACAAAACTACTTTGAAATATTTATTTATTACATCTTATTGATTTATGGGAATAAATATATAGATATATGAACTAAATATCACTTTACTTTTTTCTCTTATTAAGCTTAATTATTGATTAAATTGTGATAGGCGATGATACTTCTCATCAAAGAGGCCAGATATATGGTCAACATATTGTCATTATTTTTGGTAGTGAATGCTTGAACTACGTCTTATGAACCCAAATTTGGCAAGTAATTAAGGATTTCCTAGAGTTATTATGATTAGTACTTGTAGATTGTTGATAATGAGTTAATTAGGTTTGACTTTGCCTTATTAAATGAGAGTTAAGTATTATTGAATTTGAGCAATCTTCTTATTCATTCCTTTGACTCCATTGATCTTTTGTTCTGCCTTGGCTGAAAGTGATTGAGTGTCTACATTATTGATTTCTCTTAAAAGTTATTCAACTCCGATTTCTTCAGGTTCAAATGCTTGTACAGTGGAGGGGATGTGCACAAAGTTTTAAATTATTTCTCCTGATTTAGAGATTTCATCGACTGATGTATAGGCTTCAGTTGGAAGTGATAATGGATCAAATTGATGAACATCGATGATCACAAAAATTGGAGTAGAGGTGTACTTGTAAAATATTTGATTGATTTGAATGTCATTGGGTTTGAATCTTGATCCTGTAGAATACCATCCAACTATCTTCTCATTTATGTTAATCTAGAGCATTATGAAATGATGATCATTACTTTTCTATGTAATTCAAATAGTGTTTCATTGTAAATGTGATCCAAATACCAAATATTCTAATCCTTTGGATCCTCCTCAAATGGAAGAGCATAACTGTTAGTGATATCAATCACACCATCAGCCTTTCTTTCACCTAAGATTCAAATTGGATTATGTACCCAACAATGCACCGACCACTCTGGGTTGTTGCGTTTTGGAAATGATACGATTATAGTGATCTACTACTGAGATCAACACAAGGGGATGGATAATTACAAGAGGTGGCTTATTCGCGATTGACATTTTTAATTAATTATTTAATTGTCGAACACCAGTATAATCATTTTAATACTTTCATCATTTCTTTAATTACTAAATAAAACTACAATCATCAATTGCTGCATAACTTCCTCCTCTTATAAAATAATTGTAATTTTTATTAAATGTCTTCACAATACCCCAATTACTTGGACTATGAAGATGACTACGAAAGACACTATCAGAAACTCACCAAAGGGCCCTTCTTAGACGAAATCTCCATGGATGAAGCAGAGTCTTACTTCTATGTATTAACATCAATAATATATCATAGTACAACATCATCACCACCAATCTTATCAATTACACCTTCAAGTACATCCAAAGCTAAATCCATAAGAACATCACTCTTGAAACCTACATAGTTTAGCACCCCACCCAATTCGAAGAAATTAGAACCAGAATTCCACAATTTGCTATTGTTATTACTTTTAAGGGAATGAAATACGGAGGGATGCTTTGGGATACTTTGAATGAATAGATATTCCTTATCAATGGAAATTCTTAACTTGAAGATGCTTTTACAGATTAACAGATATATCACATTAAATCCTATTCGAAAGATCTTCTCTCTGTTATTGCTGCAGTATTCATTCGAATCTTAAACAATAAGAGTAAAGATTTATCGAAGATTGATTCAATCTTTCAAGAATGCATAGATCACGCTCTCATCAAATGGGTTTTACTAAAATAATATCGAATCAAATAGATGAAATAAAAGGGCGAGTCATATTCAAGAATTTTAGATGACAATTTCTTAAAGGAAATTAATTCATCATAAAGTCATTCAAATTTAAAGTCGAAAAAGTAAACATACTTATTACCTTTGACCTAAATGAATAATCAATCCAAATCCTTCTCTGAATTGGCTTAAGCAGACAATCAACCTGAAAATAAAAGGAGACAACCTACATCCCAATCAAGACACAGATCTTTACTCAAAATTGATAACCAACCTAATTTAGGTTAAGTATAAAAATAAGAATTAGTATAAAATTAGGAGCATGGATAAAAATAAGCATATGGATAACAATAGGGATACTAATAAAAATAATAAGACTTAATGTAAAAATAGGAATATCAATAAAAATTAGAATAAGTATAGACATAAAAATAGGAACAAGAATAAAAATAATAAAATTATAAATAAAATTAGACACTTTCACTTAATAAAACTCCCAAGTCTTATAAAATTAATATACAAGAACCCTCAAATGATAATATTGATCTTATTAAAGAGTCCATTTCAGTAAAAGACTTTCTTGATGGTATGAATAATTTAAAACAGCACATTGTCAATAAAGATCCTAAGGATTAAAATATTGCAACAACCTATCCCTATTACAGTCCTGAATAAGTACTCAAATTAAAGTTTGATGATTTAGAAGGTATGTTATAGGATCAAGTAAAAGGGAAGAAAAACAGTATGAATTACGCGAAGCCAATCGAGAAGCTACTGCATCTCTTAAAATATTATTCAAAATACAACCCCTATCAATATGAAATCATCGTCAATCAATATTCTGATTTCATTCAAGATAAAGTATTACCTACCATTATTTAAGCTGTTAGAGAACATGGGCTTGCCAAGAGCTGTATAGAATACTCACAAAACATTTTAGTCTTCTCCCATCCCAACCTCTAAATCTATAGGGAGAGACTAGAAAATGGATCAAGATCCAGTTATTGATCTGAAGAACAATTAAAAGATCTATTTGACGGAGTATAATCAGCTGAAAGACTCCTTAATTCTATCTTAGAACTTAATGGATATTTATTTCAAGTATTTGTAGGAAACATTTTAGAGAGTTCTAATACTGCCTTTAGAATTTTATTAGATTTTGAGCTAGAATGTGGTCAAGTAAAGAAACATCAATAAATAGTTAGGGCAAGAAGTTTTACGGATCGATATTAAGGGAGAAACAACACAATATTTGATTTATTTGATTAGATTTTCATTCCAATCTAGTTAACTAAGAATGAGTATGTGTGTGTGTACATAGATTTTAATTATAAAATAATGTATTACATTAACACTTTAGAGAGAAATGAGAGTAGAGCATTAATTTATAATTTTTAGGGAAGTTTCCATTGCGCGTAGAAATATTAGATATGCCCATAATGTAATTTATTGTAAAATTTATAAAAAATGAATACAATGTTAAGGTCATGAAATCGTTTAATATTTTAAATTGGAGTATTTTTAGTATTGATAACATTTGAAAGAATTTGTGGAATTTCAGAACGAATATGCTCAAGATATCACTCATAGCGGTTTAGTGCTGGTGTACATTATTGATTCGATTTGCAATCATGAAAATGTATTGGGAAACATGTAAAGATTGAAAATGTTCATGAGTAAAATTTTGGTTGTAATAAAAAAATTACGAATCGAAAGATGATGTTCATTATATGATGAATTTTATTTAATTAATACTGATTATTAGTACATTTTTATAAATTTATATATAAAAAGTTGAATAAAAATAATAATATTTATGAATCCAGATATGCCTGTCCATGTGCAAAGTAAATCTGAAATTCCATATTGTTTCGTAGATCTCAAATATGAAGACTTTGACATCATAAAGCCTTTAGGAAAAGGAGCCTATAGTGAAGTAGTGTTGGCTAAGAACAAACTCACTGGACATGAATCAGCCCTTAAAATTGTGGACAAGAATTTCCTCCTTAAAGTAAGCATTTCCCATTAATAATGTAGGAGAAAAAGATGCATCATGCATGCATTGAGAGAGAAGTGCTGGGTAATTTGAGACACAAAGGAATCATTAAATTATTCAATGCATTTGAAGAACACGATAAATTATATTACTCACTTGAAGTGTTAACTGATGGTAATTTGTTAGAATACATGAACAGTAATTCATATTTGTAATGCTTAGGGCATGTTTTGAATGATTCAATAATAAAATTCTATGCAGCTGAATTGTTGCTAATTCTTGAATATTTGCACCAGAATGGGTTGGTCCATCGAGATGTCAAGCCAGAGAATATTCTATTGACCAAGGATAAACATTTAAAACTTATTGATTTTGGAACAGTATTTGTTTATGATCATACTAAAATTGACATCGGAAATAAACTAGAGGATATAAGAATTTAATATCAAAAGCAAAGGTCTCCCTCTTTAAATGATTTTGAGAAACCTGCAATTAGGTATTGCAGAGATTCTAGTTTTGTGGGCACATCCGAATACTTGTGTCCTGAACTAGTTGATTACAATGTAATTGGTCCATAAGCTGATTTATGGGCTTTAGGATGTTTCATTTATCAATTATATACAAATAAAACTCCATTCTATTCAGAAAATGAATTTGAATTGTTTAATAACATAAGCCAATGTTCATGGTCACAAGAATAAAGCATACCGAATGATGCTTTGGATCTCATCAAGATTTTACTCGATAAGGATCCTTCAAAAAGATTTCATGGAGAGTTTGATGGTATTTAAATAATAATATCATTGCTAGATTGCCAGTATAATTATGATAGTCTCAAGCAACATCAATTTTTTAGAGGAATTAATTTTAAATAGATGTGGTTGTAAGATGTCCCTTTTATAAATACAGCCACCACATATAAAAGAAAGGTGAGTAGAATTCAAACTACCTTTGTTGAAAACAATTTAACCTCTCGGGATAAATTTGATGTTAGAGGAATTTCTGTGACAAAACACAAGGCAGATTCTATAGTAATATAAGGGCAATTAGATAAGGAACATGGAGTTCTATTTATGACTCAGTTCTCTCTTAGACATGCAAGTATTGTATGCTAAGATGGGAAGGCAAGTTTTATCTATATTAATCCTTAATTAAACAATAAAAAGGTATTATTTTGAAGTTAATTATTAGACAATAATACCCTTAAATTAGTTTACTTCATGCAAGTTGTTAGGGAAAGGGAAATTCATTGTTGGTGATAGAAATAAAAAGAAATACATTTTCAAGTAGAGAGAAAATAACGTACCAGCTCAACAATGGGTTAACTTAATTAACAAATATATCAAATCCAATCATTATTGATTGGAATTTATTTATTACATAACAAATATACATTAGAAATGTTTTAACATTAATCACAATTAAATTTTATTTTTATATATATACTAATATCGATCATAATGATGCATCTAATGTGAATCCAATTGGGACTGGTAAGAAACCTTATTTGGCTGGTAATGATCCGTCGAGTGGTACTTCAGTTGATAGAGTCCAATTGAATCTACACATACACTATGATTTTGTACCTGTCATTAAGTTTTCCTTTTCCACTCAAACCAAGTTTCTTTTATGTCAAATTTATTCTTGCTTTGACATCAACTTTTTCTACTTTTGTGGCGACTCCAGCCAAAGCATTCAATTAAGATTTAGCTAAGTTGTATTCTGCCTCTAATCCGAAAGTGTTTTTATTTTTTCTGTAAACAAGATCAAAAATTAGTTTTCCTTGTAGTAATTAATTCACTTTTTTGGGATTGTGTGGATCTTAAGTCAAGTGTCTGAAAAAGACATCATAATTCTATGAAAGACGTCCAATAAGGAAGTCGAATCTTCTCACTGCAAATTCATTTGAGACTTGAACATCTTCTGCAAATACTGAGACCCAATTGTTATTCCTCCAAAGGGTTCTGCTGAAAGCATTCACGACACTGTTTGGATTGTATTCGAAACCTAATTTATTTATGAATATCTACGTATGTGATTAGTCAATTATTTGAATTAAGCAACACCACCAAATCTGAGTACTGCTTATCCCAAGTGAGAGCTGCCTAATTTGGCATTGGCAAATAGATTAAGACTTCCATTGCTTCCAACTTTGGCTACTTCTCCAAAGTCTATGTGGACTTTAGCTCCATCTTCTCTTGTGGCAATTTGGAAGAAATATCTTATGTTATTTTCATAAACTCTTACTTCTAGTATGGGAATTGGAATTTAGTCTCTTGCTTAGATTATTATTTGCTAAGATCTAACCATCCCTTGTAGTTGGCAGTCCCCAAATTTTTTGTGTTTCCCTTAAATTTGAGGTTCAACTTTCCAGTTGAATAGTCATCCTCCAAGACCTTCTTGTAAGAATGATCTCCTAAGCCAGTAAGAGGAGCTGGGTTTAATGATTCTGGGGTAGCCATTCTAAAATATCTTTTATTATTTTTATTTATCAATTAATTTCACACGATTTAGCTAAATTACTTCACTTGCAATAACTTTCCATTAATTCTTATTTTAAACTCACCCTAACATTATTTCAACTCTCCTTTTGTTCATTAACCACTACAAGCCTATTCAATTGTCACAAACAAAAACCTTTAATTCTCATCCTAACAGGTTTTTCTTGGATTTTTGTGACTAATCAAAGGATGGGAGTGCGCCAATAATTAGAGCATACCATTACCTAGATATAAAATTATTATTGTTTATTTTCCCATTATAAAAACAATGACAAATTTATAATATAAGGTGATTTTTCATTTATCCGATCTATTTACAGCCATGTGTTAATTCTAATATTAAGAGCATTTCTTAAATGATGATCTGAATACATAAATGTCGGAAATGGAATGTAAATTAAATATTGTGTGGGCAGAAATAATGATTATAGAGATTAATAATAATTTTTGAAATATCAAAATTTATCTTGTAACAGATTGATGAATTCCTCTTCTGAAATCTTACCGTCGTTATCCTGATCACATTCAGCTAAAAATTGCTTCCATATATCGTCATCCACTCCTTCCATGACATGTGATAATTCTTCTTTAGAGATATAATTATCACCATCCTAGAATAATGTGTACTCATTACAATATCAAATATTTTAAAGGTTTGCTTAATTTTTTCGATCGTAAGCAATTTCTCGTATTTTAAGCATGCCATAATAAATTCAGTATAATCGATGTATCCAGATAAATTCACATCTATTTCGGTTACAATTTTAGAGATCTTCGTCTCGATATTTTCAATCAGTCTATCCTTACTCTACACCTTCTATTGAAATGCTGCTACCAATTCTTCCTTGGATAATTTTCCATCATTATTCTTATCCATTTATTTGAACAACTCTTAAATTTGTTCGACTTCTTTGGGCTAAATCATTTGACTAGCCATAAAAGTAAGCAAGGCTTATTTAAGTTTACTCTTAGCACTAAATTCAGTAAGATTCTTTAAGAAATTGTCATCAACCAAATTTTGTTCTTATCCCTATTACATCCAAGGGTCATCCAACACCTATTAGGCAGAATACCTCTTCCCTACATCCTAACATAACATATTGGTAATTAAGTTTTTTGCTTCCTTGGATATCTTATTCCACTCAGCAGTGTGAAATGGTATTTTGCCCTTCAGGATTCTGTCAAAGATTTCAGTTTCATTTCGACCATAAAATGGAGGATATCCTGCCAATAGAATGTAGAGAATGACACCACAAGACCACACATCACATTTTTCATTGTATTTCTTCTACAAGACCTCAGGTGCAATATAGTATGGCTAATGAATAGGGTATGTAGATTACAGTTCCTAATCTTTTTGACATATTTTAGTTTTTATCAAATTTGCGTGATGTCCCAAAATCAATGACTTTCAAGGTGGAGTATTGATCTTCAGATGCAAAAATGATATTTTCTGGTTTGAGATCTCTATGCACTATATTGTTTGAATGACAATAAGCAACTGCAGAGATAACTTGTTTCATGTATCGAACAGCATCTGCCTCACTGAAGCTCTTGGCCTTCTGAATGCGATCAAAGAGTTCGCCTCCTCTTAAATACCTACCATATTAATACTCAGTTACTCTGTTATTAAATAATAAAACTTCTCATCTTCAAATAACTCGAACAGGTTGACGATATGCGGATGATTAAGATTTTTCAAAATTGTCATTTCCGAAAATAGCTTAGCTTATTCTTCTTCAAACAGACAATCCTTTCTTATGGCCTTCATAGCTCTTTGCATCCCAGTCACTCTATGCGTGACAATCGAAACCTATCCATAAGCACCTAATTTAGATATCAATAAAATCCTAACCTTCTCCCAATAACTTCCCTACTGAATATGTACTATAGATGGTCTCTCTTTTCATTTGTATGAATAATGAGGGCTACACTGACAATGTTGGATAAGCTATACTAAATCCATTACACTTACAAATGATATGTTTCAGAGTCTCCTCAACATTATTAGGCTCCTATTCAGATGGCTATCCTGGATTCTAAGGTCGACTCTCTAGTTACTTCTCTGTCATATTCATAACATCTACAAATACCTGTATCAATTGTCTGATTATTGCAGCATGTATTCCCCATGTATTATTTAATTTAATATGTACAGGAATCTATTCATTCAGACACCTTTGATCTAATCCCCTCCTTCCATGTTTGTACCCTACCATTCTCCCAACAGAACCTTCTCTCCTGCCACCTCCTGTCTGCACACTCAAGGCTCTCCCAATTCGCCACTCTTGTATGATCGATATTCGTCTCAACACCGACCGGACTCTAATGTTTATTGTAAGCCCATAAATTTTATCGTCCTAGTTAAATCCAACGAACCTGCTCATAGTTCTTGCTTCCCTGAACAATCCAACATAGTTCGACAAAGGAGTCATTTTTCGAAAGCAAACCAAAGTCCTAAGAAAGCACAAGACATCTCACACAAAATCGACTATCTTGATGGCTCAACGTACTATGGCGAAACCAAGAATTAAATGAGACATGGCAAAGGTACACTCTACAGTTCTGAAAACCATTTAATTTATATCGGAGAATGGAAAGAAGATAAGTATCATGGCTTAGGAATTTTGAACAAAGGGAATATCAGATACAAAGGTTATTTCGAAGATGGCTTGGTAAGTGGAGAAGCCATTGAAGAAACCAAAACTTTTAAATTCTATGGTTTCTTTAAAAAAGGCAAGCGAAATGGTCCAGGTTCTCTACTAAGTAGAAATCATCTCACACAAGGCATTTGGAAGGATAACCTCCTTTAAGAACTGTGTTGAACTCTATCTTAAAATAAACCAGATCTTCTGTGATTTATATAAATTAAATATATGAAACATAATTGAATGTCCTTCCATATTAGCTTCAAATCAACTGAATAACTCAACCTAATAAACTTTCAAATTTTACAAGGTTTGAATATCGATAGACGCAATTTAAAATCAAAGGGCATTTTCTATTTATAATTATTCAGTAAAGTTATAAAGATTACTAAATTAAATATAACATTTTATTTGTGGGTTAATGATGACACTTAGGATATATTCAGTAGTCTTCTAAAATTAGCAAAAATATCTTAATCCATAATTTGTTAAAGCAATTTCAGTAAAATCTTAATTTTAGAGATAAGTATTTCTGAAATAAATCTTGAACTTATCATATTATTATTTATATAATAAGAAATATCTCAGAAGATATAGTACATGTGAATTTACAAGAAATAATGGATTCAAAAGTAAATATATTAAATTTAGAGATTCTTTCAAAATAGATATAAATCAAACATCATTATAGAGTAATGTATTATGTTATATGATTTTAATAGATCATTCTCCTTTTTCATCTTGTTTTTATAATTGTTATTTTTCCTATTGAACTTCTTTAGCTTTTTCAACGTAATCTTCAAGATCAGAATATGCTTCTATCCAATCTATTAATAAACAAAAGAATGCCTAGGCAATGTCAGGTGTTCTAATGTATGATACTTGGTTCTAAAACTTATGGTACTCTTTTTTCTATAAATATCATTTTGTTTTCATTACCAAATAACTGTTCATTTAAGATAAAACTTCCTTCTTTAGATCAGTATCATTCTACTTGTCGATTTTGCAATACTCCTATTATTTTTTGCGTTAATCGTCATGTTGTGCTTCATTTTGATCCAGGGACATCAAATCTAATTTTCCTTCTGTGTTGACCTCTTGAGATTTCAAGGATTAGTAATTTTTAAAGAAATATGCTGTAATAATGCTAATTATCGATATGTCTTAATAAGCATTCTTTTTCAGATGTCTACTTAGCCATCCCATAAAGATGGCTGTTACATTGACGACATTCAATTGGCCATCAAGTTAGTGAAACATTCCTTTGAGATTAGAAAAGGTGAATTCTTCCAATTCGTTTGTTAATGTAAGAGGATCTTTGAAATCCCAAATTGCTTCCTGATCAAGCACTTTTTTATTCAATTCTTCCAATTCCTTCAACACTTGGTTATAAATGTTTAAATAATTTGTTCCTTAAAACAGATCATCATTTAATGATTTAATTGGGTCGATTGGTTATTTTAAGTAATGTCTAATGCAATTGTTAGACGAGTCCTCCTCTTCATTGCTTTGCCCTAATTTGCCCAAAAATTCAAAGATCTGATCCTCCTTCTCATGCTATTTTTGCTCATCCATATTAGTCTATTATTTCACATACAATTTACTCTGGGTTTTGTTTTATCACGCTTGATTTCTTCCAAAGGTCTTGGGGTGCTGTATTACTTCGGCCATTTGGAATCATGTTTAGTTTTGCAATGAGTGTAGAATGCTGGATATGAAAGGTAGGATTTGCAACACTCTAAGCATTTCCATTCTCCATCTTCTTTATCGTTTTGTTTCCTTTTTTACTTTTTCTCACTCATTAATTAAAATATTTATGATCATTAAATCTTGGTTAGACACTTAATCAATATTATATATTTTATAAAATATCGCTTTTTTTGTTATTGATTATAGCCCTATCATGAGATCTTTCATTTCTCTTTTTAAATTCAGTCATAATCATCCCCATCAGTTTTGTTCGGATTTATTAAACTATATAGCATCAATAAATTTTTTATTATATATTAATATTAAATAATGAAGGAAATAAACCTGGAGGAGAAAAATGGGCTTATAGGCTGCTTAATTAAGAGGAAAGTGAAGTAAATATGGATGGAACAAAAAATTAGGAAATCAAAATCCTTCCTTTTGAATGATATGGATTTCTGTTATCAAAGAAAACGGAAACTTACTTATTATTATAATAATCATAGGCCCAGCTTGATGACTATCCACAAAAGAATTGCCAAATACATAAAACTAGATAAGCCGAGTTGTCTTTTCCAGTAGAAGATCTATCGATTCTATAAATTCTCCCAAAGACGCAACACAAAATATGAATAATTTGTTATAGACTACAAAGTTTACAATATTAAAAATTAAGAAAGAAATTTAAATGATCTTGATGCTGTAGAAGTTCCTTTTGATCTCTATATGTTTGACTACGATGAGGCACCATTTGAATAACAACAAATTGATGTTGAGGAATACAATGTAGAGAATCAAAGGTTAGCCAGATAGAATAACAAAATAATGAATTCTAATAATCATTGATTATTTATAAAAATCTTACTATAGATATATTAATTTAATCACATATTCAAAAAAGAACAAGTTAGTAATTTTGAATTATATGTCCTCTGTGTATAAGAGACTTGGGATTTAGGATGAATGGTGAAACTTTTTGGAGGAAATTAAAATTTGGATGTTATTTTAATAAAATATAAAAATAAATAATATTTTGATAACATGGGAGGCTTTTGTACAGGTGGTAAAAGGAACAAGCAGAATCCACTGTAAAATATGATGATAAATTAAGTTTGTATTTGTTGAAGGAAAGACCTTTAAGTACATTGTTGGATATGTGGCCATCATCATATTTACAAATGCTTAAACAGAAATATTTGGCCGTGAATCCGATAGATGGTATGGATCATTTCAAATTCAGAACTTTGTTTCCTAAGTTGAAATCATAAAGTAATAAGTTTATAGGATTAGGAAAACTCGTTGCATGTCTTCAAATGTTTTGATTTTGATTAAAATGGCAGAATAGATTTCAGAGAACTCTGTATAATGTTGAGTGTGATCTTTAACTCAGAGGAGGGAGACAGAGCAGAAATTCTGTTGGCCTTTTATGATTTTGATTAGGATGGAAAATTGAGTAAATCCGAGATGGAGTTTTTTATACAAGAAAATAGACAATATCTACAGAAGACTGATTTCGAGGTTTCAGAAATGCAGAAGGGCATGTTTAAAGTTTGGATCGACACAAATTTCAACCTAACAAGGTATTTCGAGATATTTGAACTATTGCCTGGTCCACTTAAGGAGAGAGAAAGAATTAAGGAGATGCTCCAATCAACATCAGCTTCATCCTAGAAATACTATGTGATAAGTTACAAATGGTGGGAACTGTGGAGATTCTATGTAAACTATAACTTCGTTAACAATCCAACAAGAAAGATTGCCCATATTTCCATTGTAGATATAGAGGAAATGGAAGAATAGAAGATAATAGCACCTCAATAAGATGATCAAGGAGTGCAAGGATCTCAATTTGAAGAGAAGAACGAGGACCTTTACCATCCAGGATTGACTTTGAATCATGGATTGCATGAATCTCTCCATGGCTCTTAATTTTATATAATAGAGAACCAAACTTCAATTAGACCAGGTTCAATTGACAATTCGGACATCCAAGGAGAATATGAAGGGGAATTGAAAACCAACATTCTAAATAACCATGATTATTTGATCTTGCCTGAGGCTGCTTGGTTTTCCCTCGTGTAATGGTACGGATGCTACAATAATCTGGCTTACAAGAGACGCTCTTTTCATGATGAACGCACTAAAACTTAGATAGTTGATCTCTACCCTCCAGTTTTGTAAGGGTACATCACAACAAATAAGGGAGAGTTATCGTTTAAGCGTTCATATAAATTCATGGTTAATTTACGAAAATCTATGCATCATGTTATGAATAAATTGGTTAAAAAGTTTAAGATCAAAAATTAATCTGATTATCAGTTGTATTACATGAAGGTAAATGAGTCATGGACTCAGGTAGAAGATATGGATTTGAAATTACTGGACTTATAAATTGTATCCGGCACTTTTGTTACTTTGGTATTGAAAGGCAAGACTCCAAAATCTGTATTTCAATAGGTTGGATGTGGATTGGGACAATTGTACGATGTTCAGCATCCTATTTCAAATGAATGGTTATTGTGTATTGTCAATGGGTTCTCAGAAGATTTAAGTGTCATTAGATTTCACATCCAAAAGGAAAGTTATCAAAGAGACTTTTCTATACCAGCCACTGAAAGATCCATAAGGATATATCCTCCAAATTCAAAATAGAAGCAGGAACCAAACTATTTTCTAATTCCTCATCACATCGGATTGTTGAATTTGGGAAACACCTGTTTCATAAACACAGTTCTGTAATGTCTCATAAATACACCGGTGTTTGATGATTACTTGTATAAGTAGGCATTCAAGTCTGATATTTAAAAGAACTCTAAATTCACTTATTTGATTGAGGAATTGTCTAAAGTAGCCATTAGATTGAAGGATTAAAAAGACAAAGCATTTGCCCCTGAATAATTCAAAAAAGCCATTGATCACAATCTGCCTTCATTTTCAGGCTTTGAACAACACGATGCACAAGAATTTCTTAATATGCTTTTAGACACCATGTCAGATGAACTGAAGAAGAACCTATAGAAGAAATCTGTCGTTTAATCCAATATCAATAACTCCTTCGAGTAGTTCGAAACGGTGGTCAAAGAATTATTTACTGGTAAGACTGTCAATACGTTGATTTGTTAAAATTGCTAATTCAAGAGTTAGAAGTTTGAGGAGTACTATACTTTGAGTTTACCAATTCCTATAAACGATGAAATCCCCATCTTCATTATATTGTTTAAGAAGTGTCAATCATTGTAGAGTGAGATTCCCCCCTTGGATAAGTATGGAATCAAAGTCTCTAAATATGCCATATTGAAGGATTTATTTATCGCAATTGAGAAGGTGACTGGGATATCTCAGTAGAGATTTGAATTGACTGAAATTTATCGAAATTAAATACATAGACAATTTGGGAATCTGAACCCCTCAATCCCTATTAGATAGATCGGTTTAAAGGCTAATCAATTGCTGCATGTATTTGAGATAGCCAAGGTTGTTAAGGATGCGGAGGATGAATTTTAGGAGTTGATGTCCATGTTCACCTATAGAAAAGAGAACTTCCAAACCTCTGATTATGTCGATATTGAAGATAGGTTGGGAGATTGGAGACATGGCTAGATCACTCAAATAATTGATAAGAATCACGAAAAGAATTATAAAGTTTAAATTAAAAAGTAGAACTCATTTCAAAATATTTAAACATTTCACTACTATCAATTGTAACCTTTTAGAAGCAGAGTATAGAATTAAAAAAAGTTCAATCTAGTGACTGTGACAAATCGATATTACAACAAAGCAACTGAACAATATGAGAAATTCTGTTTTCCCTTTTTAATTTTGGTTCCATCCTCTCATCTCACCTTATAGGAGTTTTAGGCATTAATCTACATACAGGCCAAACGATTCATAGATTTTGTAAGCTTTTTAATTTATCCAATAGGGTTATTTGAAGAAGAAGAGTTGTATATAGAAGATGCAAAAAGAGAAAGTGCAATACTACAATGGAGCTCAGGATATATCAAATGATTTACATCATTCCAAAAAATACAATGCATAAAGTGTCTATTTAGGTTAAGCAGAAATGAGGAAGAGTAGTTATAGAAGGACAGAATAAGACTTGGAACCTAATCAAAAGAAAATTAATAGACCAAACTATGAATCAATTTAGGAAGAGCTCAATTTCATTAAATCTAATGATTTCCCTTATAAAATTAAAATTTTAGACTAAAATATGAATTGTATAGCATGTGAAAAAAGTACAACCAATTCGAGTAATAGATACAATATTTGCAATGGCTATTCTTGTGAAATTGATCCTATGTTTTTGCAATTGCCTTAGAATTACTGCATAGTTTTGGATTGGATAGATTCATTGGCTTTTAATTTTTTTTCAACAGTTGTTTCACATCATGAAACTTATTAATAGTTGATTGAGAACAAGAATAATAGAAAAGATAGAGTGACACCAGATCAATGTTTTTCAATCTTGACACAGGAAGAGAAAGTGGAGATAAATTGTGATAAATGTCAATCGAAATAATAAGCAATTGTAAAGTTATCTTTGGGACACACACCTAATATTTTGATATTGCATCTGAAGAGATTTTAATACAGGGATGGTTATTTGGAGAAGATAGAATCAGATATAGATTTCCCCTTGAGATCTTTGAATTTGAAGTAATGGTAGATTGGACAGAATAGTAACAAAATTTATGATTTATATGCAGTAGCTAACCATTTTGGCAATGGTTAATATGGTAAGATTATTTTGTCTATGAGTAGGCCATTATACTTCTTATGTGTTGAAGAATATTGATTAGAAAGATGTTTGGGTGCATTGTGATGACGATCAAATAAAACCATAATCAGCAGAGAAAGTAGTGTCCCAATATACTTATTTATTGTTTTATAGAATAAGAGAAATCCCGACTAGTTCCTTATTAAATTTAACTTATAACCATTGATATATATTTATATTTTTAGCATAATAATTAATAATTGAAGTATCTCTATAATCATGCTTTTATATACTATCTAATTCTTGTAGATTTATAAAGATCTTAAATAGTTTATGAAGCAATTCAAACCCATTATTTGATAATTAATATGAAAATCTTATGCAAGAAAATTAAACTTTCTTATAAAAGATTATTTCTTAATATGATGTACTTATTTCTATTAATTAAAAGACTTGGACTATTTGTAGGGTTTATGCAATGATAATTTTAATTTATATCACATTAATACTCGCAATAAACGCTAAAAAGAAGTTTGATCCAATTTCTGTGAGACCTAGAACTTTCGATAAGCATATTTATTGCATGGGATGCTAGGCGATTATTAGGGAGACCTTGAAAGAAATAAAATAAAGCAGAAGCGAAGTTTTGATTGAAGATGCCTTGAGTAGAGTTTGTGAAAAGGAATTCAAAGGATATGCATATATCAGCAGAACAGTTGAATCTGGATGCACTGTATTTATTGGCGGTTGGAGAGACTAATTGAGTGAACATCTAATGAAAAGAGAATCAAATGAATCAATTGAGGATGAATTTTGTGTATAATATACTAAGGCTTGTTTTGAAATAAATCCATTAGAAGTACAAGAGTACAGAAAGAAAATGTATAAATAAAAATAACCGGTGTATATGGATGGAAAATATTATATGCCAGATGAGAATGGATATGTAGACAAGACAAGAGACTTAGTTGATTTATGAGTATATAGTGAGAAATATTTATTTGAATAATGATGGTTCGTATGTTTTTAATATTAATGAATCTATACAAAGTCTTTGGAGCAGAAAACAAAATCTCTTGAATCAAAGTTAATTTATGAAATTCATAAAAGATTAAATAAAATACAAGAAAAAAAGAGATTAAAGAATGATATAAAAATTGTTGAATTATCATGAGCTTTTTCATTTGAGCGCTCAAATTGTAAGTCTTCTGACATCTCTCAAATTTTGAAAAAAAATAAAACAGATAATATTTCAGAATCAAAAAAAAGTGATTTTAAAGATGACTTAAGGATAAGCTTATTTCAAAGTGTGGATAATATTTTGGGATATCTTTATTCAACAGAAACTATTATGATTTTATTGGCTAATAATTAAAACTAAAAATAGATATTAATCTAATAGAAATCTTTAATTAGAGAACCCTAATAAATTTGTGTTAGTTAAATGGAATGAAGATGTATGGGACTGTTACTGAATTGAATTAAATTCAAAAATAATATTAAAATTTTAGCTATTCGAGATTTCAATTCCATAAAATAGTTTTGGTCTAATATATCAATTAAATATATTAATCGTACTGTTGGTGAGTTTCTTAATATCGTTATCAATCCCTTCTGGATAATTGGACACATATTTTATAATTCTCATGCCCCTCCAAGAATATATAATTCAAATCAATGTAATAACGCATTTATAATAAAAGAAATATTTGTAATTTTATTACGCTTACAGTTAAGTGAATTGTATTTCATTAAAATATATATATTGTAATATGGTAAAAGAAATCTAGATTATAAAGTTTAAATCATTAATAATAATAAAATCCCTTAGGTTTGCTTCATGTAATAGTTTTAATAAATCCATTTTAGAATACTTAGAACATTTCTAAACCTTTAAAGAATTCCATGTTAATTAATGAATTTTAAATAAAAGAAAAGATTAAGTTAATCATCTCATAATTGATCGAAAAACTTCGAAAGAAAAATTAATGAATTTAGTTATATAAATTAAATGAATTCTTAATGTTACTTACATGGCTATCCACTCGAATGTTAGAATTAATTGTAAGATCTTTTCAATTTGATTCGTGAAGGAGAAGAATTCATATCTCTGGAGAGAATTTTTAAATTATTGCGAGTAGTTACTCCAACTATATATTACTTTTTAGGCATGGCAATATGATGTACCATTCTCCAATTTATGTAAATTGCTTAGGATGGCTAATTAAGTATGCCATCAGAATGTTAAGAATCATTTAAATGAGTTAGCATTTCATTAACTACTTCATAATCCTGACTTACAGATGACTTACAAGCCAAAGAAGGATGAAACTGCATATACTCCTCCAACATTGGAGGGATTGTTTAGGAGAATAGGAGAATAGATTGAGAGGAAGCGATTGTAGGAGAAACTGAATGAGGAGAACATTACAAATAGGGAGAAGTTTAATTTAATGTTGCAGTTATTGCAGGTGGGATCACCGAGAAATGATAAGAAAAATTAGATAGTTGTTGAAAAAGTGAAAAGCGTTAGGAGGTTCAAGGAGGATGAATTCAAATTACTTATGAGACCAAAGAAGACGAAGAGAAAGGCTGATAGTACGTAGGATCCTCCACAAGTTTAGGCGGAGTAATAAAAATTTACTAAAATTGTGAATGCCACATTACATTTGCCAACAAGTAGAATTAGAAAATTACATGATCGTATGATGTAGCAGATGGATGAAATTAGAATGGATCCAAATGTATTAAAATTGAGCAATATAATTCATAAATCATAGGGAAACCTGTCAATCAGGTTACCATAAATTTAATATATATGAAACCACAACGATATTTAATGGATTTTAATCTCTCAAAGTCATATTTGCCTTAGAAAATACAAGCAAATCGTGAATCATCAGCCAAAAAGCTGAGCAATTCAGAAGTGAATGCTGCTATGCAAAAATACTTCTAATTGCTCAAAAAGAAGGAGGGTAAAGTTTAACATCCAATTATCACTCCAACTCAATCGTCCAAGATTTTAAGTCAACTTGTGACGAAAGTCTCGCCATAACTAGACATCTAATACCCTGTTAAACCCCCAACACCAACTGGCACTTAATCATATAGACCATCAACTGAGAAGAAGGCACACCATCGTCCCCAGCAATCAGTGGGATAAAGCAAGGATCTGATCCTAAAAAAGCTGCAGAGTGCTTTGTTTCAGAAGCCAAAAACACAATCGCAACAGGTTACTCCTAAAAGTGCTGGGAAGGGCAGTCTAAGTGTGAACAAGTATTTTGAGAGCACTAAGAAATTAAATTCAGATCAGCCACAATATTATATAACTAAAGTTAAGAATGCTTTCACGAAACCCATACACGATGATTATTTTAGTAGGATGTACAGAGAGCATTTTTTTTAAACCTATTAAGGAATATATGTTGCTTCATATTTATCGCCAGCCGATCCAAAGGATCTCAAGAACAAATAAGTACGTCTTAAACAAAAGGATATTTATAAAAGTATGAATCAATTCGATCATATCACTAGATAAGATTAGCATCGTATTTGATCTTGATGAAACCTTGGTTCATTGCAATGAGAGTTTGGCCATTCCCAGTGATGTTATTCTTACTATTTAAGTTTCACCTCAGGAAACAATAAAAGCAGGAATCAATATTAGACCTGGAGCCATAAAACTGCTGGAATTGTTGGTCAATGACTTTGAATTAATCATTTTCACTGCCTCTCATCCTTGCTATGCTCAAAAGGTTATAGAGTATCTGGATCCCAATAAGACACTAATCTCACACAGTCTGTACCGTGACAATTGCATAATGACCACTGGAGGAATGTATACAAAGGATCTGAGAATATTTGATCGCCCATTGAGTCAGTTGGTTTTGGTGGACAATGCCTCTTATTCTTATGCGTGGCAATTAGAAAATGGGATTCCCATCATTCCCTTCTATGACAACAAGGAAGACAAGGAATTGGAGTCCTTGCTGAAGTATCTGAGAGGGATGCAAGGTTGCAGAGATGTCCGAGATTACAACAAGTTTATTATACATCTTAAATTGCTAGAGAAAACCTTAAGTTGCACAACTTCTAGGATCCATCAGGGCCTGGAGCTGTCTTTGAGAAATTGTTTCAATAGAAGATGGAAATCTAATGATATTTTTATTAAAATGAATAACACTTTACTTCCCAACTTAGATGATAAGCCTTATTACCACATCTACGAACCTTCGCTCAAAGAGACACTCAATGCCAGTAGACATATACACATTATTCGCTTAGTTCATGTGGAATCGCAGACTGAGTCCCTCTCTCCCAATGATGAGAAATCGATCTACATTCAGAATGTGATTATGAGGATGTTCCCTGAAATCCAACTTCGATAACACAGCATCCTCATCTGCCAACATTTGTACACCAAAACATACACAATCTTCTTCATGAACTCGAAATAAGTACCTTATAGCTATTGTTGCAATCGTCCACTCCAAGTTCGTTGCTATCCAATAGGCTTTGGATTGGTTCTATGTTCAGGAGAACGATGTTCCAAGCCAGAATTGAAGGCGTTCAAATTCAGTGACAATACTCCAAAATTAGAGGAGAAATTGAACAATAAATTGTCGAAACTCATTTCCATGGGGAAACACAAACATGTCAATCTGATCCAACAGAAACAACGTTTCGGATTGGAAGAATTCAAAAAGCATGTTACTGAGACTCCAGACACAGTAGTTGTGAAACCTCGTTCACAATCGTATTATAAGGGAAGTTCAAATTACTTGAAACGACCCTATAAATTATAAAAATGGATCCATAATTGAGTCACTACACATAATTCTTCATCGTTGTCACCAATCTTTGTAAGACCAACCAAATCTCTTCTGAACAGAAGGCTCTCCTCAAATCTAGTCTGACTCACAAAGAAGAAAAAATTTGTCGCGTTCTCATTCAAAATAGTGGACCTGGAAAGTATTCGTGAACCTTCTCATTTAATTAGGGAAATGCAATTGCGATAGGCATTACTAGATTATTTGGAGGAATAAAATAAGGCAATGCAAAGGAGACGGTAACATAAATCCAAGACTATGCATTTTACCAAAGAGGTCTCGGATGAAGACAAACAATAGAATACAAGCAAGCAAGAATAATCTATACCCCAACCATTGGCAGGTGTTGGTGCAGTGATGATTGACCAACTAACAGAATTATTGAACAAGCATATTGAAAAACATAATTTACTTGTCCCAGAAGACAAGGAAAAGTTGTTGTCACTATGCAATCTAATACTACAACTTACATCGGAATAAGGAGACCCAAATGGCTAGCATGCATAGAACACAGCTGATGATAATAAATTAGCAGAAATAAGTGAGAAAGATGCTGATTCAAGTGAAGAAGATGTGTATGACAAAATGAAAAGGCAAATAGATGAGATCTACAAAGAATTAAAGAATATTTTTACTGGCAACTTGCACACGCATCTGCTTCTCATGCAAGAAGACATTTCATATGAAAATTTGTATTAAGTGCTGAAATTCCTTCTCAAAATACTTGTCGATGCTGATGAATTTACTTTTTTCATTCATCGAGACAAAGATTGGGAAGTGTATTCCTCAGCCAATGATTCCATTAAAGATGTCACTCCTGAAGAAGCCCTAAAGGTTAACGATGAATTAACATAAATTCGACCTTCCTACATCCACAGAGTAGATTCAAAACTTAATCAATATCCACAAATCCAGGAGACCTGCAAAACCAATGCCTATGCACAAACATCCATTGTTAAATTTTAATTGCATATCAAAAATTACGAGGTCCTCTTCTGTTTGCATTGGACAGACAAGGATAAAAATAACATCAAAAGAAATTTCATCAAGTATTCCTCATTATTAAATTTTAGTAATGCTAACATCTATGGATTTAACACAGATGTCACTCACCTAGCACAATTCTTAGTTGAAACTATCATAACTGCTAAAGTCTAATTCTTCAATCCCTTGCGTTTTGCTGATCATGTGTAGGACATAGGAATTACGTTTATGAGGATATCAAGATTTTTGTTGCTTGAAGGCATTAAACAGGTTTTGAGTGCAAAATACGAAGTTGAATAAGAACAATAGAATTAGACTGAGGGTCTGATTAAGAAGAGCAATGACTTGCCCTCATTGAAAATAGAATTAAAAGATTCAAATCTAGTTACTTTAAGTATAAAGAATTTGGACCTCAAGAATGAACAGGATTCGCAATTATATTCTCTTGTAAATTATTATGCACAATATCAAATAGATCATACAAATATTAGAGAAATATGATGGTTATGTGAAGTTATGTTATGAAAAGTCAGCGTTTTATAAGTATTTCCTTAGAACTACTGACTCCTTATTGTTTGATTTCAATAAGCAAGGAGAACTGATTTTCTTAAGCAGACCTATTTCTAAAGCATAAAAGTAAATTCATTTCCATATGATTAATTAGACAAAGATACAATATCAACTTTGATCCGAAAGCAATTCTATACAATAAAATTACTTATCAGGATATATTTGCTGAAAACAGTATCATTTCCAATATTGAGGTGAATATTTAGAATATCCATGAAAATAGGCAAAATCAATACTTGAGCAACGTCGAAATCCCTCAATTTGAAATATTTCTCAAAGTGATTGATAATGACTTCAAAGGATTCACAGTCATCTTCCATGAAAATGAGGCAAGGAGACTTAAACACTACTTTATGACTCTGAAGATAGACAGCATGACGAATGACGTATAGAAGGAAGCTGAAGTGAATAAATCATTCGAAGAGGATATCTAAAGACAAATACTAATTCAATACAATAAGCATCAAACCTTTAAGTTCCTAAATCAATTAGATGAAACGCAAGATGTAGCCAACTCAATGATAGCTCTCTTCATTCCTGAAAATGAGTTACAATAGATTAGACATCGTAAACCTGATGTAAAGGGTTCTGATTCATAATCGAAGGACATGCAAATTGATTAATGGATTATCCCACCTTAAAAAAAGAAGAAGATTAGTTCAAGTGTGTACATCAAATACCAACAGCAATTAGAGTAGGTTGACATAAACTAATTTAAAATACTTGAGAGAGATTCTTAATTGGATTAGTTTGAATTCAATATTCTAACTTTGGATTCCTCATAGGAAAAACATAGGTTGGTGTATAGCATCTTGGAGAAGAATGGATTCATCTCACAATATAATATGAATAATTAATCTTTAGCTTAGTTTCTAAGTGTTCTATAACAGAGATACAATAAGAAAAATAATTCATTTCACAATTATGATCATGGAATATCAGTTATGTAAAGTGCTCATTTCATGTTGTAATGTGAAAAGGCCAAACAATTCATCGATGATTTTCGAAGAATGGCAACCATCATTTCTGGCTTGTGTCATGATGTTTCACACACTGGCAGAACTAATGTATTTATGATTAACAGCCAATCTAAATTAGCCACCAGGTATCATGATTCAAGTGTAAGAATCTTATTATTCTTTAGCCTCTTGAATAACACCATGCAGCCACCACCATATTTATGCTTAAAGATTCATCACTCAACTTTTTAAGCAATCTAACCAAAGAGTAGCATCAGCAATTCAGACGCATTCTCATCGACAACATTCTCTACACAGATATCAAAGTTCATTTTACTCTCCTTAAAGATTTTGAAAGCAGAATCAAGGACGATGTGACAAAGCCGTTTGGAACTGGAGATGACGATCTTAAATTATTAACAGGAATGATTATTCATACTGCTGATTTCAATGGGGGAGCTAAAGTTTTTGATATCTCAAGGATTTGGTCTGAAAGAGTGAACAAAGAATTTAGTGCTCAATACGAAGAAGAAGGCAGATTAGGCATACCATAAACACCTTTCTTAAAGGATCTGCATAAAATACATATCATGGCAAAATCTGAAATGGGATTCTTCAAAGTTATTGTTCGACCTTTGTGGTTCACTCTAAATGCCTTTTTTGTAATTATCTGAATATTATCCTATTAGGATGGCTATTTGCACTAGAGCATAACCAATCTTGATAACACTATTATTAGTTGGGAAAAGATCTATCATGCCAATCTTCCAAAAGAAGAACGACCGCCATAATAATCATGAATATTATTATTGTTTATTTGCTATGCATTCTATCATAAATAATTAATTATGAAATGAATTGATAAATCACATTCTAATCAATTATCTTATACTAAAATTCACTTGTCATCTCTAAAAGATTACTATTCCATACTACTTCTAATTTCTGGATGCACTTTATCCTCTCTTTAAAGTTTAGTCCTTTCTTTTTCTGGAATACTTATGATCATGAAATTAGAAGTACTTTCATGAGCAATGAGATTTAATTATGTCTATTACTACTTAGCAGTAAAGACATCACCCTCAAAATCTACTTTAAAATCTTAAAATTTAAATTTTAATTAATGAGAATTTTCTATCAATGTACGCCCAAATTGATTGAATAAAAACAGTTGAATCCTTGATAATTCATAGAGAATGTTATGGAAAATTAACTTTTTTTTCGCCTGCTTTTTTAGCTAATTATAATAAATCTTAGTCTGCTTATCTTAGGAAGTCTTGAGGTCTTCAAAATCAGAATAATAATATTTAATGATTTTATCTGTCAATTTGTTTTCTAGCAATGACTCGTTGTAATATTAAGCACCATATTTAACAACCATAAGCAAATTTACAATTGAGCCAACTGTAGCCAATATTTCACCTAGTTTTGGATATACAAGTTAGATATCAACTGACACCGGATCTAATCGGAATATCAAGCTTAAATAAGTTTCGCCAGAGACTAAAGGAGCCCAGAGTTAGGATGTTGTTGTAGATATCATTATCTAAGTATCCTAAATGTAATTGTAATCACTATAACTATTAAACAATATGCCCTTATCAACATGTAAATATGCCTTTTTAATCATAATCTAACTTAACTAAGCTGACTTAGATTCAAACCAAAAATAATATTGCTTTCTCACTACTTCAAACTTTTAGGTTTGGAAATTAAATTACTTCAAATTGATCCAAAAATCTAAATATGTAACACTTGTTGCAAAGAATTCTTCCATTTCTTAATCAGTTGCACATTTTCCCCCTTCAGTTAAATAATCTTGATGGCATTTGGTAATCATAATAACAAGTTCAGTTGTTTTCTGGAAATCTTAATCAGAATTTCCATTTTACACAAGAGTTAGTGTATTAAGACTGGGCAACAATTTGTTGGGATATACGTCAGATTTTTATTTGTTGTTCAATAATGAAAACGGCTTCTATGGTTTACCATCTATGAACTATATCCCAATCGGCATTAATATATTATTCTAAGTATCAAAAGGATCCAATTTTTACTCTGAATACTTGCCATAGCTTAATTAGATGATGGGATTTTCATCTTGTAAATGAATATCAGAATATTGCTCTACCTTCATGGAGTTATTGGTTTTGGGTAAAATTTAGAATGAAATCCATTAATCAATAACATAGATGAAATAGGCTAAGCTGATCACCAAAACCAAAATTGAGGTTATTCCTCCTAGAATTGATTTCTAGATTTTTTAATTGAATTTGATAGAATGCAAGTAAGGAGTGCCAAAGATATCAACCAGTTTCAGGATAGTAATTTAAAATTTTCTAAAATCCATTGCTTTTAATTTTTTATTTTTCTTGATTTATTTTTATAATATATCAACAACTATATAATAAAATATACACTGCAATAATAACGTATTAAAAATTAGGAAAACTATGTAAGGTTGATTAGAAGATTTCTCTTTTTATTAAGATAGAAATAATTCAAAGTATAATTCTTAACGATTAGTGCTAAACAGATACATATATATATTAAAATTTCTTATATGATTAAGATGATTGTGATGAGAGAAATCTAGAATTTCTAATTGAATTACTAATCAAAAGGATAAGATTATTATTTTTCATACTCAAATGATAGTTTTTAGTCGACTGGCAGCAATATGATATGATCCTGGCCCTGGGGTTATTGAAGATTCGGTTTATATTTTCAAACGAGGACGTATGGAATAACTGATTTTTTTAAGAGTGTTTGGAAGTTTATAAACTTGAGGGCCTGGTGTCTGACTTAATGATTTCATCGGTTGATACATTCTCTAAGTTAGAATCTAACTTACATCTCTGCCTATCCCGAATGATTTTTTCATTTGAGATTTTGTATCTTAAAGCGCATAATGCTGAGGAGAGGGTGTGTTGGATATAATTTTTATTGGTAATCTCTCACCGAGACTAATAGAACGCTTTTTGATTGTGGATGGAATGTTATAAAATGGGATATCATTTACTCTATGAAGTGATGGGAAGCGAGGAGCTTTGGGGAATGAAAACCTTGAATTTTTACTCATAATATTTTATTTCAATTATTATTTCAATTAAGTTTCTTTTTTGGAACAAAGTACATTGGTAAGTGATTCTAATTTTATCTGATAAATTCTATGGTACCTTCCTATAAAAATTATTGACAAATAATTTACTTGTATATTTTCGACTATGTCTCTGGTTATGAGCTTTTTGATTTCTTCAAAGAAATTTTCATCCATATAACGACCATCTCTTGCATATTCTTATGATTTCTCAAGCACTTGATCAATGAGTTCATTTTTCAACATCTCACTCTTAGTAATGTGTCTAAATTCACTAAACCATTCATGATAAAGAGCTATGGCCCAATTTTCAGAGAGAAACTCAGACACATTACTAATCAACTTGCCTCTCTAATCCAATCTGTTCAAATATCTCACTGATAGTTCAATGAAGTGTATTAAACTTGGTATATGAACTGCCTCAGAACCAAAATAAGTGAGACTCTCAATGAGGCCATTAGGATCGACATCAAATTATAAGAAATGGCCTTGAGAATCCTTAAAATTATCAGAAACTATGGGTTTGGATGGTTATTATTGCAATTGTCTCGGTTTTGAAAAGTCATTCTTTTTAATGTAATAATAATATAGTTTATAAGGGACTATGCCACCTTAACCAATTGGCATATACAGCTAAGGCAATTCATCAACTGAATAAGTTTAAGAGGTTAGATAACTCAAATTTAATTGTTCCAAAATGCATTTACTAAGTTTTTAACCAAGTTCTCTACCATTATATTTATCTAATCTTAGACTCTTTCCCACTGAATGATGCTTGTATCTTTGTGAGAACTCACAAATCTTACCGCAAGCAAATATATTTTCTTAAGTGGTTTAAAAATTACTCTTTACAATCAATCTACCATTGTACACCAACCCATTTTCATGGATGATATTGAAAATTTCCTTGTCAATGTCAATCAATCCACTTGTGATGAAGAATCTTGAATCCAATTATAGATAGTCATATTCACTTGCCTTGAGTTATTCAATTTCTCTAGCTAGTACTTCTAACTAATTTTCTCCTTCCTCCTATTCTCCATACATGTCTTTGCTCATATTGTTTTCAGAGTTGTCCTTCAACTCTTAAAGTTCTTGCTCCTTCCTCTGAATCTCAATTTTCAACTCCTCATAATTGTCTGCTTATTTCCTAAAGATGACTTCCTATAATACATCTTCGCTATTTAATCCAAATCCTTCCTTCCCTACTTTCAATTCATATAAGGTGAATCCTTAATGTATCTTTATGCCCAATTTTAACATTATGTCGAATACTTTATTTTTGACTTCCTCGTTTTCAAATTAATCTGGGTCAAAGATCATTTTGTCCTCCTATTCAAGTCGTTATTTATTGTTCTCAAATCTGGTTTATTTCTAAAATGTTTTGGGAGGCATAACATAATTAATACGAGATGGATGAACACCTCTATTGAGTAACCCATTCATAAATGTAATGGTAGTCAAGGTGTTGCCATAAATTGTTATATTTTGTGGTTTTTTCTTTCTTGTTAACAAATCTATGTTGCTTCCTTTGAATCCAGTTCTTTTGAAATGAGAGTATAGATATGGATCATCTATGCTATAGACTCCATTTATAAATTATGAATTTTTGTAATACGGAGATTTGGATAGACCAAAACTGATCTTTTCTCTTGATTACAATTCAGTATCAATCAAACCAACAGTGATTATGAGATAATCAAAAGGAATGAATGCATTCTTATCAATTTTAATTCGATTCCCCTTTTTATCCAACTTTACCATTTTAGCATCAACTACCTACACTCTAGCATCTATCATCAAAGCCCTTAATTCTTCCAATGTATAATTTGTACTCATTGCTTTTAACATTTCAAATTCGTGTTTAACATGCATGGTAATCAATCCTCCAGGAGCCAATAAGATGATATTAGTAAAGTGAATATCCTTTATTGTAAGTAATGATTCAATAAAGGACAACCCAGTATCAGAGGCCCCTACTACTACAATACGAGAATTATTGGAGATTTTAACATTGGATAGTTATTTTTTGGTAAGCATTGCTAATGAAAATGGGGATTGAGTTTAATCGTATGGGTCACGATCATCTAGAATTGTACCCATACGTTCTTTTTAATCATCGTCAAGAGTCCAATCCCATTTCTATTTCAAGAAATGAGGAAATGCACGACTTCTCACAAAATTGAATTCATGGAATATGTCTGGCAAAAGAGTACGATCATGAATCTCCAACATTATACATGTCTTATCCATCAATCTGCATATTTCTCTTAAAATAAATCTAGTTTGTTTAGCAAACAATGGATTCAAGATTCCATGTAATAATCGAGTATGCAAATGCTTAGGATGCTCCTTAATTAGGATGTGATCTTGAATACAGAAATGAGATTTCAAGTATTGGAGATTGACATACTTCTTCATGCAATACAATCCAATAATTTCATCTTTGCAATAGACTATAAATGTCTCATTATCATTCACATTTCTGACATCCTTTTCAATGTTCTCTTTTCCCAATAGATTTTCTACCAAAAACTGACATTAGTTCCATTCATTTTAATTAAACTTTCTTAATTCAATTAAATGAGAATCTAAACTGTTTCTATGGAATATATACAAAACATGTTCAAAAGTGGAGTGTTTCTTCCTTGATACTTATAGAAAGTGCGATAATAGAGTAGTCTCCTAGACTGTGTATGGTTATGTTAGGATAAGATATTCTCGATCAGGGAAGAGTTCAAAGGCTCTTTCTACAAAATCAAGTGATCTTGATTCAAATCGCTCATCTATGCAAAATAGATTGATAACAACAGCATTTTGAGCTGCTTTAGGAACTTCTGGGAGTTAATCAATAGATTGAATCTAGGAAACATGATCATCAAATTAGGTTTAATTCCTTTCAACAGTTTTAGCTCTTTCAAGATTATTAATTTTATTTTGTTCATCTTGTATAATTTCTTCAACTTCGCTCTGTAATGTATTTGATCGAACTAATTACAATCTGCACATCATTTAATCATAATTTTTTAGTTTTTATATAGCTCCAATGAATTCACTATAGGAAGTCATTTTCTACAAAACATCAACAGGTTTAGGTGCGTCATCACCAACTTTCTTAAGATTGGCATCCTTTTTTTTGGCATCTTTTTCTTCCTTTATTTTTTAAACAATCCTATTGTCCACTTCTAATTCGCCAAAACATTCTAGTATAAATGCCAGATTCTCTCCCATAGGTGCTCCAATGTCAAATCCTTTATTTCTTAGTACATCTGGAAATTCAATTAAATCTATGTGACGACTTGGATCCATTTCTCCATTTTCAGTGCAGAATTCCATGATTAACTCTTTGACTCTTGTTTCTATTTATTTTCTGAATTGTGTTCTAGTTTCAGCAGATACTGATGTAAATTTAGTAAAAGCTTATAAGAATGGCCCTAAATCAAAATAAGGAGGTGGTTTGAAGATGTCTTCATCCTTATCCTCCTTCTTTGCTTTTTTATTAGTTTTCTTCTGTTATCTTTTTGGTCTTTTGAGAGAAAGAGCCTTTTACTCTTCCTCCTTCTTCTTGGCCCAATCTTTCCAATGGCCTTCTCCATTCATGTATCCTTTGGGTAATCCAAAGAATTCAAGTGCTTCCAATAACACTTGGATTGGTTTAATTGTGATGCATTCTAAATCTTTGAATGAATCAGGATATTCAAGAAATAGATCACTAGGTTTGAATACTTGATAATCCTTCAACCACCCATTGATCATATTGGTAACAACCTATTATGTAAGTGTTTTAGCTAAGTCTTCCTATCCATAGTCATCAATCTTTTGCTTAATCTCTTGATCTCTATCAAAACAATACTATTGTAAATATAGTCTTTGTCCAATCATATGACATTTCATAGCCTCTTTGGTTAATTCGATGTGCTTCTTATAATTAGTGATCTGCTTGTTGATTTACTCTTCAAGTGCCAATTAATCCAACCTATTTCTTATAGCTTCCATGTATTCTGATTTATAGAGATTATCAAACACTTCTAAATCGAAACATTATCCTAGTAGACGATAACTAATTTAGATCAAAGTCTTACTCGATATCACTTGAAATACTCATCAATCCAACTGCCTTATCTCCAACTTATCCTACAATGGCCTTTCCATCACTTCTATAATTCCTAGCCTATCTTCTGGTTTGATTCTGAGTTGCAATTAAATCAGCAATGAAAAATTCACCGAACTCCTCAGTGTGTACATCTGATTGACGATTAAAGATGGCAGCCAAATCATCGTGATCCTCTTCACGTGCCATACGAATTTCCAATAATTCAGTTACCATAGAAGATGCAGAATAGAAGATCTCACAATTCTGATTCACTCCTTACATGAACTATTATTTTTAGGCCTTATGCATACTTTCAATTTGAAATCTTGTCTCTTTGGCAATATTTCAAATAAATTCTCTAATGCAATATCCAATTCTTATTGAGTGGCATCAATTGCTTCACTCCTTCTCAAAAAGAAGATCCCATTGACAACATTCAAATAATCATAGACCTTTTGGAAGATTTGTTTGGTGATCTGTAACTGTTGATCTTCAGTCAATTGGAATCGCTTCTTCGCTAGATCTAGATATAGAAAGCATACCAAGAAAAAAGAAAGTCATCCAAAGACAGTTGAATGAACTCACATGAAAGCCAATGTCCCATCCATCATGAATCCATTATTCCCACAAATTCTCATGTTTGAAGTCGACTTATCCAGTAACACCTTAAGGACAATCATCAAAGACTGCACTGCCTATAATGTTATTCTATGAATCAAGCACTGTCACTGACAAATAGGATCTCTCAAATAATGTTAGAATCTTGGGATATGCATAGAGTTATTATAAGTCCTCTTCTCCCTCTTCCTGCATCAACTACATAATCTCGTCGTAATCATCCAAATCTGCCTTCCTAATCTGCAGCTCTTAACCTTATTATTCAGAAAATGACATTA